GTTGGCGCGGCTGGCGTGGACAAAGAAAGGAGGTGAAGGGGCGAGAGGAGACTCTCTGGGTTCCCGCAGCTTCCGAAAGGTCAAGCGTGGTGACCAATTAGCGAAGCGCGTCTTTTCTTTCTGTTTTCTTGCTCCATGAAGTTTTGCGTTTCCCTCTCGGTTGTTTTGCTCGTTTACGGTGCATTTCAGATAATTCCTCTTCACGGCGTACTTGTAGTTTTTATTAGCGTATAGCGCCGTAAATTTGACGGTTACTTTTTACAGTGTATGCTTTCGAAGCTAAGCGCTTGTGAGCCCGAGCATGCTGGGCGCCGATAAAAGCTGCGCACAATGCCTGGTTACTACTACTTATATGTCAAAAAACACCTCGACCGCACGAACACTCGTGTGGGGGAAGCTCCAAAACTAATAGATTGCGTTTGTCCAAAGTGAAGTAGGGTAAGATGGGCCAAATGAGACGCGGGGCAAAATGCGACAGTTGGAGTGAAGGCACCCAACGAAAGTTTTTGTTTAGTGCCAGCTATCACCTAGGCACAAGTCTCAAGCTTCACTGAGACGTGCCTCAGCCTGTTCACTTTGCGTGAGCCATAAATGACTGCCTTTGGCAAGTCCTTTCCGGAGAAAAAGAAATGCCGATTTGAGATTGCCGAGTCTACTGCCCGTCAAAGAGGTGCATAATTCCGCGCGAGATTTCGCTTCGAGAAGTACGCCCCGGTTGGCACAGACTTTCTACCAAGGTAATTTCATTCCTAAGTTTTATTCGCTGCATGCAGACCAAATTTGAGTGTTCAGCGTGCTTTTTTTTACGGAAATAATTATTCACGTAACGGGATACGCGCGAGACAAAACTCGACAATGTGGCATTGTATGACGCGTGTGTCAATAATGTACCAGTTTCCTGGTTGTTCCTGAGTCATATTTTCCTCTCGGTGTCTAGGAGGATCAAAACGTACAAAAGAAAGACAACAGGGGCTTCATGGCGCATAAGTAACACTACGAATGCTCTTGAAAGTGAAGCAACAGCGTCACTCCCTTCGCGTTGCCGCCACACTTTTTGGCGCACCAAGGGATGTGCTTCAAAAGCGAGCAAAAAGACAAAAAATGAGAAAAACAATGGCTCCACAAAAAAAAAAAAAAAAATGGCGAGGCGTTTGGGGGGGGGGGGGGGCGATCGCCCCCACCGCCCCCCCCCCCCCCCCCCCTTGGATCCGCCACTGCCGAGTGGTTGCTCAAGTGGTGCGATTCCTAAACACTCAAAACGAGGAGTTCCATAGCAACGGCCTCTGGCAGGTTGCCCATCGCTGGCAAAAGTGCGTGACTTTAGGTGGTGAATAAGTAGAGAGAAAGACTAGTCTATTCTAGAGCCACTAAATGAGCTGTGCTTAGAATATCGGCACTCCGTTCCCCGACATTGTTGTGGGCGCCGCCATTTGGGTGCTTGTGCTGAGCAGACGCAACTGCCGATCGTCGTGATTCGAAAGTGCGACTTCCGAACCATTAGATTCGCTGTTAGGAAGCTCATGTAATATTGCTTCGCTTTCTCGCGAACTGTTGAAACATTTGTGGAGGACGGAAAAAGTGTTTCCTGGGATTTCAGATAAAGCTTCAGATAACTGCGTGACCTTCGTGACCGCAACACAAACTTCACGAACGCCCATCGTATTTGATTACAGAGGCTTCTGCAACCCCGAAAGAATAAATACAAATCCATCGATAAACCTATCGCTATTTGTTTTATTCTTTCTTCCGTAAATGTTTGGGAGGTTTTATGTGATGGTGTTATCTTATCGGGGCTACTTCAGATCCCCACTCACACTCGGTAGTCCGACAAAGACGATGTGGGCCGCATCGCGCGTATGGGGTCACTCGACGCTAGAGTGATATAGTGTTATCACTGACGAGTGAATCTGTGCGTGGGGCGGTTCCGAGACCTGTTTGCGTCCCAATCAGGGATGATTCCCCGACGATGCCGAAGTCGCGCCGCCACAGATTTCATTTCCGGTAGTAATTGTCATCGAAACTGAGCTAACAGGGAAAGGCATCATCACGAACCAGCGCAAGTAGACAGTTATTCAAAATCCAAACACACAAAAAAATGCACTCACACAGCTGGTTCGTGATGATGCCTTACCAACTCGCCCAATCTGCAGTATTAACAGGGAAAGGCTACGGTTTATCGGAGCCTTTTGTGTGGCACTGCTGCCGGACGTAGGCAGTCGCAAGATGCTTAAAAACGTATCCGGTCTTAAGTAGTCGGAGCTGTGTGAGCTATATACATTCAATATTGGTTCACACACTCGCGACTGCGCGTACGACTGGAAAGGCCTAAAGCCAGTTTTATGCCTTTCCGGTTGCAAGCAGTCGCAAGTGTGCATTCACAGATTTGTGACTGCTTCCGACTGAAGAGGTTTTCAGCTTCTTGTTACTGCAAACGACCGGCTGCAGTATTGTTTGGGCAACGGGAGACCTGCGGGAGACTAGAGTTCCTCTACGGGAGCCAGAGTTGCGCGTTTGATTCCACGTGCCGCGTGCCGCCCTCGCCGCTATTCGCCGAGATCCGATCACGTGAGGAGCCGTATCAAGTGTCGTGCAGCAAAGTAGACGTTGCACGCGCCCCGGCGTACGTTCCCTGGCTTTTGAGCGCGCCTCGAACGCGCGGCGCTGCTATTCGCCGAATTCACTCACGTGAGGAGCTGTATCCACATGCCATGCATGAACGCGCAACTCTGGCTCCCGTAGGGAGCCTATAGACCTTTTCCACAAGGGCGCCGCCATCTTGAATTGTCGTCACTTCCAGTATGGGCGAAAACATTGTTTTGCCGTCGCCACGCCAATAGAAGACATTTAGGATATAAGCCTAACCGTCACACATTCTCGTTTTGGCTCCCCTCTATTATTTTGCTAGTTACAGGTTGAAACGTTTTATTATTTTTTCGTCGCCCATACTGGAAGTGACGACAATTCAAGATGGCGGCGCCCCTGTGGAAAATGTCTATACAGGAACTCTACGGGAGACTTCTTGCGCATGCCATCTATTGGCCACTAAACCGGTTCCAGACAAGTGTAGCGAAAGCGTTCTATTGAGGGCTTCAGCGGCATCTCGGCGTTTCCACAATTTCCGGAAGTCACGTGTGCGGGCAGAGTTTTTGTTCTGTCATTTTGGTGCAGTAAGGCTGGGAAAATACGCGTCGTTGGCAGGGGAATGTGCTCATGCGTCCTGCAAGATAGGAGGGTGACCTTAACCACACGGCAGACATATTTTTCTACCTGGCGCGAGCATTCCGCCTGCTCCGATTTGCCCGGCATAGTATAACTAGGGTTCCGTGTTTTCGGATATATCCGAAAAAACTCCAAAGACATTCGCCGGAAAGATCGTTGCACACTGAAATTTATCCGAAAAATTCAGAATTTTGAGGCGTGGCAAAATAAAAGGCAATAAAAATCAAAAACAAAATGATGGTGTTTTAGGAATAAAATTTGAGAGCACAGGGTTGGTGGTCCTCAGATGTGGCCACATTCGTTTCCTTATAAATCTTCGACTATTTACAATGGGGTCTCCTGTTTACCTTGCCAAGGTTCGTTCAGAACAACGGGCCATTGTATGTACTTCTGAGCCACAGCAAAAGTCGCTGTTCTGGCTTCCAGTTTGGAACATTGTATTTCTACTTCTTAGAGGGAGGAAGGGTTATGTTTTTATAGCAGCAAAAGCTACGATCTTATAGGTTTCTAAAATATCCTTCGATACAGGAGAGTTCGTGTGAATTAAGGATATGTTTTGTGCGGATATTGTTCATTTTTGTTTAAAATTAAAACTGGAAACACATAAAATTAAATCCCAAACGTAAAAAAAAATTGAAATTAATTTTTTTTTAACCACCGAATATATTAATAGAAATATAAATTAACCCCCCCCCCCTTCCCCCCACCGGCTCGGAAAAAGGGGGAGGGGGGGGATTAGGATTGGTTAAGTATAACTTAACCAATCCTAAGTATAACACGGAATCCTAAGTATAAAAGAAGATACCGGCTATTTCCCTGGACACCAGAAAAATATTAGTGTAAATACTGTGAGATAAATACAGGGTGTTTGGGAGCGCTGTTCGGGCGTAAAAATAGTATAAATAAGAGAATACATTGAGTGCAAGGAAACTTTTCACAAGGGTTTCATTAGATGGCGCACTAAACATACTGTAATTTCAAGGTTTCCGGGAAAAACAAAGAGTAAAACTTGTTGTTTCCTATGCGCGGACAGAAAACAGAAGCAAACCATCGACTTAGCTTCTCCTATTCACATACGGTACCATGTAAAACAGAAACTTTTTTTTTTTTATATGAACAACTTAAACTTAGAGCAGATATGTATGGAGCACGCATTAACGCAGACGGTTATTTTGTTTCCATTTTGTCCCGTTTCAGAGGAAATACGAAGTTTTCATTTTCTTGCATTTTTCTTAATAGCAAACTTACGGTTACGAAATTTAAGAATCATCTAAGTAATGCATGAGAGAGAAAAAAAAAATGTTTAACGAACATAAAGTTCGGGCGCAAACGACCTGGTGAAGGTTTAACATAATTTAAGACAAACCCCCGAAATTGGGGAAAAGACGAAGGAACACTACACACCACACAGAGTCTCAAACACAGCTAAATTTTCTTCCACAGAAGTTAGTGTTTATATAGGGTTTTACTGCCCCACAAACCAAAAGAAAAGGAAAGTGAGAAGACTCTTTTGTGTTCTCACTTTCTTTTTTTCTTTTTTGGTTTGGGTGAAAAGGGGGGGGGGGGGGAAGAGTAAAACCTTATGTAAACACGAACTTCTGTGGAATAAAATTCATCTGTATTTGAGACTCTGTGTGTTGTGTCGTCCTTTGTCTTTTCCCCAGTCTTGGGGTTTGTCTTAAATTACGTAGTGAAAAGTTTAATTGCACGCAGTTTCATCGGCTTCTTTATACGGTTTTCATTTGACGCCCAACAAATGCTCGAGAAGAGCCCGTAAACGGTTACGACGGCGCGTCCGGCAGATGCCTACCGGGACCCGGGACGTCGTCGTAAGGGTAGAGCACCCCGAGCAGGCCTCCGAAGAGCAGCACGGAAAGCACGGCGGGGCAGGCGCGCTCCAGGCGGAGCACGGCGGCACTCTCAGGCTCCAAGGTCCGTCCGTTGCCGCGTCCCCGGTCGAAAGCACCGGGGAAGTTCTTGTTGATGGCCACGCCGTTGGTGTTGGTGCTGCGTGCACCGTGGAAGGTTAAGGCCGGTTTACACGCTTGCGTTTGCCTAAGACCGCGTTCTTCTGATATCTTACCGCTCATTCACACTGGAAGCGGATCCGCGTTCGCTAAGCGGTTGCGAGCGCGGTTGCATAAAGATCCAGGGCAATTGCACGCGCACTCGATGACATCAGGTGCGCGTGCAATTGTACTGGATCTTTATACAACCGCGTTCGCAACCGCTTTGCGAACGCGGATCCGCTTCCAGTGTGAATGAGCGGTTACAGCGAAAAAATACATCGCCGTCTATGAGGTGACCCTCTGCGACCGCATTTCACGAGAGCGAAGTCGAATGTGAGCACTATTTACAAAAAAAATGCTCAGTCATAACATTGCCAAAAGTTTATAAATAAATAAAAAAAAATGATGCACGAAAAAAGAAAAAGGGAAAATATACGGGAGATGCTAAGTGTTCCACGGCTACCAATAGATGGCGCCAGTGTGTTCTACCGTCGTTAGAAATTTAAAGAGGTTGTAAGGCAGACGGGTCGCAAGCAGTCGTAAGTGTGTGAACCAGACTAATGGCGCGTTTCAACGTGTGAATTCGTGGCGAAATTGACTCGTCGGTGGCGGAAAATCTGGATGAGTCCGGGGGCTCTAATCTGGACGCTTGGCGGAAAAGTCGGCGAGGAATTCAGCAGCCGTGATTGGCCGACGCCGCGCTCGACCTTGTCGCCGGCCAATCATGGCGGCACCGACTTTTTCGTCAAGTGTCTAGTTTAGAGCACCGGGACCCAATATCCCGATTTCCCGGCAGCGAGGAGTCGATTTCGGCGCCCGGCTCGAAATTCTACTCTCCGCCATGCGCGGATTCGCCCGCGAATCCGCAAGTGTAAACGCGCCATAAAGCGCGAAACGCAGCAAAAATCGCGCCGCGTCGCACCGTCGAACGGCGTAACCATAACAACCGAATGGCTCTCATCGACCCCCTGATGTCCCGTTGCAACTCAAGAAAGTAGTGCGAAGGAAAGGAAGGCTGGGAAAGCCCGTTGCAGTTTTAGTTTTCATCCCCCATACTACCCATTATATAAAAAAAAAAAAAAAAAAAAAAAAAAAAAAAAAAAAAAAAAAAACGACGAAATGTGTTCAAACATGGGTGCCGACATTGTTGGTCGTGCAAGAGTGTACCGTTAACAAATGACGACAGTAGGAAGCAAGGACAGGAGAAAGTGTGCACGCATACGCAGGGAATACTGGACAAAGCGGTATAGGTGCGTACTCGCCAACCATGCCGATGCATTCTCCGGGGATGGACGCGTCCGATCCGTCGACGTTCACCGAAGGCACCACCGACAGCCTGGCGTTGTCGAGGAGCCAGGCAACGTCTTGGTCCTTCTGCTTGTTTTCCACCACGTAGTCCACCAGTTGCAGCGCCACCTCACGGGTCACAGGCTGCGCAGAGACTTGGAGCGTTAGACCTGATCTTCGGATAGATCGTGGCTATGGTGTTTGAAACGGAAACTCACGTCGTTCCCGTAGATATTGGCGACGAGGTGCACGTGAGGAACTAGAGCGTCTTCTTTAGGGCGCCTGCTCAGCATCACCTGCCAGATGTGTCGTCCTATAAGGAAGGGTTGTTTATGTAACATTGCCAAAAGTTTTTCAAGCCAAGAAAGTGAGAACGATGCCCGGAACAAATAAGAAATACAATGGACTGCCAAGTGTTTCAGAATATCCGATAGGTGGCGCCACTCGTCGTAAAAATATTTTAAGAGGTTTCAAGGCACGCGGTCCTAATGAGTCGCAACGCAAGTGTGTGAACGGTCCTTTAAACACAATCTGTGTTAATACAAACAAAAGTGGCAAAAAGAATGAGAGGACATTGGCACGAAAGATATTGTTGAACAAAAATAGCTGCATATGCACATGCGCAGGACTTCCCCACGTAGCGGCGAAAGCTTGAACTAGAGTTGTCGACAAGGGAATTGCGCTACATTTCAAGCCTCCTCCGGGACCCATCTGAGTCGCAGAGGAGGCAGGAGAGGTAGCGCAACTTACCTTCCGGACGCCAATCGCAATTCGAGCTTACTCCGCTTAGTGTCGTCTTCGCGCGAAAAAAGGTACGTTAAAGGAAGTAAATCGGAGATCAGAAAGTTGATCGCGGGTTAGACAGGAAGCCCATTAACTGCCTCTGAAATAGGTTTTTTACGGGATACTTTTCCATCTTTATCTGACAGACGTTCTCCTCTTTCGTGTAACTCTGTGAACAACAACGAGGTGCATTTCCTGACGGCCATATAGCTGAGTACTCCGTGCCTGCTCAGCGCAAACTCACGGAGAGCTTCCACGGTGCACTTCTGCACCGTGCATCAAGATTGCTAGGCCTATATAAACCAACGGTATATTTACAAACAAGCCCGTGTTTGCCCGCATCAGATGTTGGCACTGCGCGTCCGTAGAAACCAGATTCGCGTGAATTGAAGCGTCTACGCATGCTCCGTCCTGACAGGAGCGCCTCCACACTGGCGTGACATCAGAGTCGCGAGTTGACGTGTAAGTGCGAGCTCGTTCTGAACATGCACCGTGCTGCACAGCATGCTCAAATACAGAGTCCGATGCATGCAGAGCGCAAATTCGTCTGCTTCTTTTGGAGGGGCTGTGGTGGCATCAGAACGCCAAGCTCTGATTGGCTCTGATTGAAGGATAGTGGGTAGACCTCAAGGCAGCTTGTTTTGGTGTCTACCTACCATCCTTCAATAAGAGACAATCAAAGCTCCGCGTCCTGATGTCTGCACAACCCCTGCAAAAGAAGCAGACAAAGTTTCGTTCCGCATACCCCTTATGCACGTACGAAAGCGTTTTAGGATGGTGTTTATGAATTCAGCAAGACAAGTGCAAGTGTATACCTTTCCAGGTCTTGCCGAGAAGCTGCAGGGTGACGAGTTCGCGGTTCTCCGAAGCCAGCCGGGTGAGGTAAGCGTTCACCTCGCCCAGTTCGTGGTAGGTGAACGAGAGCCCAAAGGACGGCACCGACAGATGGAGCAGCGCCAGTAGCATCAGCGGCGGAACACAGAGCGCGGCCATGAGGACACTGTGCGCGGCGCACGTCTCGAATGAATCCATGACTTGCTTTATGGCTTCCCATCAATTGCCATCGTGGTGGCCTTGTTACAGAGAGCGCAGCTTCTGTAGAACACCTTATTCTTGTTTCTCGGCAAGATTAAGTAGGAAACGACCACCTGCATGGTGCGTTGGGGTCACGTCGTCCAAGCTATGTCCAACAGGGACTCGAGGACCAATCACGCAACTTTCGTCACTGCATAAGGTCGCCTGTACGTAAATTTGTCTTGGAGACAGGTACTCCCAACAGCTATACGTCATTGCGTCGCGTTGGTGGTCATTCCACCAGGAACAGTGGAGAAAATAGTGCCTGTGTATTTCTATTGCTGTGAGTTTACTTGCCATTTAGAACTGGTCATTTTTATTGACTGAAGCCCAACAAACAATATGCTTCCAAAAACAAGCTTCTCCAGAAAGCACTTGAGTGTACCTTTAAGTGCTTATCACCCAATCGAAATATGCCTTGTCACTGGGCTGTAGACGCACGCGTGACGTTTCATATCGCACAAAAGTGAACTACTGCCTGTGTCCAGAACGCTTGTTACGGCCCAAAAGACAAAGGTAACAGAACGCAGAAGGCGATGACAATTTCAATAATCGCTTTCTTCGGGCCTTGATTGTGAGTGTGCTAATATAAAGTTTTAGTTGCTTGCTCCAATACCTCCGATGACAATATCCGACAATACAATGCATCGAAGGTGTTGGAGCGATCTACTAAAATTCCCTACTATAGCAGGAAAGAGCTCAACTAATCGCAGTTCCAAGCGAAAAGTACCAATGAGGCGCATACGGTACATTGAGGTCCTATCACCGAATATATGCTAGGAGCACATGGAGCCAGCAGCTGTGTTCGTAAACGTAATAAAAAAGCTTCGTCGCAACCCTTATGCTTGTCATCACCCGGTCATGCTCTAGCCGAGCGCAGCAACTAGAGGGCCGTTATTCTCAAGTCCGTCGGTGGGACTCTATCTGAACGTCGTCCACGTACTGAGGCTTAGTGAGACCTGACTTTCCGACTTTTCATTTCCTCCGTACATGCTAGGGGGACGTCTGTCTTACCTCTGGAACGAACAGCTTCAGAGTAGAGGAAGTCGAGGACGGTTGTTTCTGTGCTCCCGTCTTCGTTTTCCTCCAAAAGGACCCACGGCGATAAGCTGATCAAAAACTGACTGTCACGAGGCTCGGAGAACAGGTGAAGCGAAAGCTCGCGCTGCAGAACCCAGGAATCCTGCGTTCTGCTGCACGATTTGTTTTTGTTTTTGACTATTGGCGACGTGCACGACCGAAAGCGTCGCTGTGGCCGGCCTTCCACGATTGGCCGAACGCTGACTATGACGTCAAAAGAGGATTTATCATCGACGGAAATAAGAGGAATGAAAGAACTTTAATTTTGACGGTGTTGGCAGTGTTCCTTTGGGAGAGCAATGATTTCAAGCTTACACCATGCTATTTACAAACACCATCGAACTTGTTGTTTGCAAGGTAATGACGTCACAAGGGGGAACCGTACGAAGGCGCCACCAAAACATCTCGCCGCAAATAGCCATTAGGGAATTGTGCTCCTCATTCACCTTGTGCATTCGGTTGTTTTATTGTGGATACTTAACCAAGTACAATCTAAATCTGATCGCTAAGCCACGAAAGTAAGAGTTCTCATGTATTCTACCAGGATGTGACCCTGTGTTCTACTCGACGTCAACATTTTCGTGCTGCGTTGTTAAGTTTAGCATAGCCTCTACAACGCTGTCAAATCTGCTTCTGCGAGCTCATGCAGTCGGGACACAAGACAAAACCGGATGCTCACACAAAGGTGCGCGGCGGTGGTACTGCGAAAACAAAGTTCGCCTTGACAACGCAGCACAAAGAAGTTTACGGCGAGCAGAGCGTCTATCCTTGCAGGTGCATACTCCAGATACAACTTAAATTCAGCGACAAGAATGGACATTGTGGGACGGAGACAGAAATTGGCACGTTTTCTAATTTTGAAATAAAAAAACAAAACAAAAAACATCAACCACTTGCTTTTGCAATTTTTGAACGGCTGCAGCTCGAAAGATTCCGTTTCACTGTAGCCCCTAACCAACATAGCATCGTATTCCGTTTGAACGAGTGGCAGACAGGCAGCATGTTAACAAACGTTTGTAAGCTGAGGCAGAAAAAAAAAAACGAATAAAAGCAAGGGCTTGAATGAAACTGAACGCTCCCTAGCGTAGCCGAAACATGTCCCATCTTTTTCCGCGTTTGTCGACGAACTACAAATAGTGCCTTCGGCCTTAACTGTCGTATCACTTTGTTTCATCAGATGTCCGAGCGAGCGCAGTGGAAGACGCGAACACTTACAACCACGGACACGCGTACTGAAAGCGTAAATCACTGGGCCTTTCTTGTACGTGATTGGTTTAGCGATGATAGAACACACGCTGGAACACGAACACTGAACACCATGACGTTGCGTTTTGACGCTGTTCTTGTTTGAATGGTTTCATCGGCATGTAGCGTCTGCTGCGTTCGAACTTAAAGGGACACAACATCCCTCCAATCCTTTTTAATTTTTTTTTTGCCAGGCGATTTGTTATTGGTGTCAGAAGACTATACGCAGTCAATATTTTGTTACAGCGTCACGTATATTTTTAATAAAGTCGAAACACGCAACTGCTCGAAACCAAAACCGGACTCGGAAGGAAGAAGAAATATAGTGGAGGAGAAAGTTGGGGAAAGTTACGTGGCTGTGCAGCTTTTTTCTCTCGAATCAACGTATTTGCAGCTTTTTAAGAGTCACAAAAAATGAATATCATATTTTTTTATATTCCTAATATTGTGAGTGTGTGTGCCTTCGATGACCAACCACTTTGATTACATTTGGTGGTTGTGTCTAAACCACAAAAAAAAAAAAAAAAAAAAAAAAAAAAAAAAAACGGCTCGTGATTACGAAGAAGAGAGTGAGTGCGACTCAAGCCGGCCAGTTGACGGTTTTCAGGCGGAAAGAAAACGAATTTCGAGTCGCGAATTCTGTTCTGGATAGTTGAGCTCTCATATGGCATGTACAAATAAAAACCTTGGCGAGCATAAATACCCTTTCAGTGTCCCTTTAAGGTGAAACAGGAGAATCAAAGTGCGTTCTGTTATGTCTCTGCTGTCATTAGTCGTGACGTAGAATATGTGCTTTCCTCCCGTAAAAAAACTGCTCTTCTCTATTTTTTTTTCATCTTAAAATCGGCTTTTGATTTATCGGGCTTTGAAGCAGGATTATTAATCACGCGTCGATCGGTTATCGAGGACTCGATGACGAGGCACTTTTCGTTCGGAGGCTACCAGGCCGACCCGGCGGACACCGGCACGTGCCGGCAGTGGAGCGACACGCCCGTCCATGTCTGCGCACACAGCGCTCCCGCAAGGCTGTGTGTAGCCGAGCTATAGGCGTCGGATTCATTCGGCTCAACGCTTGCGGAGCCGGAGCTCAGTTCTGTGCTTCCCTCCCACTAAGACGTCTTCCACAAGACACGCTCGTCCATTGCCGGTGCCCTTCTACAGCCCGGCGTTTTGTGACGGGATCGGAAGACACTGCCCAAGAGAAGCGTCATCATGGACATCATGGCAAGGCTCTCCCGGGCCGAGTGAGTACGAAGGTCCCTTAGTGAGTACGGCTGCTGGTAGTGTCACATCTCGACCCAACCTTCCGCCCACCTGGTCAAAGCAATGTCGTCACTTTACCTGACACTTGATGAGGCGATCAATAGGCAAGTTTAGCCTAACGTTGCAGTGCGGAGCGGTCTTGCTTACGAAAGCTCGGAGTGCACCTTCAAAGTTGGCTTGTCAGCTTGCGCCAGGAGCGTTGTTGTGCTTGCGGTAACGATACGGGGATCGGCCTACCGTGGTTTGCGCTTACCGGGTGCTGAAGGCATCGAACGGAAAACCTTGACATTCAAGTAAACCATTAGACGTTACGCGAGCCGATAATACGAAAGGCCAATTTAGGTTCGTGTACAGTCGGTAGCAAAACTTTGCGGGGCTTGGGAGCGCCAGCCGAAAAGACTGGCTGCGCCTTGTCACGGCGCGCTGCCGCTCTCAAGACTCGCGCTTTGCGCATGCGGTTCCTTTCTTGTTCGCAATCATGTTTATTTCGCTCGCTGCCGTTCAACATGCACAAGATAACAGGAACTGGCGCAAAGTGCCGCGAAATGTGATCTGTAGAATGCGCGAGCTTCGTCATCAATCACTATCACGGAGGCTGAGGCAGATGCGCGGCATGTTGGCCGTCAAAGCGGCACCTTGCGCCGGTCCCGGTTATCACATCGGGCGGAATCAAGTACGAAAGACATGACTTAGAGCACGAAAGAAAGCATTCTCGAAGCGTGAATCTTGAGAGCGGCCGTGCGCCGACAGGAGGCGCAACCAATCATTTCGGCTGATGCTCCCGCGCACCGGAAACCTTTGCTGCCGAGTGTACCTGCGTGCACATTGAGTCGCGAAATATATGTTATGATCGCGATAGTACGTTGCTTGTAGCGAAATGTATTAAAGTTTGCACTTTTTAAACACGAAATTCGGCGCGCACTATGTTCAAATTCAGAGATTTCAGTGAAATCAAGAAATTCGTAATGTAATCTCGCAACAATAATTCACGTGGATATGGTGGGCCAGAAGGGGAAGCCTGACAGTATGGTGATTTAGAAGGGTCTTGCGACCGCTCACTCCTCCCAACGGCCCAGAGCGGTCCCGCACTTGATGCTTGAGTACCACTCTCATTACTGTATTATATGTAGGCTGAGAGCACCGCCACAAGCCGCCTCGGTGGTTCCGAAGCGAGAGCGCTGGCCTACGGATCCCCCTGTGGCGGGTTCGAATCCCAGCCGAGGTGCCCGCAATCTGATGGAGGCTTATTGCGGAGGAGGCGCCGTGAAACCGAGCTTTTGGTTGCACGTCAAAAGTTCCCCAGGTGGTCCAAATTCCTCACTCCTCCGCTGGGGCGTGTCAGATGCCTGTCGTTGGTTTGGCACGTAAAACCCCCAAATTTGACTTAGCAGCGCCACAAGTGCACTCTGCGCTGCACCCGTAACTTCGAGCAGCTCTCGCAGCTTTACCTCTACCTGCGCACTCTCTCCCACTCGGGGAAGGAGGCGTGTGCATGTTAGTGATACCGCTAAGCTGACAGGGAGACTGACAAGTCGTTCTTACCGGACCAATCGGATGTCTGTCTTTTAACGCCGGACCTCACTCTCTACTCGACGCGCAGTGATGCAAGTCCGGCGGTTGACCAGTTCAGTGAACGGCTTTGGGCCAACTTTTTTTTTTTTATCCTATCTACTATTTTTAAACACTTTCTGACCCTTTCAATATACGTGCCTGTGTGCATGGAGCGTCTGCCGTGCCGGTTCATATTGTTTGAATTGCCTACTGGGTGAGAATAAAGTCCCTTGATGTGCTTGTCATAAGGCCCTGTCACATCGAGGAAACGTATGTTGGCGTCATCAACGCATGTTGATCAACAGTCGGGCAACATGTTGGTCATCGACTCTGTTGTTCAACAGACCTGTCACATTACGTGAAAATCAGCAAAACAGGAATGACAGCGACCTTGTTGGCTGGGTGCGACAGCTTTTGGCAGCAAAAACAGCAGCAACTTATGTTGAACCATGCGTGTTGGCCGGCACGACAACGCGGACTGCTTCGAGCGTGAAGCGCACCCGATCAGTAACGAGTTTCTTTAAACTAATTTACCCGAATATCGGGTTGTAAAATGTTGTTTAAGAATGTTCGAGCCTGATGTGCAGCTGAGACGATGTGAAAATTTTACACGTAGCTGAAAAGCAATCATCTAAATTGTCACGGCTACCGTCTCGAGCACTCAGTCATTTAAGATTGCAAGTGCAGAAAATGATCAAAACGCGTATTCATAGAATGGTAAAAATGACACGCAGACTCGTATGCACGGCTGCCGGGTGACCGAAACATGTTTCCCAACAGTTGATGTCTCAGTATGGACACTTAAAACACGTTTTACTCGTCTTTACGGCCAATGTTCTCCAACTGAATGCGACAGCACTTTTTTTTTTCTAGTTGCGTCAAATGCGCCAATAAACAGTGCCCGCGTCTGTTAGAAACACACCTGGACCTCTAAACTCGTCGAACACAAATTTGGGGCTTAATTTGACGAGCACACCGATGACTTTGCGCTTTTGTCGCCAGCGTCCAATCGACTCGCTCCGCGCACTTTCGGCTCCAACTGTATGTTTGTAGAGTTTAGGGCCCCTGTTAGATAATAAGGGCGGACCGCTCAATTTGCAGCATCACCTAAAACGACAAACGTACGGATTATTGGACACGATCTGTTTCATCAGCGTTTAGCCGAAACTCGCGTCTTCGGTACTATATAGACGAGCCGAACGACGACGCAGCAGTCGTATCCAATCCGCGCCCAGAATTTGCCTCTTCAATGGACGTTAAAAGCAGATTGTTGAAGATCGAAGTAATATTGCGTTGTGCCATACGTTCCCTCAAAACGCTGATCATTTTTTTTTTTTTTTTTAGTGTTGGAGTTTAGAGTAGCGTACACAAACTTTACGTCCGCAAAGAAAGATCGTCATCGCCACCCACCTATCCGCAACGGGGTTTCAGCTTGGCGCATGCGTAGTGAAGATGACTCAATTTGCATGCCTTTGCAAAGCTTTTGGGTAGGCTATTATAAACCTTCCTCTTTTCGCCGGCAGGTTGACTAAATGTAAGGAAGGTGTTTTAACGCGCTTTATTTTTCTGTCACGAGTGAGCGCTAAAAGACACGCCGAAGACACTTAAGACTGCTCACGTGTATAAATGTGCAAGGCATTATAATCCCGCGGGAGAAATGTTTTGCTCCCCCACTGCGCAGGTGCATCTCCCCTGTCGGCTTCACGGCTTCCGCGACGAAGCATCTGCGTTGCTCCGCTTCTCTTTGTGTTTTATTTCTGAAGCGCGTCTGCTCTGACCTTGAGCGGCGCGTGCTTGATGGCGTATTTTTATGGCCATCTTTCGAGCACAACGCCGTGGCCGTTTTTTTTTTTTTCACGTAATGGAACATATAAAGTTGAGGCGCAACACTGAAATGGACTGTCCATGGAAGCAAATGTCTTTTGCGCAGGGTTTCGTTAGAACCTGTAAGAAAACGTGAAGCGTGAATTCGATCGACGAGTTTTAATCCACGTGCACACTGTTAGTACAATGTATAGAATGCGCGGGTATTCGCTGTATGCAGGACAGAATTATTCGCGTACACACCTCGATTTAGGATGGGAATATGTTTGCTTCATCCGTTTGTATGCCTCCAACATATCTGCGGACAATGTTTGTACGATTAATCTGACGGGGACGTCGCACAAGAAAAAATACACGGCCGAAAAAATGTCTGCAAGCTTTTTTTTTTTTTTTTCAGTGAATGAGTGCTGTGACTGCAACTTAAGGCGAGGTTTATTAGGTTTCAGTGCGTCAATGTTTGGCAAGGGTTCGTTTGGTGACTAATATTGATCGTCTCGACATCTAGATCCCGGAAAGAAGGGTTCACGGCCGAGAACCTCGAGCACCTGGAGCAGGTGTTCCGCGATGCCGTGGGGCCGAACCGGGAGCTAAGCCGGGAGCAGTTCGAGCGGATCGTGCAGTCCCGCAACGCCTTCTTTGCCGATCGCATGTTCCAGCTGTTCGACACGGACCGGTCCGGCACCGTGTCCCTAGACGAGTTCATGGCGGCCGTCAAGAGGTTCGCCAACAAGTCGCAGGACGACAAGCTCGCCCTCCTCTTCGAGCTCTACGACGTGGACGGTGAGTAGGAGAAGGCGTTGCGTCCTTTTACGGGATATTCTTTGACGCCTCTGCGGGATAGGGAGAAACATACTTGCGGCGATAACTTACGACCGAGGGCGTTAAAACTTCTTGTTATCGTTTACGTTCAAAGAAAATGCTAGTGCCATATCTCGTCTAGCCACGGAACAGATGTTGCGAAACCTTCGCTTTAGTGAAATGTAGTTCCAGAGTAAGCTCATAGATGGCGCCAGCGTGCCAGTGTGTTCTCTCATCACAAGAACTCGGTCGTAAGCAAACGCCAGTGTGTGAACTAGCCTATAGGATTCAAAAGAACGTGAAGACTACGTTCGCCCTCTTTTGACACAGTTGCCGTACAAGATACATGAGGGGCTGTGGCATGGCGTGGTTAGTAGCTAGCATTTTGCTAAGAGACCCGTAGCTGCTTCAGGGCATTAGGGCTTGTGCTGTGCTATACATATTGTTGTTGGTCAAGTAGGTCCGGTTGGTATGGGTTTTAAACTTCAGTTGGACCATGTACTAGTGAGCTTATATTTAGGAACTTGGTGGCATATCTCTGACACTGCTTCAGAACTTCGGGTTGGGTTGGTTGATTTATTTAATAGATATACTTGCACAGTGCAAACAAGACAAAATGACGTATACGTATACAAAGACAGGCATGCCTGTCTTTATTGTACGTGTGCCTTTCTCCCGTTGTCCTGTTGGTGTTCTGTAGTTTTCATGGCCTCTGACACTGGCTTTCTACTTGTGAATCACTATTTTCACCATTTTCTGGTAAGAACTTGTCACTAGACGGCGAATTATCAATTCACCAGACAGGAGGAATTAGTGCATCACAAAGCGCCCAAAAACTGAGAAAAATATAACCTAGAGACGATTTTAGATACCTCCGCATGCATGCAAGAAGAATTGATCTTTATTTTTCTTTTTGTTTAATGCTAGCTTTACTTTATAACTGCGGTCACGCAATGATATATTGGGTTTCTAGGCAAAACAGTGACTTTGTGCGGTGAATTCGTCATTACAAGTTTCGGCGGCTTGGCATCTACGCGAGAGAAACAGGAATGTCAATATTCGCCGCCCTAGTTTAAAGCTCGTAGTAAACGTCTAAAGATATAGCATCCCGAATTTTTTTTTTAATGTATGTTTGCGCTTTTAGGCAGAAAGCTGTGCGACATAATTATGGGGTATATATGGTAGGCTATTATAACATCCAGGGGGCTGCGGTTATGCTATCTGATCACTGCAAAAGTTTACTCAACTATAATCTGGTCGGTTCACGACACAGAGTCAACCCCGCTCGCAGAACAGCGGGATAGCTCTTGTTATACACCGGGGTCAACTTTCTAAAGCTACACCATCCTTCAAAGTCATAAGGCGCTTGTGTGCTCGGGCACCTTCAGAGCTCCCACAATGCATGTGCTCTTCGCAAAGTGTTCCTCGCCTATGGACTTCTCTGGTGTTGTTTTTTTCTGGTCACGGCTACTTGCAGGGGACGGCATGATACAGCCAAACGAGCTCCGTGACGTGATGAAGGCGTGCATGGAGGAAAACGGGTTGCAGTTCAGCGACCCCGAGCTGGACGAGCTCACCCAGGTGCTCTTTGAGGACGCCGATCGGGACGACACCAACTCCATCAGCTTCGAGGAGCTCCGCACCCAGCTCCAGAGCAGGCCGGGACTGTACGAGAACCTCACCACCAGGTGGGAGCAGTCTCTCTGAACCACTATTTAGTTCTGTTTGCGGGAACATAACTTGAACATCACGCTTTCGTTTACGCGTTGCCAATGAACCTTCCTTCGGGTAGCGGGAGAAACAGAAAACACTACAACCGCGCGACGTCTTTTGTAATCACTGTCATTGCGATATCCAGTCGTTGACGGAACGATACCGCGACTTGGATATTTTAAGGTTCTAGGGGTTGAATTTCGAGATCATAACTTTGCAGCTTTTGTTCCGTGTACGTTCAAACAACAAGTTATTAGTCAGCTCCAATATGTGTATGTGTCTGATGTAGAGGGAAACATAAGCCAGTACAGTAGCTCTGCTATCCTGGGTCGTATAACGTTAATCACGCTGTCGTGATTACACGACCGCATGTCGGTATACGATTCTCATCCAGGTCGAAACGGGCAGAAAAGGGTATTGAGCCCAAGACCCCTGACTTCTGCGAAGTTAGGTTAGACGACTGTGATACTTCCTTTCAACCTTAACTCGGAACGGAGTTTATCATAGGGGCCGATCCAACAAGTCACACAGCATCAAAAGCGCAACGTCATGGCATTTGTCAGCGCCTTATACGTGTTCTATCAACTGGTAAATCATTGAAGAGCGGTGAATGCCCGCTGACCTGCGCTTTTTTGTATTTGTGTCGGTGATTGTATGCGTTTGAACCTACGAGTACTCTTACGTGGCAGATGTCACTAAATGTTAACAAATGTGTTCGCATGCATATAACCCGCAAAACTAGTTTTCTTTTCTATAGTTATTCCATTAACAATACTGTCCTAGCCGAAGCGACTTCCTATAAATAACTCGGTGTAATCATTTCAAACGACCTGCGTTGGAACACCCATATCAAATATATTGTTCGCAAGGCATTAACTAAGCTCTGGTTTCTCCGGCGAAATTTAAAGCAAACCTCATCGGATGTAAAATTAACAGCCTATAAAACGTTTGTTCTGCCTATATTAGAGTATGCGTCCGTTGTCTGGGACCCGTTTACTAAAACCAACATACATTTACTTGAATCCATACAGAGAAAAGGCTTGCGCTTCATATACAAAAAATTTCAGACAATACCCGGTTTCCGAACTATATGCGTGTTCTAGCATTAGCCCATTAACCCATAGACGCATGTTTCAAAGATTAAAAGTTTTGCTCGACCTACTAAACAACCGATTTAATATTGACACCTCTACATATATTTCACCTGCTCTTCATAATTACCCCACGCGAAATTTTCATTGTAGATCATTACAAGAATACAGCTGTGGGGTCGATGTATTTAAGTTCTCATTTTTCCCAAGGACCATTCATGATTGGAATGCCTTACCCAGTCATATAATAAATGCTTCATCTGAGTCATAACTCATTGCTAACCTTCGCAGTTCCTGTAACTCCTGCGATTGACGGTATTTCTTGTAGGTTATTTCGTTGTTGTGTTTTTTTTTTGCTCTAATTTTTATTCAATACTGTATAATGATGACATTGATTGCCTTATTCGCGTGCGCTAAAATGACTAGAAATGTATGCCTTTATACAACATTAGGTACCCCCTCCTACCACATCTCCCGAAGGAGATAGTAGTATCAATAAATAAAATATGTTGAGACGAAGTGTAGACCATTCCGATAATCGATTTGTGAGCGCTGCCATCTTTGTTTCCTGGACTGTGGAACGAGTTCTGAGCAGAAGGAATGGCCCTCTTCTGCAGAGTATCTGTTACCGCACATGCGTCCTTTGCCCAGTGCCTCGGCATTTTCGACTTTGGTGTTAAAAAACTGGTTTCCTGTTCCAGCATCGAGCGCTGGCTGCTTCCCCCTCGGCGAGGCGGCAAGGAGCGCCTCCTTGCCTGGCCCCAAGACCTGCGCTGGCCCAAGAAGCTGACGCGCCACTACGCGCGCAACAACTACGTCAGCATGGGCTTCTGTGCCTGCTACTTGGCACTCCAGGTCAGTGTTGACAACTGAAAAGCCAACAAACATTCCCTAAAAAGGTTAGCAGTCCTGTGTGAATTTACGGTACAGTCAGTGATAGCCGACACATTTTGTCGAACCTTAATGTACCCTTATGTACCTTGCACTTCCGTGGAGGAACCGTTGACAATATCTGCTCGGAGAATGACGCGCTCATCTATAACTATACAACTATCCGGACATCACGACTTCGTGTGATGATTTCTATAGCATTTCTATAAAACTTTGATTTATATAAACATTTAAACATTTTAATGGAATTGGATTTTTTATTAATTCTATGAATATCGATTTCTATAAGAATTTAGATTTCCGTAGATGATTTCCATAGAATTTAGATTTCTATAGATGATTTCTGCACATTTTTAGTTATTGTTTTTATCGAAAGTTAAATTGCTATGAATGATTTCTATAGAAATAAAAAAAAAAAATAACGTTGTCATTGTGACGTCATGACATCACGTGACGTCCTGACGTCACGGGGCACCGTGACGTCAGCCACGTGAGATTGAGGGAGCCCGGGACAGACGCCGGATAACTTGACCGATGGGAAGATTCAACAACAGCTATCGCAGCGCAAGGAGCGCTGAGTCCGCGCCACTTCGTGCTCCAGGTGGCCGTGTTCATGAGCCGCTGGGCTTCCGAGTCGCACAAGCACCGGGAGCTGGAACGGAGCATCGAGCGGTACTGGCTCGTGTTCGGCGCCAGGGAGACGAGCGCCCTGTCCGGGCGCAACATGTCCGCCCTTCTGAGGACCTTTGGGGACGGTGCCGAGGTCGAGTGGAGGCCCGACGCGCCGTCCATGGGGCTGCACAGCGACTACGAGCTCGTCGCCAGAGAGTTCGGTGAGCGGGAAAAAGAAAAATTGTGATCTCTTGGGCATTTTCAGAAGCTGGTTCTTCCTTTGTTTCTCCTTTTTCGTGCACAGTAAAAAGGCCACTGAAGGGCACACACTTGGCGACGGTTTTGTGAATATGTAAAGCCGTCAGGGTGTCACCACGTGACAATATGAGGTCACGTGACCACATGGCATGTGACGTCAGGATCGCGTCATGGGATATTCTGAAGGCACCATGCCACGTGGCGTGGTGGTGCCACGTGTGGCATCACAGGGGATCTATACAACGTGACAATGTGACGTGGTCACGGAAACCGGAAGGGCTGGCCCTACATGGGATCTAAATTCAGAAACTTTTGATTTGATGTGTGGCGTTTTTGCACGGTACTTGGTACATAACTCAGCCTTCTTTAAAGGCCATATAGGCCTTGCTGATGTTCGTAATACAGGACTGGAGTGCAGTCTACACTTTTCCAGATAATGTTTATACCTCTTTTGGTGTTTTATAGCTAGGGTTCGGCGTTTTCGGTTTAAACCGATAAAAACCGATTAAGTACGCCGAATCCATTTTCGGAAATTCGGTTTTAACCGAAAAAGGTCAGTTTTTAGGCTCGGCATTTTCGATTGAAACCGATAAAAATACGTCGCATTCATTTTCTAAAATTCAGTTTTAACCGGAAAAGCTCACTTTGACCTTCCAGTCGTACCGCAGAGCTGTGGCGAAAAAATGGAACAACAGTGTCTATCGAAATGTGCCCGAATTTATGGGATACACGGATGCCATCACGACGTTTTGGTTTGAATGTGCCGCATCATCGATCCGAACGTGAAGTCTGAAATGCCCCCTGACTCCCCATATACAAGCGTGTTTTTTTAACTCGTTGTAAAGAAGACTGACTTGATTCAAGCTCTGCATGTTATGTTGTGCTTCAATACGTCCCACCGTGTCTCTTTTGGTGGTCACAATTGGTTGATGGGCCAATTTTGGCTCAGGCAGCTATCCTCAGCCTGCCAGTGTCCAGTGTTAGCGTTGTGAGGGCATTCTCGAAGCTCAGGGTTATATTAACAGGGAAGAAAGAGTGCGGATCAACGAGGAGAAGTTGGGAATGTACATGTATGTGTACTATAATAAGATCACGTAATCCTGACGTACAGACGGTAAAGTTCCATTTTTTTTTTAATAGGCTTGTCTTATTTGTCTTACTTCTTGTTCTTACTTGTCTTACTTGTCTGTACTTCTGTTTTCTTCTTGTTTCTTTTACAGTTGCACACATTCGCCAAATAAAGTGTCCATTTCTTTTTCAATGTATCTGTGCCGTTATTCTTTGAATGATCAAAAATATCAGAGCTTCAAGAATCATCTGATCCGGTGACCGTTCGTGTTTATTGTATATTCACTGAAAAACGCCGATAAAATTTTGAGGGCATAAATATACGCCGAAAAAAACCGAAAATTGAATTTTAAAATAAACACCGACAAAAGTACGCCGAATTTTGAAAAAAATAGAAACCGAAAACGCGGAACCCTATTTATAGCTATACTCATCCTCGTTATTCTTTTTCTCTCCAACTGGCTCTTTCTTAGCTATGACTTTCTCTTCCCTAAATCGCAGTGTAAATTAGCTGACCAGGATTTTCCAGAACCAACATTACCTAGACAAGGCCGTGTTGCTGGATTTCTGACGTCACCTATACCGGAGGTCAGCACAGATCATTCAGGAGTGTAGTGTTCAGCTGGAACACGGTTCCTCACTGACAGTGATTGAACATGAGTCAGACTAAACAGTCCTGTCAGATGTGTAGTCCAAGCTGGCCTCCTATTGGTGACACTAAAAACACAGCACTACGGTGTTGTTTTCCAGGAGTCGTTGACAGAACTCATTCCTCTGTATTTCTTTTCTCTTTGTACGACGAAGGACGTTAAACTGTTCAGCTGTAGAGAGTTCATCAGTGAAGTTTCCTTGGCCGCGCTTTACCAGGTCAGCTGCTGAACCTGATGTGCTCCATCACGGCGCTCCCCGTGTTGCGCATGTGCAACACATGGCTCCGGAGCCAGGGGGCCAGCAGGTTCCTCCCACTGGACAGCGGCATCTACTACCACAAGCTGACCGGCTGGCTGGTCCTCGCCTACAGCATCATCCACACCGGGGCACACTTGCTCAACTTTGGTGAGTTCAAGGGCCGATGGTGTGTCCGCATCTTTGCATGCGCCAAGCAATGACGTGAATCTGCAAGCCACTCTGACACTTCCTAGGTCATAAGCTGTCCATGCTTGGTAGCTGATGCCCTAGTTGATTGCGGTAAAAATCTCTTTAATCGCTAGGCGTTAGCCGATGGCCGTTTCTCCTATCTTGTGTGTACCGCCATATTTGTGTTTAGTGCAGAGCGGGCACAATCGGCTATTGTTTGCGTTTTGAAAATGCTGCTTCCTCAGTTTTAGAAACAATGTCAGGAAACCCAGGTGGTAACATTTCGCTCTCCCCCTGACTGGTTTAACATTTCTGGAGGGCGGAAAAGCGTTTCCTGGGATTTCAGGTAAAGCTTCGTGTAACTGGCAACAATGATTTCAAGCACCAAGACGGCTGATGTGCCACTGCTCCGAAGTGTAGCTTACCTTTGAACGATCGAGTTTCACCAGAGCGCCAAACAGAAACAGCCGACGCCGAGAAGCCTCAAGGCCTGTTCACACGTCCGCGTTGGTCGCGTTCGCATGTAACCGAAACGACCGTAACGACGAAGTGACCGGGACAGGTGTTCTCCGTACACAGCATGGCAAGCGATGCAAGGGGTAGCTTCATGAAGCAGCCCATGGGTCATGGCTGTTGTTGTATTTTGGTCGTTTTGGGTCATGCAAACGAAACCGTTGAAAATATGTGAACCAGCCTTTAAGAACGTGCAGCAGGCACGTGAAGGTACCTTCCACAGGCTCGCAGTCTCAGCTTGTTCGTGAAGTATGCAGGTGCCAGGAGTTATTACTAGCCTGCCTAATAGACCCATTTCTAAATTACCCAAGCATCAAGGAGAATGCAGGGATTGGTATTCCACGCGCCACACGTGCACGCCTTCCCCGCATTAAAGATTTGAAGTAAATAACCAAAACAAAGCGTTGACGTACGCGCGTACAAGATGCAATTTGTTGTTTCAAATGGATTCTTACCAACTCGCCCAACTTTCCATTCTTGTTGTAGGCATTTGCTTTGGAAAAGTTTTTACCGCTGAGGCCAGCACGTGCAGTGTGTGGAACACAAATCCCTGCATTCTCCTTGATGCATGGGTAATTTAGCAATAGGTCTATTTCGGGTGCCTTCATGTGCGCTTTGCTTAGGGTGATGGCATCTCGCCATTTTGTCCCACACGTTTATTTTTATTTTCTGTTCAAAAGCGCGTGAAAGAGCGTGTTCCTGCACGCGTTTGTAGCGCTGACTGTGCTATGACGACATTTTGTTTTCGCCGATTTCTTTGTATTTTCCTTGCGAGCGCGTGTTGTCGGCAGCGGGTACTACGAAGGGTGGCATCACCCTAAGCAGAAGGACATTGAGACACCCTAGGTCTATTCCCCTGGTCTTCGCAGACATGCTGAACGTGCTTGAGGCCTGTCGGTGTCGGTTGTTCCAGTTTGTCGCTCTAATGGGTCTCGGGCATAAGGAGACATCGCAGACACAATGTCTGTCCTGTTGTCCCATGTCCCGTTCGTCTGTTTGCTGGAGTGAACGCCTTCTGTTGCAACCCTCTATGATACGGGAACTTATTTACCATTCTCATTTAGTTTCTATTTTGTTGCATTAAGCCTTTAGCGGGAGTCTTTCTCACTATGCTTCGTTTCATCATAAACGTGTCAAAGGGTGAAAGCTGCAACCCCATCGAGCCAATTGGAGCGATGCACGTGACAACGACTCTTCAGCACAAGGAGGATTGAAGGGTAGGAGAGGGCATGATGTCAGCCGCGTAGCCCCCACAAGCCATGCTCCCTCTTTCTCATTTTCCTCCTTCCACTCCTCACTTATCAGCCCAACATGACCACATTACGTGACCGCAGCTAGCCTTCGTCTAGCCTTCGATCTGATAAAACCTACCGGATGGAGCGCGCGCAAACTGCAAGGAATCTTTCAAGGATCAACCATCCTTCTCGCACGTGACATGTCACGCGCATCAATCGCCAGAGATCTGCGGTCAGATTGGGCACAATATCGCTTATACTTTTTATGATTAGGCTTCACTAACATTGCAACGTGCCCCCCCCCCCCCCCCCTCTAGTATTTATAACCTCCTTGCTTTAGCATAAAAACTCTTCCCGTAGAGAACTGCCATGTGCTAGGCTTCGTCCTTCTGCCTGGCTCAGAGGGTCCGTAAAGTGTGCTTTTTGCCACTTTATGGGAAAACTGAGTGTACACAAGGAAAGTCCGGCCTCTCAGAGCCGCCATCTTGCTTCCGGTCTGCGGGAAGATCGTCCGATTTGAAAGAGGGTAAAGCCCTGATAAGGCGTGTCCACGGTTGCCGAACTATAGCCGGTCACAGCTGGCTTAAGAATTCAGTGGATGCTCCGCCTCTAGTGTGAGCTTTCTACTTTTGATAACACTGCTATACTTGCGGACAAATATTCTTGGCAATGAAATGTCGTCAGGAGAAAATTGAGAGTCCACTTTCGAGGGCGCGGTGAACCTACCGGTCGGAGACGCGCTTTAGCACCCTATACTATTGTGCCAAAACAGTGTTTTTTCTCAGACCCTGCAGTCGGGCAACTTTTTGAATGGCGGTTTCGTCTCCCTTCCACCCAAACGGTGTGTGTCTGAGCAGCGCGCCTGTCCGAGGGCGACTGGCACGTGTTCTCCCTGTACACGTTCACGACGCACCACGACATCGGCTGGGTCGGAGGAGCGGCCTCCATCACGGGCTGGGTCCTGCTGGCGGTGCTGCTCGTCATGTTCCTCTGCTCGCTGCCCTGCGTCAGGAGAAGCGGACGCTTCGAGGTGCACCTTCCCCTCTCCATTGCACACTACTCTCCCATACACTGTTTCTTTTTTTTTTTCCTACGATGGCAAATCCTAATGAAATTGCGCTGGATGTAGAGAGCTAATCCCTTCGGGATAACTTAACCCACCGCGGCTGACGTCGTTCAGAGTGTAATGTGCTAATTGGCGAAAAAAGACCTAAAATTTATAAACATCTTAAATAATCGCGTCAGCTGGCGCATTCAAATTTTACGAGGGTTATTTCAATAACCACCTCGATAATTTATTATAAGGAAAAAGAAAAAAAATATAGGAAAATTATGCACGTATTATTTTTCGACGTAGCCCCCCTGGACGTGCAATGCACGTGTTCCACCGCTCCGGAAGTGCAAAGATACCTTGTGTGAAGAAATGTTTTGGTTGCGACTGTAGCCGCTCGCGTAACGCTGTTGTCACCTCTTCATCGCTCCCCAAATGCACCCATCTGGTTGACGCTCTCTTGAATCTCAGCACATCATGGACACTATTGTGTGCAGAACGAACACTTATATTCAAAATGGTGGCCATTTCCTCCACAGCAACACGTCTGCTTTCCTTCACATGCGCTTCCGCTGCGGTGATGTTCTCGTTCGTCACTACGCGGTGTGCATGGAACGGCCGCGGGCAGTGTTGTCGATAACTCGTTACAAGTAACGGCGTTTCCGGGAACGCGTAACGTAGTCGTTGCTTTTTCAAAAAAATAGGGGGCAACGTACTTACGTTATTTATTTCGTGTAACGGAGTTAAGTTGGTCGTTACTTTTTCTTCCCAAAACTTAAAAATTGTAGCATTTAATTTTTTTTTTTCGTGTTTCGTAGGCGCCAAGCCGTGTGGATTTGTGAGATATTTGCGTTTTCCTTTGCGTTTTTTCTTGTGAGTATTTAAGTGAAATCATAAAAAAAGATAAAGTAATTATGCTCAGTTTCTATATCGGCATAAGAATTTTTTTTTTTTTTTTAATATGACACTAATGCATTTGCAACTTTCAGCGATGGTGGTTCCGCGGTGTGAGAATCGCGCTTCCTAGCTCCTGGACGATTGACTTCACAATAAATGTGCCTGCCTACACCTTCCTGAAGTGAAAAAAAAAATAAAGTAAGGATCTAGTACAGCTAGTACATTGCAAAGCTATAATTACTTACGCGTCGCAGATCCAGCCACGTACTGTTATTCTACGACGATCATCCAGATGACAGCCATTTTGATGGCAACTAGCGCGCCCCCTCTAATTCATGATAGTTGCGAGTACTTGTAACGTCAAAACAGTAAAACGTGTTAATCCATTATTTAAAAAAAAAGTAACGCAAAAGTAATTACTTTTTATCGGTGACGGTTACGTGTTTTGTTTTTGTTGAAGTAACGTAAGACGGTAACGGGTTACTCTTATTTTCGAGTAATGAGTAACGTATTTTGTTACTTTTTTATGGGTAACGCCTACAACACTGGACGCGGGAAGTCCTCCACAGAAGTTACGCCGCTTTTAAGCTTTCTGGCCCACTCGTGCACTTGTTGCAGAAACACGCGCAAATCACCGTATTGCACTTTCGTTCTGCGATGAGTTTTAGCTGGTTGAAAACCTTCACTAAAAAAACTCATCACAGGTCGCTGGTCTAACTCTGTCCATGTCGACAATGGAGCAGCCATCTTAGCACTGACGCGGTTTCTTCCCAAGAATAACTCCTGTCAATTACCAAATCAAGCGTGCAAGGTTTCGGAATTATATTACACTTTTAAGGTTTCCTTTGAATCGCCTCGTAAATTTGTTGCCCGTTGATGAACTGCTGGACTTCTTTAGGTTCTGAGTGTATGTCCTAACTTCAGTGCTTGCCCTTCGTCTCGTGTTCAACATGTTTTTCTAACTTCCGCAAGATCAACTATTTTCGCAGAAACACGAGACACATATCGTGGTGAATTATTGTTTTATCGAAGCCTATACCACTCCGTAGAAATAAAAATAAACAATTCATTTTTCTTCAGGTGTTCTACTATTCTCACCTGCTGTACACGGTGTTCTGGTTCTTCCTGATCCTGCACGCGCCCAACTTCTGGAAGTGGTTCCTGGTGCCCGGCCTGCTGCTGTGCATCGAGATGCTCGTCCGGGCCTGCCGCTTCTTCAGCTCTTACGGCAAGACGACCGTCATGAAGGGAGTCATCCTGCCCTCCAAGGTCTCTGCACCCCTCTTTGTCCTCACACTACGGGTTAGGGGAGATGTTGAATAAGGAGGCATTTCGTCTGGTTACATACTGGTTGCGGCAGAAAGTACTAGCGACGTTCTGAGACTCCTTGTCCAGGATACCCAGTTTTCGCCTCAGTTTTGAGACGTTTACAATTCGTCGTTTTCAGTATAAAATGACATAACGTTTCTAGCAGAAAATGAACGCCACGTTAAGATGCTCACGTAGATAAGAATTTTAGTTTTCAAAAATTATTACTCAGACAAAAAAAAAAAAAAAAAAAGATCGTTGTCGATATAAGCTTTAACTTGTATACAGTTTTTTTTTGTTAATGTTCACTTGGCATAGTCAGGACTCGGTACAATGAAAAAGGCGAAACGGTCGAGGAGAGTGGCATAAATACGAACGAAACTGCATCTGCATAAATAATAGACTAGTTTTTCGGTTCCGTCAATATAAAAAAGAAACAGTCTTCATGATCGGTGTCTACATTCAACAAAACGCAGTGTATACATCACAATACAATGCCAAGCTTCTTTTTCGAGAATATAACATACAATTAAGGTACATTGAAAAAAAAAAAAAGCTGTAGGATTAGTTTGACGACGCTCCAAGTACCCCATTTTAGTGTAAAACTTGTCAACACGTCGGGGCGATGTGATCGTAGTAGATGCCTACCGATAAGTCTAGTTTTTTGCCGTTTATTATATTTTTCTGGTTCTCCCGAACAAAACTCGGGTGTACACAGCCCCCTGTTTTTGAATACGCTAAAACCCCAGAGATTACACCTAGAGTCGATCCAAGTTGCGTCGCGGCCGTCACGAACCGTGTTGTTTGCCGGATCACACGAGGATCTCGTTTTTGCGCAGGTGATCCACCTGGTGCTGAAGCGTCCGCCGGACTTCGACTACCACCCGGGAGATTACGTCTTCCTCAACATCCCCTGCCTGGCACGCTTCGAGTGGCACCCCTTCACCATCAGCAGCGCACCGGAGAAAGACGGTGGGTCAATCTAACTTGTACAGGTTAGAAAAGAAAAATGAGCGATTACACTCACCATTACTCTTGATTAAGACATATTAAATTACATTACTCGAGGAGAAAAGTAATGCGCCGTTAATCGATAAAGTAACTCTTACTTTTTCGATTATACGTCGGATGTTCAGAACGATATTTTTCTTTCGGTTTGGAAACGGGTCGTTCGTACTCTTTACACTTCGATTAGGATCACCGAACTACGAGGTACTTACATTCTGAATTACCGAATTTTGGCAAAGCCATCCTTGTGTCCAATACTTGGTTCGAGGATTCCTAGGTAGGCAACTTGTAGGATCACAGAGCGCCGTTAAAAAGGGAAGGGAAAGGTAGGAACGGTTAGAGATAATTTTAGCAATCGGATTACTCTCGCGATTATTTCCTAATAAATGTGTTTCAAGTGTCTGCACAATTACCCCAAAATGACAAGTAACTCGAATATTTAGGACGAGTGCCATACAAGTCTGCGGTGAGCGGAGATTCACCCCCCCGCTTTCAGGGACTCCCGTCATTTTTGGGTTGTTTTGCGCCATTTCAAGTATCGCCTTCATCCCACTGGCATTTTATTTATTTTATTCGCCATTTTATTTGCGTCTACCCGGATGGGGAAGGCGTTTTAAGCATGCGCAATTGCTCCCTTCTAAGGACCACTAGACGCCGTTGGCGCTTCTATAGCCCAGTGGCTCCGCATTACTTGCCTGGGAGTGACAAGCACAGGAAAGGGGTGTGAAACAACGTTCTGTGTGCTTACCATGATAATTTTAACCCGAGACTGGGTCAAAAGATAATTTTCTTTAGAGTAGAAGAGAAAGTAATCGCGATAGACAGTGCGGTCTGTCCCTGTTACTTTCTCTTCTACTGTTCCTCATTCGGCTCCTATCTCGGGTTAAAATCATCGTGGTAAACTTCCACCAGCTCGCCTGCGCGCTGACCGTATTTTCTGTATGCTTCTGCTCTGTATTTGTTGTTGATTCGGTTCGGCATGTACCCTAAAGCTATTCGAGTTGCGTGAATGTCCCCGAATACCGACGTCAGCCATACCACCTATCGTTCGTTTCACGTTAATTAACCTGGTGAACTGTGGAGGCTGCGGCCCCAACGGCCCAATCAGAGGAGGAGCAAAGGCACGTGACTACATTTAACAGTCGAGGTTGCGAAGGCCTCGTTACCGCCACAGCAACAGCGCCCTTCGCGACAAAATGTAGTTGTAGGCTTCTTTCTCATTTAACGGCATTTGAACATGACCGATTGTCTTTCTCTCAAAATCTATAAGAGAGGAATACACATTTAAGAATTTGAGTTACAGTTAACTTTGCCTTGCGTGACATCCGTATGCGATCCCGATTTTCTTCTCCTTGTAAAACCTTCGGCTTCGGATTTGGCACAGTGATGGAAACGCTCTTGTGACGTGGTGCTACGTGCCTCGTCCTGACGCTCTTATGCCAGAGTCCGACTGGAGCGACAAACAGAAACAAACGACAGCGACAAACCTCAAAATAAAGTTGGCTATGCTCAAACACGAGCATCATGCACGCAAGGGTATATTCATTGGCGTACACTTAAAATTTCTCGTGCTTGCTTCACAAGCACCGAACGACTAAATGCCTGCCAAAGGTACCATCGCGAGCATGCTGCATGTGTTAGAGGCTTGTCGCTGTCGTTTGTTTGTCGCTCTGGTGGGACTCAAGCATCATGGCTCGAGTGTGCCGTAGCCTCCGCAGTGCGCTAAATTATCGATGCCTCCACTTTCCCCACCTCCTTTTGCGGCGACTCCGGCCGAGGTTCGGCGTGTTTTCCGCTTGGGGAGCGGATCGGCGGGGGTGCACCGACGATGACGTCATGAGCGGGCCTTGTCTTCTAGGTGGCGTCGTGTCAGCTTGGCGGCGGAGCGCGGAGGGACGCCCGCGCCGTACAAACGGTCCCGGTTTGGCGATGGATCAGTTTGCTTTCGACTATATTTTATCACAAAAAAACTTCAAATTGGCAAAAAAAAAAAAAAAAAAAAAAAAAAAACGAATATGAATAAACGCTTTGTTTGTAGTAGCTCCTACCGGCACCTTTTCCTTGTGAACGGTGAAGATGAGCAGAAAATGCGCCGAGAATGTGAGGGAAAGGAGACAAGAGCGCGCGACGAAGTTAGAACCCCGAGCTCTGATGGGAACGGTTAGTGGGTAGACGTAAAGCTAATAGCCTTTGTCTCCACTGCCCTTGTTGGGCCAAAGGGCTATCGCGCTCCCTGTTGACGTCACACACGTCTTTCTGCAAATTCCTCCCTCGTGTCATCACCGCTTTGTTTGCCTTCCGCCGTGCTTGGGTTGCCCGAGCACCAAAATGTTGTCAAAGCGGAGAAGTACGCACTGAAGGCAGAACTACTATCCCTGCAGATCTCATGTGGTAGCAAACTATCATTGCCTTATTTTCATAAGGGTTCTTATTTTGCCACTCATTGTTTCCTAGTACTATTTTATTGCTTGTAACCATTTTTTTTATAAATTTCATCGCCCATGAGCACTTACCTTCCTAACCTCTTCCCATCGCTTCACTGTTACCTCCAACCACATTTACAATGTGCTATCATAGTTTTCTTAATTTTTTTTTACACTTTTCGTTTTTTGTTTAGGCTTCATCTTGTCATTACTCCACGCGGCAAGTGACTTTGAAACTCTTTCGTCGTGCAACGTATTTCTGTTCTCGCTATGGTAATATATTTGTTCATAGATCGTATGTTTCTCGTATTTATTTTATTTAGCCCCCGTGTTTTCGCCATGTTGCCCGTACTTTGGCTTGCCCATCGAACATTTTGAGTCCCTCCTAACTTGAGCGTTTCGCAGACGTGATCTGGCTCCACATCCGCTCTTTCGGCGAGTGGACGAGCCACCTGTACCAGTACTTCGACAACTTCCGGCAGCAGGCCTCTGAGCTGCCCCCCTCGGGCCAGGTGAGCCAAGGTGGAAGCGGCGACGCTTCGATCCAGCCAAACCGTCGAAGTTTTTGAAGCTATGTAGCGACAATTTGGAGCTACGAGGCGATTATTTTCGTTGCACCGTTTACCTAGCAGATGGCGTAACTTTCTGGCAAATAGACTGTGGAAGTTCTCGTTTTTTAACGTTTATAGTCTGTCAAGATCCGCAAGAAAAACCCCGTGACTCCTCCGAATTCTGGAAAAAACAACAAAGCAATACGTGTGGCACTGTGGAACATGGGCTTCTGCAATCCCACGCCCTTGCTTGAAAAAATAAAAATGCATTCTATATTCTATGGAATCAACAGATGGATGGTGTTCAGCACCTGCCCTTGAGCAGTAGTTTACCGGGAGACTGGCACACCAGCCGTCTTTGGCGTAGGAGAACTTAGTGGGCGGGGCTTCTTTCGCATCCTAAATATGGCCGCCGAGGGCTTCCTCTGAGCAGTCACTTGGAGCAGCGTCTCGCGGCCGCCCTTTAAAAGAAAAAATGAAAGACGTTGATAAATCTTTAACCTGAAATTAGAGCGCAGCTCTTGAGGAGGAGGATTAGGATAGGGTAGGGAGGGGAGGGTATGCCCCTCCTAGTCCCTTCCCTCTCCTCCCTTCCTCCTTTCCCCTACTCCTCTTCATCTTTTTTTCTTCCTCTCCCATCCTCCTCCGTACGTTCCCCTTTATCCTACATAGGCTCTCCTCCTCCTGCTGCGTACCCTCCCCCTTTTCCTCCATACCATCCCCTCCTCCCAGTTTCCCCCGCTAAATTTAGCTGAAAAATTGACGCCATGTTATCTTAACAGCAATTCAATTCCCCGCTAAATTTAGCGGGGAAACTGAACTGGTGTTGAGGTCATGTGACGTTAGTTTTCCCGCTAAACTTGGCGCGGTTACGCCGACGGCGACGCCGACGCCGCTCAACCCGGAAACGGGCAGCCTAAAAGCTGCGCTCTTAAAAGAGGCGGCGGCGCCAACCCACCCTGCAGGTGAGCTCGTCGGACCTGCATCTTCGGAGCCTAGACCCCAAGAGCGTGGAGAGCATCGTGGAATCGGCCCGTCTCCGGGAGCGCGAGAGCGTGGTCCTGATGCCCAGGGGGACTCAGGTGCGCGACACGTGCGCCTTTCTGGACACCGGACGAGAGCTGGAGACCCTCATGGAAGAGGGGGAGTTGGGCAGCCACCACTGCCAGGACTACACCAGCCTCATCATCGCCAAGAACCCGCTCACGGCAAGCATGTCTCGCCATCGAACAACAAGCGACAGAGTGTTCTTTATATTCTACTTTACAGCGTTTGAAAGGAGCCTCCAGTAGCAGCCGACGCTTTGCTAAGAACCCTAGCCATTGGGCCCACGGGGGCACTCCGAGGTCACTCCGGGTCATTGGGGTCTCCCTGAAGTAGCTGTGGGGTAACTCGTTGGTAATTTTGAAGTCAATCTAAAGTAACTCGCGGGTAACTTTGAAGTCAATGCGGGATAACTCGTGGGTAACTTTGAAGCAGATGGGGCAACTCGCCGGTAACCTTGAAGTAACCTCTGGGTAACTTTGATGTCTCTCTGGGAACACTGTGGGCAATCGGAGAGCCAATCAGTGCAATCTACGAACAAAATACTTCAAATATCAAAAAAAAACAAAAAAAAAAAAAAACATTGACAATAAGTTTGGCGTAAGGCGTGAGGCACCATGCATGCACAGGGTGCCGCCAAATGCTTTATCCTTTAGGTAAAAAAAAACAAAAAAAACCACGCATTTTTTGCTTCGTCGTTTGCTTTCATGGTCGCTTTCATTGGCCCTCCAAGTGGTTTCCGGAAAAGCGGTCGCACAAGCACTTCTTGAGACTAAACGGTGTGCGCGTGACATCGGGACACAGATCAAGTGACTCCTTGTCTTTTGCAATATATTGTCTCGGGACGTTAAGGTGCCACGTGACGCAACCGTTTGCATGAACACCGTTCGCTAAATCTAAACACGGCAGTCTTAAAGCCACAGTTCCACTGATAATGTATCATACAAACGACACACGCTGTTCACTGCAGACATGATGAAAGATTTATCTTCCAACACAGGTCTGAAGCACCTTCGAAGCGTGTTGTCTTCGAGTGTGCTTCGAACATATATGCGCACAGGTTTTGTATGACCAACGTGACAGGATCGGCATGCAAGGAAGACACACACCAGACAGTGTGATGAAACTCACTACACGTACTTTACATGGTAAACATAATTTTATCAGGATCGGACAGTGTCTGGAGTCTGTCTTTTGTATTGTGTTAGCACTGCAGTGTGACCGTGGCTTTAGAAGACGTCGCAAGGAACCATGAATAAAGTGGAATCTCGTTAATTTGAACCCGAGGGGGACCAAACATTTTTGTTGTATAATGCAGTCTGAAATAACGGGAGTTTTCTTCCTAGAAACACACATAGGACGGTACGTGCATGTTTGTTCGAATTATCCGCAAGTTTGAATTAAGAGAGTGAACTAACGAGAATTCCACTGTATATTTTGTTTTCTGCTCTCTACTTATCTTGGTCCGCAGGTTCGGATTGACGGCCCGTACGGCTCTTCATCAAGGCACATCTTCCGCGCCCAGCACGCGGTTTTAATCGCGGCGGGCATCGGGGTGACGCCGTTCGCCAGCATTCTCCAGAGCATCATGTACAGGTGCGCTTCGATGCTCAGGCGGGAATTCCACGCGGAAACGAGCGCGGCACAACTGAGCAAGGTTGCCCACGTGGCTCGAGGCGTTCGATATAAGCGATTTCCGCTTACTGTTGTTCTGAGTCACGTGGATTTCGTATCTGGTATGCGGAACAAAAAAAAAAAAAAAAAAAAAAAAACTGGAACCTGGAATATGCGAGAAAATATAGGGGAGGCAAAACAAGAATGTGACAGTCGCACATTTTTTGTAAACATCTTCCAGCGGCGAGGAGAGAACAAAACGACGTTTTACCGCATACCAGAAGTGACGTCATTCAAGATGGCTGCGCCCTTGTGTAAAACAAGTATGCGGTGCAATATCGCCTCTTTCCAAAGATAACTTTTTGAGCAACGTACTTCAATACTATCATACTGTCATTTCACGCATTGTTGGATTACGCGTTTCATATTGACGAAATGCTGAAATCCTCAGACGTGCTTGTTTTACCCACGCTAAAGGGGCACTGACACATCAAAATCATATTTTTTTTTATTATCCGAAACGATTGAAAACGATGCCGGGACATTACCCTCAAAATTTGAAATTTGGTAATTCAGTATTTGTGAAGTAAAAAAACAATTTCCAAATGCCGAATTCGAAGTTCCCGCGCGGTCGGCGCCGGTGCCTTGACGTCAAAAATTGCGGAGACCTGAGAGTCGACTTCCTTTCACCACTCCCTGCTGTTGCCATGGCGACCCAAAGCGAGGAGGAAAGGAGTGCGCGGCGGCGTTGCGGCGGACCGGTTTTGAGCGGTGTCGCCTGTTTTCCGTTGGAGGATACAAATCCAGGAGACGGCACCACAACGAACTCCCGATTTTTGGTATTTTAAAAAGAAGGGCCGTAGTGCGTTCGCAATTGCGTTAAAAAACATGTTTTAGGATTGCCGTAATTAAATGTTATAGAGATGTCGCCTACAAAGCTTCTAAATTTCCTGATTTTTGACGTCACCGATCAAAAGAAGCGAGGAGGCGAGAGGCGGAAAAATCAAACGCCAAAAACAAAAAGGCGCGCGCGCGCGCGGGAAAATTTTTTTTCGCGATGCGTTTTTTTTTTTTCTTGCGTGTCTATGGTTGCAACTTGCATCGTTTTAGACAATAAAAATAAATACGACCTTTGGGGTGTCAGTGCCCCTTTAACGGTCGTTTGATTTGTGCTTGACATTTGTTTATTCCCCGAAGCATCTTGGTGTTTATAAAGTATATCAACCTTCGCATGGGTTGTTAGAGAAGTATCCTTGTCCACGCACTTGCTGTATAAAGACCTCGCCGGTGTCTTGTTCTGCCCTAGATGTTAAATATATTTAAAAATAATTATCCTCGCACTTTAACCATACCCTGAAAAATAGTGTAACTCGGTGTTCAAAAGAAAACGACTGTGGGTTGTTGCAGGTACTACCAGGCCCGTTCTACATGTCCGCGCTGTCACCACTGCTGGGTCGAGAAGCTGCCACACTCCATAATGAAGCTTAGAAAGGTGTGTACTCTCGATTCTTTCTTGAAACAAGTCGTTTTGAGGTGAGCTGATAAAATCTCTGACCGGTTTCGTGGGACATTATAAGTACGTTAAAACTGTCATCACCCGTACATACAAGGTGTCCGCGAAGGATGCATCGAGTTCGAGCAGGAGTTATACAAGGAAGCGCCGTTTTGTTTCAGTAAGCTAATCCTTCCGAGTTTGATGACTGCGGCGAAATGGGGCACCTAGCGGCCAGAACAAAAAGCTGTAACTTCAGGTTCGGTCACTAGCCTTATCGAGCGAATCGGATATTCATAGCGTCTGGCAGTTTATGAGCAAACGCAAAACAAAAAAAAACTCCCATGTAAAAAAGAAAAATGATGGTTTTAAGGGCTTGATTATCTTAAATCTCTATATTGTACGTATAAAAATAAGGACCGATGATGGACTCAAAATGAGTAAATTCGCATTTGAAGTCTCTCGGCTACCCGAAAAGGCATACATATGAGCCATGTCACTGTGCGCGGTTTTTCATTATGACGTGGCCTGCCATCATGATTATTTTGAGATGTAGGCATAGCTATCATCTCCGCATAGCAATCTTTTTTTAGCTTTAACTGCTTACAAAACGAAACAAATTCTCCCCCACCGCGCTTACACATATAGGGTAATATTCGAATGTGGCTTTGTCTTCTTGAAATTTTGAGGCATCTTCACTGTTTCCACAAAAGAAGTTTTCTTCTTAATATTGTCGCATGACAACCAAAGTTTGCATGCACAAGCTTGAGTATACGTAAAAATAAGACTATCAGTGTTTAAGTAGAATATATATTTTCCACATTTATTAAAAATAAGCTTTTGTTAACCCTTTGAAATTTTTTTTTTATTTTGATTTAAAGTAAAATACGAGTCATCGCACACATTATTTTTGTTTATTGCACTCAGCGTTTTAAAAAAAGTGAATTAGCTTATATGACTAGGCTTTTTTAAGTGTGCTGCCATGCCCCACATGAACGCAAAAACCCGTTTTTTTCCTCCTTGCAAGAGCATTGCATCCAGAACATAAAGAAACAAGTTATGTCATAACTAACACTGGGTTTACTAAAATGAAATCAATCACTATATAAACGGTAAATACTTAATTCATTTATCGCAAATATATATATAAAAATAGGTTTCCCCTGGCGCATGCGTACTTAAAAAGATGGTAAACCAAAATTTGGATTAAAAAAATGCAGAAGGTGTAGGCGGGACACTACAATCTCTACAGCACTATTCGTAAGGCGATATCTCAAATGGATGGCCGTATGTTCGGAAAAAGAGGTTGAGATTGAACCGGGCCGACGAGGCGCGTGACGTCAACATATCTCGTTTCCTCCTCTCTTTCCTTCGCCCCCTTAAGGCGGCGGGGCGGAGAAGACGCGAGGCCGTTCCCTCTCCTTTTAGGAGAAACAAGACGTAAACATGTCTGTCAAATGCGTCCCCTTAAAAAAAACAAAAAACAAAAAAAAAACGGTCATTTGTTTGAGATATCGCTGTATGAGTGATGTTTTGGTGTTTGTAGTATCCCTTTACATGCTTTTGCCGCCCTGTTTTGTGGAATCCAGTTTTCGGTTCAGCACCCCGTTAAAGGCTGAGTCGTGAAAGTATATAGCTTCGAAAGCGTTTGATGAAAATCGGCAATAGAACGGAGCTTGGTCTTGTACGCACCGTCACAGCATTATCCGTACAATTCTTGTTTAGCAAGATGGCTAGACGTGAGTGGTTGGCTTGGTCATAACTTGCCGAAAAATGTGCGGCGGAACTGTCCGTTTTTCCGCGAGCTTCATTTTGTCGGGCCCCAGACTGGCGTCGACAAGCTTCCGGCACGGTTCACCGTCATTTGCCATGTTTGCGTGCTTCCTCAACATAAAGACGGCTGCACAGACTGCTTCCTCAACATCTCGCTTGACGCTGGCACGCGAAGTCATCTGTGAGGTCGGGACCTCAAAACGCTTTTGTCAAAAGAACGACGTACCAACTAGCCTATATCTCACCTGTGATGCAAAAGAAAGAAAAAGTGTGAGAATTCCAACGAACAATGAGTAGACATAATAAGTGCAATGTGTGCAGAGACACTGAGCAAGTGAAACGTCACGCGCATCGCACCTGCGTACAACGCACTTTCTTGTCTAATCGTATCGTGAGCTTTATCGTTCGCTGTTTTCTTTATTTTATTTTTTTTTGCAGTGAATGGCTTTATTATACGGGAAGTGAATTCGAACTTTGTCGAGAGAAGTTTCCCCGAAGAGGAGGCTCAAACACGAATGACGTGCTCAAGTGGCTTCATCCACTTGTGGCACGACCCAGCACGTCGTTCGCCATGTTTGCGTGCCTCCTAGGCGCGAAGATGGCTGCACAGGTTGCTTCCACGACATCTTGTCACGTGATGCCGGCACAGAACCATCCTCAAGGTCTGGAGCCCTCCGAAGATGACGCTCAAACACAAATGAAGATATTACGTGGCTCTCTGCTGCCTAGGCGGATATGTCCGAGGCCCAGAGCCCTATAGTCGGTGACTATAGGGCTCTGGGCCTATAGTCTGAAGCTGTTCAGGTTATAGTCTATAACCTGAACCAACTTATAGTTGGTTCAGGTTAAAGCTCCTCTTACCTCTTTGCACTTTAGAGCAGGGGCAACGGTGGAGAGGCCTCCTCTACAACGTTCGCTCTGCAAAAATGGAACGACGTACTCGCATGACTTCAACCTTGTGGCTTCCTCCATGGTCCAGGTGGACTTCATCTGGATCAACCGGACCCAACAGTCACTCGAGTGGTTCGTGCGCATGCTGAGTGACCTGGAGATGGAGCAGGCCATGTTTGGGGACGTGCTGGAGCGCTTCCTTGACATCCACATCTACATCACGTCGGCGCTGGACCGCACCGACATGAAGGCGGTGGGCTTGCACATGGCGCTCGACCTCCTGCACCAGAAGGACAAGCGCTGCCTCATCACGGGCCTGAAGAGGAGGACGCAGCCCGGAAGGCCTAACTGGAACGAGGCGAGTCTTTTAGAAACTCGCAGTGCCGTCGTTAACCCATTAAAAAAAAAAAAACTTTACATTTTTTGTTTTAAAATAACATACAAGAACCATAACATCTCTTACTGCATTTTTGTTATAAAAATGCACAGGTCAATGTGATGTTTGACCATAGTTGTTTAGCATACTTTGCTTTTTGTATAGCTTATAATTTGTTATTGTTTTTTACCTGCCTTCCCTTTGAAGGTTAAAGAGCTGTCATGCTGAAGCTCCCATCAAGTTTGATTTTCGGATCTCCGGATGTATCAAACCAGTTCCACGCGAAGTTCAGTAAATTGATTGAACTAAATGTTCGGGGCATGCGCAACGCAGTTATAACTTCAGTTCACAGGAGGCGGACGGCAGTGCACGAGAGGGCTCGGGCCGTCTCGTGCTTTACGCGCTCAGAGCTTTAGCAAGGCTGTCGCGCGCGCAGAATGACTAAAGTTCCCTCCATGTATCGCGGCAGCGGGGACGTAGTCAAACTGACTGGGTAGCTAAACTCGTGAAGCAAAACATTCTTCGCTTTCTGACGTAGCGAGGGGAGTGACCAAAAGAACTCCGCAAAGTTTCCTCCTCCCTGCGCGCGCTCAACTTCGCAACTTTTGACGAAAAATCCCCCGCGATCCCTAGGCGGTGCGGTGCACGAGAGCACGAAACAGCGCGGGGAGGCGAGTATTCACGCCGCTCGCTGTACGTTGTCTTCGAGCTTTCTAGCGCCGACAATCCCGTCATGCCTCGCCCGTACGAGGAGCGAGAGCAGACGACGAGAGTTCGTCTGCTACGATGCGGCATTCGCACAGCGGAACTGAAAGAAAAAGTTGGTTTTCTGCTCAAAATCGCGTCCCGCGGGCCGCAAACTCAAACGCGAGCTTGAATTGTAAGCGTCTGATATTTCACGGAGTGAGGAATCGACGACTCGTGTTTTATTTGCAAAATTTGAGTCGCTTTGTTGCCGTACAGACGCTGAAACCTACCGGTGTGTAATAAAGGCTCAGGACCAACACAGAGGCCGCGAGATCTCGCATCATCTGTGTGCGGGTAAAAAGTGGAACATTTTTCGACAAAGTTCCCACAGCAGAAACCTGTGACGCATTCTCTCAGCGTCCGGGAAGGCTAAACATGGAGACGTTGCCCGAGACTCAAGCAAAGTCATATTTGAACGGCAGCTATCTTCCCCCGTCGTATTTTGTTTGAGAAAGCTCTCGTTCTTAATGCCTTCACCAGGGAAATAAAAAGTCCTACGAAACGTATTCCTAGATGTTTCAAAAAACTAGATTTAAGCCGTATCCTTTCAGTGGTTCACTCATATTACTAAGCTTAAAACGAAGCAAGCTCTTGCGCGTACAGTGCCATCAATTTCCTCAAGTGTAGGCTATTTTGTAGTCAGCTGGTTTCGGAAACTTACGCCGCCTGTAGATATCTCTGACAGCCGAGTACCTTAATTGGAAGTCATTGCAAATATAAGTTACACGTTGTAGCAACCAACGTTTATAGATAAACGATGGCAGCGACTGGCGCTCTCGCATTCCCACGCATCACGTCGAACAATAGGCGCTAGTTTCGGTTTGAGGTCGGAACTTTTCTACAACATCTATGGCGACAGCATCAGTCTGCACTCGGTGCATTTGGCAAGTTCGTTCGGGGCCTGTTCTCCGTGCAGCATTCCGCGGGTGCAGTGCATTAGAACTATCACAGTGCAAGTCTGGATCGCGGATCGGGAGCCCGCCACTGGCCTCACCAATGGCCATCGCTTGACAACAGGCAATACGCCGCGTCCTGTCTAGATCTCACTTCGTTTTCGTCCTTGTTGTTTTGGCGTATTACACTATACGCGGTGCTTGAGGGCGAGTATTTTATGACGTGCGGCGATGATTATATCTGGAGCTTGGAGATCAAATAGACATTCGTCAAACTTTCGAACATCGATTAAAAACAAAATGGGACAGAGGACCACCGACTTTACCGACGTCGCTTGCTTCGGTTGCAAAATAAATGACACGTACAGCGACTGAATGGCACGCTCCGAGTTTCAATTTGTCACGGAAGCCCTCCACAGCAGTTCAAAGAAAAAGCTTTCACCATGAATGTACAAGGGGTTAAAACGATGCGAATGTCCACAGTAAAGGCCTTCTAACTTATCGTTTGTTGAGCTTTGATGACTCCGGAATCACGGATGACTCCACAATAACTCTCGGTAGCCCTTGTCTTATTAAACACATCACAGTTAACGCCCAACAAAGTCGCCCTCGACCCTCAACCACACAACATTTAGTTAAACAAGATTGGTATTCTAACGCGTTTAATATTCTTGCCCACAATATTAGCTGTTATTTGCGGAAACACGATATAAGTTTCATGGTAGAGAACAACCTACTAACGTAACAAAATTGAGTTTTCTCGTTTCTCCTATAGCATGCATTAGATCGTGTCAAGCGATGACTGCCGGTGGTGCCGCTCGACCCCAGCAATACAGGCCTCTATCCGCGATCTAGCCTCCTAAGAAATCAGTGGTGCCAGTGCTATTAGACATAAATCGTTTATTTGCGTCGGTACACCCATACCTGCCGGATGTCAGGACGAGGCGCAAAACCGCACATCCGGCCAATATTGGAGCCGGTTTTCGGCCGAAATTGCCTCGACACTCGCCAAGAAGCAACGGGCTGTTTCGGCGACCCGTTTGTGTAATTTATTTGTTCAGTCATATTATTGGGTCCCGGGCCACTGTGTACACCCCAAAAAAGAAATGTACTGTGGTAATTACACCTTGACGAGAAGCAGGCACGTAGCCAGAATTTTGTTTAAGGGGGGGGGGGGGGGCGCCCATAACAAAGTGCTCTATGAGGGGGAGGGGGGAGAGGAGGCCCCAGCAAAATGGAAGATTTCGGGGGGGGGGGGGGGGGCGGGGGCGGCCTTATGCCCCCCCCCCCCCCCCCCCCCCCCCCTGGCTACGTGCCCGACGACAAGGGGTATTGTACTTTTCCATCTTTATAAAAAGGTGTAGTGCATTATCACACGTTTTAAGAAACGTGTTTAAAAAATCACACATTTTCGAAGGTGTGAGGTTTACATTTTTTTATAGCGTCTATTGCTACACTTATTAGGGTGTTAGTTATGAGACACCCCACTTAAATGTATAGCCTGACGAGAAGGGGTATTTTGTGGTTTTACATCTTTATAAAAAGCTGAAGTGCATTATCACACGTTTTAAGAAACGTGTTTAAAAATCACACATTTTTAGAGGTGTGAGGTTTACATTTCTTTTGTAAGGTCCATCGCTACACTTATTAGGGAGTTAGTTATGGGACACCCCACTTACATGTATAAAGGTGTGAAAATGTTTAATGTGTATATACCTCTAACGAAAGAAAATCTCTTTCATGTGATTACATCGCGTGCCGATGAAATGATCTGTCAATGACACGTCGTTCGATGAACTGATTTGACCAGCAATGAGTGACGACTGCCAGTAGAATTTAGGGGAAATAATTCTGCCGGCTGCCGGGAGACTCGACCCTACCCAAGAACTACCCCGGTCCTTCTTTGTTTCCCAACATTCTGAATTGTATACCAGCTTATCAGTACCTCTTCGGATAATACAAAAAAAAAAAAGAAAAAAAAAAAGAACCCGATTGCAGCCGCAAAAACTCTGACAGCCCGGCTCACAGTCATGTGGGAGACTGAAAGGTGCTCGTCAGTCGCCACCATGCCTTGAAAGCTACCGGTTCCGAAGAACCGTAGCGCGCAGAGAACTTGTTGTTCCACGGTCATGGTAGACGCGATTTTCCGCCGCCTCGAAGTCCGGGCGCCGAACGAAGCTCGTCGCAGTCAACGCACAACGGCTTCCGATAGCCGATACTGTCGCCGAAAGTCGTCGTCGGGGAGTTGAAAGGCGTCCCCGGTGGTTTCAGTAGCGACGCCGACGGTGGCGGAAGATAAGCTCGGCCGCAGCGTACGGCACCGCCATGTTGACAAAGTTTAACTTCGCCTCGATCCGAAGCGAAGATCTCGAGCTCAAACCACGGCTCTCGCAAAGTTCGGAAACGTCACTTTGACGTCAGCGACAACTTCGACAAACGAGGTTTCTTTTTTACACAAACTTCGGAGGGATTTCGAGCGTCAGCAGGTCGCCTAGGGACAATCTGCAAAGCATTAATTTTAGCTTGGCGTAGGGATGTAGGGACAAATGGGCGCTACGTCATCGGCAAAGCCGTTCAATCAGCGAGCTGCTCGCGCCCCTCACGCGCCGCACGCGCGCCTCAATGAACTTTGCTACATTCTGCCTCTCTCAAGGAAATGAGCGTTCGAATGATTGACACCTCGCTCGGCGCGACGTCAGCGTCGCGAGAGTCCAATTAGCGCGTTCCGCAAACTTCGGGCACAAAGTTGTGCTTGACGAGTTTAGCGACCCTGGTGAGATAAACTCGGAGGTCAGTGACTCATGCCACTCAGAATAAGCCTCATGCGGAAATACCACGTGGAGCAACTGGCCATGAAAAGATGAATACTAGCAAGGCGACGTAGCCGGTGCACCTATCTACGCCAGGCTGAGGTTTCGGGCATTGTCAAGACCCCCCAAAAAGCTGGTGGGTTTTTATATTGTTTGCCAATCTATAGCCAAGTACCCCCGTTTGTTTCGTTTTCGATCGCGATGCATGAGCATTGTACTGGCGTGTGGTCGTTTAATCACTACAGCGAGAGGCGTGTTATACCCTAGCACCACTAAAGCTCTTAACTGTCATTAAGGTAACAATCACTGTTACCTCCCAACTGTTATTGAGCTCAACTAAGTTGTCTGGTGTTACACGGTACATAGGCCTAACAAGCCTAGTTAAGATGCGCGTCAAGGAACACTTGAAACCGAAGCGGAATCAAAACTGATGTCACGTTACCTTTTTTTTCGTAACGATGCAAATGAAATATATGCAGATTTCTCATTCAGTATAAACGTTTGAAACAAATGCATTAAAACAAATACATGAATTTAAGCAAGAAAGACATGACGAAAGTCTTAATCGGCATCGACATCCCCATGGCCACCCTGGCCGAGCTTTGGCTTCCGCGATGTGCCGTGGTAGTCCTAGCGGCATTTCTGGCCCCGAACCATACCTCTTCCGACAATATTTTTTGGTACGATTCTTTCTAAGTACCTCCCACAATCTTCTGCAATAGTAAGTGCTTCGCTGGCACTGGCCATTGGCGGCGATGCAGCAGACGCCGCCATCTTGAACTCTATTTTGGCGAACTCCCATCTGTTAACTGAGGTAGGCCAGCTCAGTTAAACTGAATGATCGTTAGCAGCTAATGATTGTTAGCGCCGCCGTCTAACTCCGGCCGATCGCGATTGGGCCAACTGTCGTTGGTTTGAAAGGGGGGGGGGGGGGGGGGCGAGATTATAAAAGGCACCCAGAAAAAAAAAAATCCTGCAAACAACGCTGATTTTGAATAATTACATATTTACTTTCTCCAACGTCTCGAGAGTATTTCCAGAAAGTTTCACTTGTTTACACTGCATAGTTGTTTTTTTTATAAATTATTTGCTGTCCACCGACGCTAAAAAAAAAAAAAACAAAAAAACGTAGGATTTGGAGCAGTTTCAACGCATTTTTCTCCGTTCCACTTTTTAGTATGAATTCCATTTTAGCCAATCTATCGTTTGATAATGGCAAAACAGGGAAGGCTCATTCTTCCCTTTTCCTGACTGATATTTAATAAGGAATGCGGCTATGAATTTTTTCCGTCACTTTAAAGATGCCTTTTATAAAAAAAAAAAAAATGTTGACGTTTTGTCAGACACAGAAGACCAAAGGGCTGATCAATTTTGCAGAAGAGAAAATTGATAAAAATAAATGACTTTTGCAAAAAGCTTTCAATAGCCGCACCTCCTAGGCATTCTGCTACATATACAGAAAATAAAAATCTTGAATATTGTGATCGTTTTTCGACCATAGATTAACTAAACAATGCAGGTGTGTTGTAGATAACAGGTGCGCTAATTTCCTTCCCACTTAACTGACAGACCTGAAATTTTGTTATGTACCTTCTAGTATGACCACCAGCCTATCCTGTAAATTTCATTAATTTTAAGCCAAGGGTTCAAAAGTTGACCCTCCTAGGGGGTGTGTCCCCTAAACGACTTAAGAGCGCTTGTGTAACTAGGGTAGTTAAGACCCCAGACTAGTAGTAGTTCTGCCCTGGCTGATTTGGTCTCCAAACAACAATACAACAAATTGTCTAAACCCGATACAACGAATTGCTGTGCAAACATCAATACAACGAATTTAATTCTAAACTTCAAAGCAACGTTGTCTAAACTTCAATACAACGAACTGTTTAACATCAACATAACGAACTGCTGCCTAGATCTCAGTATAACGAATTGTTTTCTAAATGTGGATGCAAGGAACTACATTTTTTTTCACTTGTTGGCGGACTTTGACTAATTACGTATATTGTTCTGTAGTTCAATGCGCGAACATGAACCTGTCTAACTTTTTCGTTCTATTAATGAGTTTTTGCTTAATTCGCAGGTATTCGCCGACATCAAGAGTCAGAGAAAAGGCAAGGTGACCGTTTTTTACTGCGGGCCGCCGACCCTCAGCCGGATCCTGCACGACCACTGCAACTGGAACCACTTCGCGTTCCGGAAAGAAATATTTTGAGTCATTTCCGGGGACGGGTTCATTAAAGTGTTTTCGCGTTGTTGTTTTTTAAGTTTAGTTCGACCGTTGACGGTATTAAAGGTTTTCATGGTTTTAACTTAAAATGAGTTTGCATTCCTTATTATTTAGATAAAACCTGAAATACCAGTTTATCTGGCCTTTGTGACGCTGTCAGTGTTTGAATTATATTTCGCAGAACGCAATCAAAACTTCTTGCGCGTGAGCTTGAAGCCTCCTTTGCATGAAAGCACGAGTGAATAAGTCGTAAATAGGGACAAAGTCAGGTGCGCGCTCAGCAGTGCGGGGCTCTAGCACTGTGGATACTACTCTAGCTTTGACTAATATACTAAGCGCACATGAAGGCACCCTAACTTTGACAACGTCGCTCTCGAGTATTGTTTAAGGGTACGACGTTCGATAACTTTATTCACAATGCGACTCGCAGCTGCTTTATAATTCTTTTTTTTTTTCTTTTCTGGTTCACGTAAGTGTTACGACTCTACCTCTATTGGTGACGTCAGCGACCAAAAGCGTCCTTGTGGTCCATCTTTCACGGTTGGCGAAAACTCATAATGACGTCTTGGGTTTGATGAATTCTGCGTGTATTAATGGAGATAAAAGGACTGTGAAACTTTGACTCTGTGCCTGACTGAGGACGAGATGACTTGTAGCTTCCACTGTGCTTTTTATTCACACAGTCAATAAGGTGGCTGGCAATTGAGAATCGTGGTCGTGACGTCATAGACGGGAACCACCAGAGGGAGCTACCGAAACCTCTTGTCGCCAATACCTGTGGACAGATTTTTGTGGCTATGTACTCACAGGTGTAGGAGCGCGTGCTTGTTTACTCCTCGTCAGGAATGCAACAGAAAGTTGTATATGGGTAAAACAGGTAAGACGCAACAGTCCCACTAGAGCGACGAACCGACACCAAGAGACCTCAAGCACGCGCTGCACACACGCAAGGCAATTGTGTTGTATGTTTTTACAGGAGGAATTAGTCAGCCCCAATAGCGTCTGCTGTCTCAGCTGTAGGTGAGACATTTAGCCAGTGCAGTACAACCGCTAATTTCACCTTATGATGTACCGCACGGAAGGCTGCAAGCGCGAGCTCTTTGCTCTAGGGCCGCAGCGACCACATTATGTTCGGCGTACCGAGCGCGCTTCACTCGCACGGCGATAGATTGCGCCCAAGTAAAAAGGGCCTTGGGAGGAAATTGTGCATTCTTTACTCGGTCCCTGTGTACCGTGTTGTGAAATGATGGATTTATGTTGGCGTATTGGCATTGATTGCCTTTTCCCCCGTGTGGTTGCTGTTTTTCGAACGAGAACATTACGATGATGACTCAGCGTGAAAAAAAATACTCGTATAAATATAAAACTTCGCGACACCATCTAATGGGCTTTCAATAATTTCGAGTAATTTAAAATAATTCCGTTAAACAGCTGGGTCATGCTCGCGTGTTTTGTCTGACAGCATGTATGTTAACAGTTACGTAAATTGTTTACACACATTGCGTGGTTTATAGGCGGTCGAGGGATATTTTCCACCCTACTCCTGCCGTCTTAGTGAAAAAAAAATTATAAATTTAAATAATGTTACATAGTGGGGCCTGAATAATTCTTTACATGCACAGAAAGGTATTATCATTACATACAAATGGGTTATACATACGATGTCAACTGGTACTGTGGTACATACAAACCATGTGAGCAGAAGACATTTTCATTTATGATGACATAGTGACTGAAATGAACTACCCACGGATTTTGGAAGAAATGATGGCGACATAGCGAGCTCGGGAGATTGGACAGATGGCAGGGGCGCTTCAGCGGCAGATGTCTTGGGCTGACGTCGTTTACGTACGATTGTCTCAACACGCTCTATCTCTCGAGGCGGATTTCTGGGTTTTTTGTAACGTGTAAGGTAGCTCGGGCAGCCAGGAAAAAAGCTCGGAACAGCGTTTACAGATAGCACGGACTTTTAAGCATGAAGGAGAACTCTCCCACTGAATCCCTTATGATACTATTTCGATATTAGTTTGTTGGGGAAATGCTTGTCACAAACATGATCAGTAGGTAGTAACTTGCGATCGGCCCTCGGAATCCACGATTTGCAAAATAGTTCTCGCCGCCTATAGTGCAATGGCGGAAACTTCAACATTTTGGGTGCGAGGCTGGAAAGTGGTTGGAATAAAACTAGACTTCGCGATACATGGTTTGGCTTGGTACATGTGGGGCGGAAAGTTCGTGCGCGGTCTGTTCCAAGCGTTGCCCCAAGACCCAGATTGAATAGTGTGAAAAATTCCCCCCACAGCGTACAAAAACGACGTATCCGTGACAAAATGTGTGCTGTACATCCGTCAGTGCTCGTTCGGCTGCCATGGTGAGCCGTCCATGTTCCTTCGCCTCACGACAGCTATCTAAGCCTATCTTAGCAGGATACAACCTGCTGCAGACGGAAATCTAAAAAAAAAAAAAAAATGGAAACGGCTTTTTACCATAAAAGTAATTCGTGCAACCATACGAAATACAGTGCGCCGGCATGGCGACAAACAAAAGCGACTCGCGAGCTTTCTTCGTCCTCGCTCACGGTGTCTTCGCTTCCGCGCCTCTGTCGCAGCCTAGGAATAGCCGGCACGCCTATTTGTTTTCCAACCAAACAGGGGGCGCTAGCAACACGCTTTCCTAGCGCATGCGTAGCAGCTTTTTTGCAAATTGTGGATTGCACGACGCCACTGCTCCAGACGAGCGTCATTCGATGGAGCTTTAGACAAGGACACTCGCCCTGCACAGTTCCGGTACCCCGCATTGCAGCTGGGAACGAAGCACGTCTTGCCAATCCTTCTGCCATAACTTCTTCTTGGGCTAAGGCTCACCTTCGGGCTCCCCGCGGGAAAAGCGGCCAGAGTCATCACCCAAATGTATTTCTTCCACCGTGACTAGGGCACAGCTTGGCGGCACAAGCTCTCGTGCATTAAGGGTAGCTGCCAACGCCATGAGCTCGCGCCTCTAGCCTTCGCTGCCGTACAACATAAGGTGAACCTGTGGTCTTTAACATGTACGTACCACACAGTAGTAAGTGTTCTAGTACACTGTAAGACAGTAACAGTAGTGATACACGACCGCACGCCGGTACTATGCTCACCCAGATAGAAACGGGCGGGGGTGGGGATTGAACTCAAAATGCCTGGATTCGGGAAGGAGAGGGAGAGGGGCAGGCTGGCAGTCTCTTGGTGCTTGAGCCACGAGTGATTGCAAGCCTGCAAAAGAAACTGTTGCGTGCATGGCGTCGATTGTTTCTGTCCGTCCCTCTGGTGGTGACATAATTGGTTTAAACCGTCAGAAGGTAACAGCAAAAGGTCTAGGTATTGTATGCGTTTGGTTTACTGTGTGAAGGGTTCTGCCGTAGCCTCCGCTATACTCACAAAGCTTGGTAATTCGATGAGGGAGCCGTAGAACGGACGTAGATTTGGAACGCGATGAACTAGTAGCACAAAGGATTTCTTGGGGAGCCTGTATTCAGCGCAAAGCTTTTGCAGCGGCGAGGACCCGAAACGGGGTTTTTAAACTTGACGAGAAGAGAAGCGGCAGCCCGAGGAACGCGAGAAGCACGAGCGGACATTGCATCGCATTGGACCAGTGTGTTTCGGCGTCTCGCCGCTGCGGGGCGCCCGTTACTTGCTTATGGTTAGCCTCCGGTAAAGTTCCTGTATATAGCTGTAGTGTCTATTGTAGTGGAATCTAGTCATAAATCTGGCTTGGTCTGGCAACTGTAACACTCTCCAAGATGGCTGCCAACTAATGAATAAACGCCAGTACGTTGCTGTTTCAATCCAAGGGAATCCTCTTTTTCTACACCTCCCACATTACAATAGCTACCTACGGTAGCAGAGCTGCGCATTCAGCCTCGGCAGGTGGCCTAGCGCCGGCTTTTCTGCACAGTCCTGGATGCTGCGCTCGTCACGTGACTGAATTCGGCGATTAGCAGTGCCGCGCGGATGGAAAACAGAAAAGGGGGAGAAGGAGGCGAAAGCAGGCGTATGTGACGTCGGCTGAGCGACCGTTGCGGCGGCTTTCCTGCACGGCGCTGGATGCTTTGCTCCTCACGTGATCGATCTCGGCGAATAGCAGCGTGGCGGCGCGGGAAAAACAAATGCGCAACTGTGCGCTCCTCGGTGTTCCTCGATGTTCCTCGAACTCGAGCCTCTTGTCTGCCTCTCTACCTTTTCACTTTCGGCGGCCGCGTCTCGTGGCGATCTGCCAGGATTTGTCAGCATAGAGGAGGCTATTGACTCCGTAAGTGTGACGTCATGGGTCCAAACAAACCGTTCCTAGGGTCGTTGTTATGGAAAAATACAAGCGGCTAGGTTTCGCTACTAAAACCCAACCGTTCAAAAATCAAGAGTAGAATTTATACTTCTAAAAATCACAGATGTAGAAAGCTTGAATGTGATATATGTTTCGACAAAAGTGTGCCGGTAATCGCTTGTTTCTGAAATATTTACGACTTCAACTTCCGGTCCTCAAGTTGCCTGCAGCAGACGACAAATCCAAGAAGTATGCCGTCTGCCACACGCCGGCAGGCTAAGCCGCCGCCGTCGTTTGAATCGTGTGAATAAGAACGATATTCTGATATTGCATTTGCTCTAAATATATTGATTTTCAGTAGCTTAAAAGAAAGTGGGGTGCGATGCAAAATATGGTTTATCGAAAGTCCGGGCGTCGATCGAGATCATCGTCTGCTAAAAGATCGCATTGGACCCGTGAGAAAGGCACTTCAGGCGATCGGTCGAGATCCCAAATTTTGTTTGTGGACTGGCGCCATGAGAGGGTGCGTATACCAGGTTGTAACAATCGCTGCAATGGTAACTGAAACATCGCGATAGACATGGAATTTTTTATTAACCTGACAACCTCAGTAATAATAAAAATAATAAACGAAGTACCTTGTCGGCGTACGATTTGTTTCTCATACTGGCCTGCACTACGCCGACAACGCACTTCTGGTCGTCGTCCTAATCAAATGATCTCCATGACGTGGTTTGATTTTATGGCATTTTCACCCTTCTGAACTAAGCTGGGTTCTTCACAGAAAAAAAGCACATTGCGGAGGCCTGTACAGCCACGGAAATGCACTTGTTTTTGTCGCTTGTTTACCGACGCAATTCAATGAAGACGCCCGCTGCAACAGAGGCCAGCAAATCTCTCGTGTCGTCCGCTGCCAAAGCAAAACGGAGTGCAATACTTCAGAAATGGCTTTCAGTTGCCATACGACACTGAGATGACGAGAACATCTTCATAATTAGATATCAAGAACTTAGGTTGCTTACAAAAAATTATTTTCTTGTAAGCAAAACTCTAGCCTCATGTGGAGTCTCCATGCATTAGTCCATAGCAACGTCCCTAGCAACGGTTTGTTTGGACACAGACGCCGTTGTGACGTCATCACTTACGGGGTCAATGGTTGTTCACCTTATGTTGCACCGCAGAGAAGGCTAGAAGCACGAGCTTATAGCGTTGGGAGCTGCTCTTGACGCACGAGAGCTTGTGCCGCCGAGATGGGCCCTAGAGCAAAGAGCTCGCGCTTGTAGCCTTTCCTGCGGCACATCATACGGTGCAACAGAGTCTGAACACGTGCATTAAACCGGTCGCTTCGAGATTAGTGCGAGCGCAGGGATCTCGAGGACCACGTGACTGCGCTCGGACTGCTGTTCTTACTCGAACGCTACTGCTCTACTGTCTTGGCCGAGTCTTGCTGCGGACCTCACTGTGTCTTCGAGCTCTTTGCGACTTCCGCTCTCATCAAGGGCTCCTCCACTGGGCTTGCTTCGTGACCCCAAGGTACCGCTCACCTCCGATCGGTGGGCAGAAGGGTCATCATCTTTCACTGTGCGAGGTGCGATCACTTTCGCTTCCGTTCCTTGCTTTGTCCAGTTAATAACGCCACCTACCTGGCGTCAGCATCGTCGATAGCGCGTCTTGCAGCGTCTTGCGGCTTGCGCGACGCTGTATACCACGCGGCGACGCCAAGACACGGACACGTGTGCCGCTTTACGGGTTGTCTCAAGCTTCAGCGTGTTTACCGCTTGGGGCGGGTCGAAAATCCACTAACGATGACGTCATGTGCAGGCCTTGTCTTCTAGGTGGTATATTATACCGCCTAGCTAGAAATATAGTAATACTTCTGCGTCGCTCGCTTACAGTGGTCTTGGCGTATTGGGGACTTCTCGAAGATCTGTTTTCAAAGGTACAATAGCGCCCCAGACGGCGTGTTCGGAAAACATTGTAAAGTACTGTATTGGACTGTATTGGATTACCTTTTTTCTTGTAACTTGTACAAGACTGAGCACGCAGGGACGTCAAGACTTACGTGTCTACCTCTTTGCGGGGTGATCTAGTCCAGCTTCAGCGTATTCGTCGCTCAGGGGTCCTGGCGGGGACCCACTAACGATGACGTCACGCGCAGGCCTTGTCTTCTAAGCAGTATTCAGCCGCCTTGGCGGATGACGGATGGAGGGCTTGCTGCAGCTGTCGGTGCTGCTGTGGAAGCAGCTGTACGTGCAGCGGCTGCGCGCGCGCCCGGTGTCCTTCGTGCTGGAGGTACTCGTAGCCCTGGTGCCATTCGCGAATATCCACAACTCCAAGGGACGCTCGGGCAAGGACGCCTTCGTGGACAGCATCATCTACCCGGAGGTGACGCCGGACCTCGAGGAGCTGCACCTGCACGCGCTCTACTTCGGTCCCGACAACTCGTACACGAGGGCCACGGCCGACGTCATCAAGAGCACGCTGCGGAACATCGGTGAGCTAGTTGTCTTTCCTGTCCAATCACTCGGCTGGAATCTAGGGCATCGTGAACTAGGGGTTGCCCGGCGAATCGTGGATCGATTCGAATGGCGCGGTGACATCCATAGCTTCCAGACTGCAAAGCATCGGTCACAACGCTCGTGCAATGCAGAAAAAGAAAAACCGTCTGCAGACGCTGTCTGAGGTGTGTGTCTTCTTTGTATGAATGTCAGGTTACGTTGGCCATGCCAAAACGGTCAGCAGACATGTTTCAAGTACACACGAAGCACACATGCTTCCAACATGCTTCAGGCGTGTCCGCCGACACTTCTACTATCGTTTCTGCAACAAACTCCATGTCTTTCGTATGATATATGAGCAGTGCAACTGAAGGTTATGAGTGACGCAGTACTATGCGCAACGCAAGTTCGTCTGCTTTTTCTGCAGGGGTTGTGTGGTGACGTCAGAACGCCGAGCTCCGATTGGTTCTGAATGAAGGATAGTGGGTAGATCTCAAGGCAGCTTGCTTTGAGGTCTACCCACTTTCCTTCAATCGGAGCCAATCGGAGCCAGTCAGAGCCCGGCGTCTTTCTGGCGCCACCGCAACTCTTGCGCAAGAAACAGACGACTTGCTGTCCGCATTCCATTCGAGCCACCTTAATTGAATCGCGTCAGGCGTGTCATAAGGTTTCGGGAGATGAGGGGGCTAAGCTCTTTTGAAGGGGAGGTGGGGGGGAAGGGGGGGATTGACTGATGAGAGGCAGTGGGAGATATCAGCTTCTTCTCTCGAATGTTTACATTAAAATATCCAAAATGCCAGAGAAGAGGGAAGGAGAAAAAATTTACCGACGTTTACAAATCACTGTAATCTGAAATTAGAGCGCAGTTGTTGAGGTAATTTGATTTTGCAGTATACTTTGACGGGAGGGTTCGTAGGACGCGGAGAAGGAGGGGAGGGTATGGAGAAGGAGGAGGTATGGAGGGCACTCCCCGTCCTCCTTTTGCTCCTCCCCTCCATTCCCCCCACAGTTTCTCCGCTAAATTTAGCAGGAAAATCGACGCCACAAACATCAATTCTGTTTCCCCTCTAAATTTAGCGGGGGAAAATAACGTCACATGACTTTATGTCACGTCACTTATGAACAAATTCAGTTTTCCGCTACATTTAGCGGGAGAATTGACGTCACGTGACCTCAACACCAATTCAATTCCCCGCTAAATTTAGCTGGCAAACTGAATTGGTGTTGAGGTCATGTAACGTCAGTTTAACCGCTAAATTTCGCGGGGAAACTGAATTTGTTTATAGGTGACGTGACATGCAGTCATGTGAGGTCATTTTCCCCGCTAAATTTAGAGGGGAAACTAAATTGATGTTGAGATCCCGTGGCGTCAATTTTCCAGAAAAATTTAGCGGGGAATTTAATTGGTGTATAGGTCTGTGACGTCCCATAATGCAACGCGCGCGGTAACGCTGACGGCAAAGGTGGCGCCACGAAACACGAGAACGAGCGCCTAAGAGCTGCGCTCTAAAAGTAATCGTGCGCCCTCCACCCCCCCCCCCCCCCCCTCCCTTTTCCGACGCCGCTGGTTCTCGTCTTATTATGAAGACACGATATACGTAAAGAAAGTTAGGGGCGGGTTAGGGAATGTGGCCCTATCCCTTGGGACACGTGCCCTAAAGTTACGGAATCTCTTCTTGCCGAAGACTCGGGACTGTATGCTGAACTACCGGGGCTGTGGCACGTGAACGATTACAGCAGGTTCGTAGCCCAGCCAGCGTTCCCCTGGAAGACCGTTTGCTAAATTACTAGTGGGCCTAGATTGATATCGAAGCGTTTTCGGCTGCTCGGCTGATGTCACGTGGTTCCTGGGCCGCGTACACAACACGAGGTAGGTTCCAGGTGGAGTCGAAGAGCGTCGAGCATCTGCTGGCAGGCGAGCAATTTGCGCGGGAGGTGCCCACAACTTAATTGCAAATGCTCTCGATGGTACGAGTCGCTCCTTTTTTTTTCGTTTTGTTTAACTCTTGAGTCTCTGTAAATAACCCAAGCACCAAGAAACATTTCGCCAGTGTACTTACACGCATTGCCCGTAATGGCGTCTAGGCATGCGACTGTCCAAAACTGAAAAACCGAAACGCGAGCGGCACTTTGTACGTCGATAGAACGTCTACGGCACTCATTGGAACTGAGATAGAACCACACAAATGCAATTTCTTTCTAGAGTAATTGTGTAATAATTTGATTACATTTATCATTTAAGTAATCATAGAGGCAATTGGAAGTGCTAAAATTACTTGCAGATGTTACTGTTTTTTCCCCCTTTCTTTTCGAACGGCGCCCATCGTTTGTACAAGTTTAATACCAAAGTATCCCCGAAACAACTCTCGGACAGGAAGATGGTTTACTGAAATTGGTGTATTAAGAATGTACGTAGATTCTAATCGGCGATTTTGATCCAATAATGGACAGCACGAAAAACCCGCCGGTTTCAAACCGTCAAGGAAGAAAAATATGTCGCTTTGAAAAGCTGAAGGAGACGTAAAAGTAACGGTCACTTTTTCAAGTAACGGCCAACTAGTTTTTCGTCTCAAGTAATCGAGTAATATTAAATAAAGTTTAACCAATAGTCATTGTAATTGTAATCGATTGTACTTTTAAAGTAAAGTGTACAAGACTGCTTATATATGAAAAGAAAGAAGGTACTTTTCACTTTTTTTCTCAATCCTTATTTTGACGATTTAATTCAACCCTTCTATACTCACAAGGGGAACGCGTGCAACGCCCGTACCTACCTACGGTTTCAATATTCTTCTTGGTGCTCGGGTAACTTTATAAAACATCTTTCGCGTCGGTATTTCGGCTGAGCGGTGGAGGCGTTCTTCGAGCGCTTTCATTTCAAAATGGCACTTTCTTGTCTCGACCGCAGCCCCTCGCGCCGTGGACGACGAAGAGGAGATGGCCAGGGTCGTGGCTTCGGCCAACGTGTCCGACCGCACCCTAGGCCTGTTCTTCCGCAATGTGCCCGTGGACGAGCGCGCCTTCGTCAACCTCGACTACGTGGTCATGTTCTCGTTCGGGACCTACCACATCCTGGACTCGTTCAAGACGCGCGTCAGATCCGGGCCGTCGGAATATCAGGACGGTGAGTGCGGTGTTCCGGTTGACCTGTCTGATTTTATCATGTTGTCGGTAGCGTATACTGAAAGCGCACAGCAGAAGTGGTAGCGAATGTCAGAAACAACAGCACCTTCAGCCATCTTACACGTAAAGAGAGAGGCTTTGTTATTCCCAATTTTCTATGGCGCAAGCACACAACAGCGAGCATCCAAGAATTACCAGGCAGAAATTGAACGAGGACCTCTGCCAGCAAGTGATAAAGGGAGCGTTTTTATAACGTACTCATCAACACGCTGTTTACAAGCTAACCTGCATTTGCTTTCCACAAATGTGGGCACTGGGCGTGCGCAAAAAAAGACAAAAAGAAAAAAAAAAAAAAGAAAACAGATTCACGTGAGAGGAGGCGTCTTCGTATGGGCAGTGCAAGAGCCATGGGCAGCACCGACAGCAGCGCCCCCGCGGCGGCGAAACGTCACAGAATTGAGCTGGTGTAGACATGACTTTCACGTGATGTCATGCACCCCACCGGTGGTCCTTTCTGCTTGTTCTTGCCAAGAAAAGAAAATCGATTGTGTGAAATGCCTTCTGCAAACGATTCGTGTTCAACAGCAAGGTCGCCACAGTCGCAGCTGATGTCACGTCAGTGCAGGCCATGAACAGAAACTGGAAAGTAGTATATCTCATAGAAGGATCATTAGATAGTGTCGCCTAGGTTTATTCCTTTTTGCCGATGCGTTCAATCGAGTGACATTTTGAACATATTGCGTCGATGTATATTCTTTCAGACAGCGTAGTCAACATGTCTGTCCCCTGAGGTTTCATACATCTGTATGAAGTATCAATTGCTGAACAAGTGTCGGACTCCTTCACAGCAAACTTTAGTCACACCGCGGAGGCTCAGGCTCAAGATAACATTTTACGGCACGGTCCTCTCTGTGCCGACAAAATGCAAGGCTTGAGTGTGACGTCTTCGCATCGTATGCATAGCTTGAGTGTGACGTCATCGCATCTTGCTGGAGACGTCGTCGCATCGTATGCATGGCTTAAGTGTGGCGTCATCGCATCTTGCTGGTGACGTCTTCGCATCGTATGCATAGCTTGAGTGTGACGTCATCACATCTTGCTGGTGGTGATTCCTGCTTGTTCTTGGAAAAAAATTAATTCGATGGTGAGAAATGTACGCTAGAGAAGGGACACACTCGACAGCAGGGACCAACAAAGGCTCCCAACGTGATTTCAAAGGAAGTAACGGATCCGCGATGTGGGCAACCAAAGCGTCGCCGTGATCGGGTTTCGGCGATTGGTCAAACGACAAACCGACGACCACTTCGTCAGACTGACAACTTTTACGCTGTTGGTATAAAGCGCGATGGTTCTTAGCTTTAGCACCAACTGCCATGATCGCCACACCCTACATCGTGGCACTCTGGCTTTTTTTGGAACGTCGTCTGTTGCCACTTGGGGACCATCTTTGACCTATGGGCGATATGGGATGCTAAACATGCGAGTCTAAGACTTGTCCCGTACACCGTACTGCTGGTTACACTCTGGCCAGAAAATGAGCCAATGAACTGCAGACAATAAGCTTGCACCGGCGGCTATCTTTCTTTTTCAGAGATGAGCGAGAGGCTGACGGCTGTTCAGGCCGTGGTGGAAGCACACCACGTCCGCACCTACCTGCGGTCGCTGGCCGCTGTCGGAGGCGCGAACCGTTCGTGGCCCGAGATAAGCGTGAAGCTGCGCCAGTTCCCGTACCCGATGTACCACGAGGACGAGGACAACACCATGTTCCTCATCGGCATCCGCTGGGGCGCCGCCTTCATCGTCCCCTTCTGCTACATCATCACCCGCGTGATGCACGAACGCCACAGCGGCATGCTGGTTCGTTCTTTTCCAAACGCGACATCAACGATGGCCATCTTTCGGGGCACGTCTTCGCCGTATAATGTGCGAGGCGTGCAACTTCGTGCTCTCCTCGCGCGCGTCGTGCGTTTGTTCACCCGCCAAATACGACCACGTGCTTTCGTTTCCCGCCAACCTCGAGCAATGGCGGCGTGTGCTTAGCTGCCCCGTTATCGCTGTTTTCTGCGATTTTTCCACGTTGTCTTTTGATTTGGCGTGCTCTTCCTTGCGTTCCGACATTGTAAAGGCGGATTTTGGAACGCTTGCTCGCCGCATACTCACCGACGGGTCCATATCACAATAGCGAATGACATTTTAGCGAACAGCGACATTTGAGCAAATGGACGTTTTAGCGAATAACGGGGGCGCGCGTTAACCCATCCGTCGCTCTGCGCTTACGCCGCTTCGCGGCGACAGTCTGCGGCAGCTCATTACAAAAATATGAACCCACTTGGCCCACCCGAAAACACCGCTTCGCGGCGTCCGACTATTCGCTAAAGTGTCATTCGGTGAAACGTGGGCGTTCGCTAAAACGTCATTCGATCAAGTGAGTGCCTCCCCTCACCGACAGCCTTAGAAAGTTAGGGCGTGCCGATCATCTAATTATATTCCTCCGTAGCCAATGATATCGCAGCGCTAGCAGGTAAGAACGCTGAAGGGGCATTCACGAAGCATTAAGCGTCAATATAACAAGCCGCGCCCAGCATTTTTTAGGTTGTCATTGGCCAGAGACAGTTTCAAGTGCAGTGCGAGTATGATTCTACTAGAACACACAAAACAATTTCGCTTCAAAAATATAGCGGCTGTAAGAGGATTGAACCTTTACATTGCCCGGTAAGTGAAACGAGTGAACCAAGTATAGTTACACGCGTTGCACGTGCTGGTGTCTGTCTGCGCTGACTTTTCTAAAGCAAGCGCCTAAAGGAAATTGCACGCGCGTTCGTCCAAGCCTTATATGGGCTATTGACTATCTTTTATACAGGGAAGGCCAACGCATGCGGCGCTAGACTTACATTGCAAGCATTCTCCTTGATGATTGGGTAATTTAGCGATAGGTCTCTTTAGCGCGTTTAGCTCAACGTTATTAGTTTAGCTTGGTTTAGCCGATTGGGGCAAAAGGCACACTGCGTGTACATGCCTCACACACAAGAGCGCAGCGACACGAGAGCGCTCAACCAATTCAGCGCTCCTCACGAGAACGTTATCGGCGTCGATGGACGATTTGTAGTATTGCGAGCAATTGTGACCCTCGTTTTTTTTTCTAATTGGCAGTAACAGCTACGTGCAGGACGAAACAGACCATTTTCGAAATTCATCCTGGCCCCTTTGATCATATCACCATCTGAAAAAAAATGAGAAAAATAAAAAATAAAAAAATGGCACATGTGTCGTATTAATGGCGGCCTTCTGTTTACTGATAAAGGGAGAAGTTGAAAATGTTCCAAAGCCGATGATTTGAGGCCTATACAATCGAGACGTTACCACGATGCGAAGCAGGAATTGACTGCAAGAGCTGCGTAAGCGTTTATTTCTAACTCGGACCCGGTCATTGTACCACACAATCGGCTTCAAAGTCCCTCGATGTATTGAAGTTTATCAAGGCATCTGTGTGGATTGGAGCTTGATTTGTTCTGACTCGTTGCATATTTTTGGCCATCGACATAGGGAGAGATTGAGAAAGAACTGTGCAGTAAAGAGCTCACACTCGTTTGCCATTGACTTGCAAAAGGGACGGTGCCCGATCAAATACTCCAGACTAGAGGTTCATTGGCACCATTAGTACGGTAAATGTTAAAGTGCCATTTGATCCACCACTTTCGCCTTCATTATTGGTTATCGTTAGTAATTTATTTACTTTTTAAAGCGTTCGATCAGAGATAACTGTGGCTATACTGACTTTTATGGTGCACGTCTTTCTATGGTATGTCGTTTTGCCGTCGTGCAAATTACAGCGAGGTGGGGTGAGAAGTAATTTTGGCACTTGTTTTGTTGTGCACGTTCCCCTCCAGAAGGAACTGAATACCGCTACTCGTCACTTCATCTAAAAAGTAAACAAAAAACGCTATTCGTTTCTTTTAATTACAAAGTAACTATCTAGTAACTTTGTTACTAAACACTTAACTAGGTACAAGTAACGGCGTTTCTTGTAACGCGTTACATACAAGTGTAACGCGTCCGGCCTGGGCGCGCAGGCGCTCACGCGGCTGATGGGCCTGCGGCGTTTCTGGACCTGGCTGGTGCATTACGTCTGCTTCATGCTCACCTGGACGCTGAGCTGCGTGCTGGTGCTGGCTTTGATGACGCTGGTCGAGGGATCCCAGGGCGTGCCCTTTGTCTACCTGGCCAACCCCATGCTCGTGTTCGTCGCCATGATGCTCTTCGCCTCCGCCTACGTCCTGTTCGGCATGCTCATCTCCCTCTTCTTCGACAAGTGTGCGTGCCATCGTATCACGAGAATACACCCTGCGTCATACTGACGGCGGTCGTCTTCAGCGTCTGCGTTCTCAGGTTGTCGTTCACGTCTGGCGAAACATGCAATGCTAAAAACTCTAAACGCGTACGACAGGCATTACCAAAAAGGTTAATCCCTAGGACGATACAAAAACCGCCCGTCAATTTGACACATGGTGTCCCTTTGGAGACAGCATGACGTGACATTTGGATGTCATTGGGCACGTCACGTGACTCACGTGACGTCATGAGGTCAATCCCAGCACGTACGCGAAAGCTCCAAGAGCTGGCCCTACCTACGCGTTTAAAAGACAGTAAACGTAAAATCGACGCGTCGTGAATTAGAGTTTGATTGTACCGACTACCTTAGCGGCGGCCGAGGAACGCTAGATTCTTGACCGTTTCCGCAGCGAGTCTCGCGGTGGCGTTCGGTCTGCTCCTGTGGTCGGCGACCCTGGTGGTTCCTTTCCTGGCCTGGCACTGGAACAACAGGACGCTCACTGCCTACCTGGGACTGTCGCGCTGGGTCAAACTCGCCACCTCTCTGATCCCCGTGCACGGACTCTACTACATCTTCCGGATCATCGAGCTGTACGACTACTACGGTAAGCACAGGGCACTTTGGCAGAGTCGCGTCATATCCGCGGCTGTATTTGTAAAAAGGTTATCTAACACCAGGAACGTTTCCCCTCCATCTTATCTTTTTGTCACAGTCGCAATAAGTACTCCTCGGCTTGTAACCCTTTTACAACTACTAATAGCTAAAAACAAAAGACTGTGGGAATAAGGTCGATCCCATCGTTTACTGCAGCACAGTTAGCACGCACAGGCAACCCTGTTGTCACGTTCAACGAATGTTCCTTTTGTTTTTTGCTCGGAGGGTGATTCCGAACAAATAAGAAGTAGTAGAAGTGGGCCTCATGGCCACCTGACATTGCAGTGATGTCACGTCTTACGGTCACGTGACCTGACGCCACGCGGTCCGATCACGTGACCTGAATCTATGTGTCCATGCGACGCGCTATGGCACTCCTTGGGCTGAATTCCCCCTAGGCGTTAGTTTGGCGCCAGCTTAGGCCGCCAAAGTTATCCCTCACATAGGCCTCGTGCTCAAGGCTAAGATTAAACTTGCGTCCGAAAATGCCTGTTTCAGAGCGTAAGTTCGACTGGCCCATGATCTACAAGTACGCCCTGCTGAAGGACAACGTGCTGCCGTTCGAGATCATATTGATCATGGGTTCCATGTCGGGCCTCTTTGGCTTCCTCATCTGGTACCTGGAGATGGTGCTGCCCTGGACTGCCACCATACCAGAACCGCTGCACTTCCCTTTCAAGGTATGCGTCAAGAGCTGCCTCATAGCCTGGTACTGGTTTGAGGCTCTAGTTTTATTATCACTGGCGATATTCTTCGCCTATTGTCAAACGTATTTTTACAACAGCTCCTTCTTTGGACAGCCAGTCGCTGTGAATCAGACTTGTACGTGACGCGATACAAGTTACGCGCTAGTTGTACCCTGTTACTTTTTTTGTAACGAAGTAACCACCTAGTTACTTTTTAAGAGAAAGAAACGTGTAACGTATTTTAGTTACTGTTTGATTAAGTAACAATTAACAGTATTTATTTAGTTCTGGAGGGAAACGTGCACAAGAACTTTAATGTCCAAGATAGATCTCCCCCCATCTTACGCCTGTAATTTGCGTGTCAAGAAAACGCTTGATAAACCATACAAAAAATATGCACGAGGTAATTCAGTATAACGACAGTTACCCAAAATGAATAGATTAATAGGCGAGGAATTATTAATGGATGCCAAATGCTGGAAGGTGGCTTCAGAAAAAGGACACTTCAGAGTAATGAGAAAGTAGCTCATTACTTTCGAGTTAGTAACGCGTTCCTATCCCAGTAATGAGTAACGTGTTTAGCTACTTTTAATGCGCAGCTCTTAGGCACCCGTTCCCGGCTTGAGCGGCGTCGCCGTCGCCGTCGGCGTAACCGCGAGTAACCCTCGTAACCCTCGTGAGGGTTACGAGGGTTACGAGGGTTAATGTCACGAGGGTTACCCTCACGAGGATCACGAGGGCTACTAGGGTTACAAACCCTCGTAACCCTCACGAGGGTTACGAGGGTTAGTTTTTTAAGCGAGTAACGTTATTACTTAATTTCAGTGACGTGTATATATCTGATCGGAATGCTTTGGTCCTAGTCGCTAGTATCTTGGCGAAGTGCGTCGCGTTGTGTAGTGCTCAACGTTGGCTCTCAGGCGAGCTACTGGAACGTGGCCGAAGAGGAGATCAAGCTGCCCGCCTCCCATGAGAGTATTCCGGACGAGAGCCAGGACAACTTCGAGGAGGAACCGAGGCACCTCCTACTGGTCGTCGAAGCCTTGAATGTCAGCAAGGTGCGCCCGTCGTACCAAACGCGTAATCGAGCATTCATTCGCTGGGGAAGCTAAGGGGCTTTTAACTTCAAGGGCTATTAAAAGAAAAAAAAAAGAAAAGGAATGACGAGCTGGCTCGCAGTTTGAACCCGGTGTGTACAAACAATTTACGCGAGAGCGAAAAATAAAAGAAATAAATATTTGTGCCTCTACTTGTACCACCAGCGGTATAACAAGTTCAAACAAATTAAAATAAATGAATAGGGCCGAAGTGCGGTCAGAAAGTTATAAATTTAGAAAAAAAAAATTAAAAACAAGAACAGAGAAACAGCGAAACCCCAGGTAGGGAACGGGCTCTAAGGGAGATCCAGGGGCATTTATTTTATATTTGAAGTCTTTTTATGTTGATATTTTTTTTAAAAGTTCCCGGGGTTTACTGTCTCGTCGTGATGGGGACGACGCCAAGAGGAGTCAACTGGGACACCGTTTGTACTGATCCGGCGGCGCAGCACTTGTCCCTCAGTCAGAATCTATGTACAAGTTGTAAGTGGGAGCGAACAGCCTGAGTAAGTGAGCGAAACAACAACTATCGAAGGGTAGGAGCATGGAAGCGTTGTTGGTACAATATTCGGCTATGTTAACACCTAGAGTTTTAGGGGTGATTGATTTAGTGAAATTTATGGTGAATTCCGCTCGTAGATCTGGAGCGCTTTCCAAAATCCGCGAGGGAGGCAAAATTCCGCTCCGTGGGACCCGCTCCGAATCGACGAGGGGAAGATAAACTCGCATTTTTGGAGCGACCTCCCCCACACCCCTCCCCACCCCTTCTCCCTCCGCCGTACAAAATGGCTGCTGCTTGAACTTGACCAGCCCACCAACGCCTCAGCCGGCTCATCTTTCCAACGACCAGTGACGACTGTCACTGCTTAGCTGCAGAAGTAACACGCGACACAGGCCGGGCGAAATTATACGTACCGCGGAGCCCATGTCACAAATAACGAAGATGTCCGCGTTCGGCACCGTCACATACCTTTCGGCCGCCTCGAAGCGGCGGGGCACGGACAGCGATTGCCAGCGTGGAGTTCAGATTTGTAGTACGACTTTAATAAACACAGAGGTAACAAACCATCACTTGCGCGGTCGTTGCCTAACCACTTCTTTCTTTATTTCACGGGAAAACGCCGACGGAATGCAGTGTAAAAAGGTAAACAATCACTGGCTGCAGAATGAATAGGCCTTACCTTGCGTCTGCCTCCGGCTTTTCTGTCGTTCTTTTTCTCGTTCTTCCTCTCACGATCACAGACGTCAGCGCTTACGATTTGCCACGCTCCACATTCCCGGCTTTTTATCCCTGATCTACGCGAGGTAGAAGCGTTCGAGCCGTCACAATCCAGAGTAAACAACCGACGCACCCGAACAGATCCAACTCCACGACCCGACCGGCCCGCCGATCTCTCCAACCTCACCGCGCATGCGCACCGCCGATTTAGACGGAAGTCACGTGGGCCGCTCTGTCAGCTTCCGGAGAGATCCGTGAAATCCCTTAGAGCAAGTTCGGCGGAGTTTGGGGCGCTCCGTGGAGCGGGCGCTGACAGAGATCTACGAGCGGAAGATGACCAACTTGAGCCAGATCTGCGAGCGGAATATGCGCGCTCCAAATGGAGCGCTTTTGGAGCGCTCGAGATCTGCGAGCGGAATTCACCATTAGACTTTGTTATGAGGAGCATAGATTGCGGTGTGGGGTTAAGTTTAAGAAGCGCGTTGTTGACTGTGTTGCAAAGGTTGGCTTCGTTTGACTTAGAAGAACAATCTTAACGATGCATCAAGAACTGCTGATAGTATGTTTTTAACAATAATGCTATGACAATTTTGTTAAGGTTCTTGGGAAAAGTAAACAGTTTATCAATAGTGAATGAAGATGAAGAAGGTTATTCTGTTATATATTGGTCGCCATATTTAATGAATTAGCAATAAATGTATTTCTATATACATATTTACAGGATTAATATACACTAACGTCTTAGTTTCCTAAGCTATTGACCTAAATTATTTTTTTGCTTAGTTTTATTTTTGAGAAGCAAAACAATAAAGACCAAGCAAAAAGCTTTCTGGTGTTTAGCCTCGTTTCCCACACCTTTATTTTTGCTAATTGTCTTAGTTGGTAAGTGCGTTTTTCTAAACCTTTCACTTGACTGAGATGTGATCCCGTGATGAAGGTGAAGAAGAGGTCGTTCTTTGAATATCGAATGTACCGTACAATTATTTTCTTTTTGTTGTTATCGTTATTTTTGAAGGAAAGGAACATATGATGTCCTAAATTACGTTTATTTTTTTTCCCATAAAAACCAACATAAATGTACTTTTTCACCATTGCATGATTTTAATGAACTCCTTATTTGACAATATTTCATTTTTGGTTACCTCCCTTGATTGTTGTTTTTGGAAGAAGTTGTTATCATACTTGTGGTTTTACCCACAGCCGTATATGTGAAGAGTTTGGTCAATGGGAGGCGCGGGCAGAGCCAGGGCGTGCGCCAGACTCGGAAAGGGGGCTTGGTATGCTCTCTTGGCCAACCAGAAGCCGAAAAGAATCCCCTAGCGGTGGTAGCGAGAAACAGTTTTGATCAAAGGTCTATGTTCGTATATGGCTCTAATAAGCGCGTAAGAGTGAGGTGTAGTAACTCTTCGTGGTTGAAAATAGGGTGCACGTGTTGTTTTGATCATGATCACGCAGAAAGACGTAAGAAACGAATGCGCCGCTCAACTCTGTTTTGCGCGGACAGAGTGTGACCGCTAGGACGGCAGATTCCCGGCTTTCGGCGCTTGGCGTACGGATTATATCAATCGTTCCGCTAGTCGCACTCTTCCACCATCATTTCGGATGAGCGTGATTGAAACATCACGTGTACCATATTTTCAGCCATCGAGAGTTACTCCAATGCAGTTATCACGTTTGTTTCTCGCGACCACCGCCAGGGTATTATTTCCGGCTTCTGGTTGGTCACATTCGAATTTCTGAAAACGCCCTGGAACAGGCCCAGCCCGCTTTCGGCCAATGGCGCCTCCTCATTTGTCTCCTATACTTCCCAACGAATGGCCAAACTCTCTACATATATGGCTCTGGTTTTACCCATCTTTTCTTTTTTTCTGGAGGAAGATGGTGAAATATGTTGTACATACCAAGCACCTCTTCCCAGAGATTGTTGGTGTACGTCTGGTTGTGCGTTGCAAGGGTTTTAGAGTTGAAACTAATGTGGAAGCCCGGAGCTTTGGAACCGGTCCCTAGCCTCCCCCCCCCCCTCCCCCCTTCCTTGACCATAGAAGTGGTGTCTTGCTTGAATGCGGCTTTGCGCTTCTTCCTTGCGCGACTAACCTGATAGGAGCCCCGAAGTTCCAAACTGGTCGGAGCCTCCCTATCTCACATTGTGGGGTCTTCCTTTGGCCACATAATTCACGTTGTAACTTGTTGTTAAATTAAGAGTCCATCTTGCCGGTGACTTAGGGCAGGTATTGTTCCAATTAGGCTCGATTCTTATTGTTGGTAAATCTTTTTGTTACATCTGTTTCTTTTCTTCAGTGATTAGATGTTAAGTGATTTCATAAATAAGTTTTATTATTTCTTTAAAAAAAAATGGTTTACTGATAGTAGCATTTGTTGACGGCTGTTTAAGCCAAAGTTATTAATTTGTTGTTGATAAGTGATAGAGTTAGGCTACATGCGGTAAAATAGTGTTCAATATCAGTGCATTCCTGCCCGCACAAAGAGGTAGTTTCATTCCCGGTGTTAACTTTCTGAAAGTAAAATGGAAATCTGCCATGACTATTGATCAGTTGCGTTATGTAAAACAAATGTAGAGGGAAGCAATAAGGAGTATTTTGTAGTGATGGGGCACATTTAAATAGTTCCTTTGTTTGTCTTTCGTCCTTCCATTCACGATCCCATCACTGAAAAGCAAGGCTTAGTAGTTCTGTTTTAATATTTCTTTTAGACCGAGGTAACAGAACGCATTCACCGAACCGCTTCACGGGCACAGCAGACTCATCCGCGAGATCGTTCCCGTAAATTTCGGAGGGCATTTTAACATGATAAAAGGCAAGGGTAAGAAATGATATACTTAAGATAATAGTTTGTTTTATTTCAAATAATGAAGGTATTACGTTATTAGGATTTTATAGCGCTTGCAGTACGGACAAACTGTCAGTAAAAACTAAACAATTTTGTTTTTCTTAAACCATTTTAATAAACTGTAAAGCTTTTAGGCCTTTGCAATGGCCTCTGCATAAAAGATGGAGTTGTGCTTGGCCAGACAGTATTTTCCAGCGTTAAGTATTCCACCTTTGTATCTTAAATTCACAAAAGCTGCCCCTGCCCTATTAAAAAAATACCGGACAATCAGTGTATATATAGATAAGGAGACAGTTGTCAATGTAGTGTTTGCGTCAAATATTTGAAACTAAATGTGACATCTTTTGGATGAATTCACGGACCAAATGTCAATTGGGTATGATATCTGTCTAGGGTGAATTGACAGTTGATCGAAGCTGTGGGGTACTTTAAGCTGAAATATGTGGAAGATAAATACCGGCATATCGAGGGTTATGTGTAATGGTAGAATGTTACAAAGGACAGGAAGGCAGGTATTTGAGACTGTACAGAATGCCATAACTATCTTCAGTTAGTGGGATTCTTAGTATTGATTTTAATAGTCTTAGCATGTGAGAGTTTCGATATGATTTCCACCACGCACGGGCTGCATAGCTTATGCATCGTTCGATACTATGAAAGTTGATATCACGAAACTCAGCCTGTGTTATATTCAACGATTTAATGATGTAAATCTTGATAGGTTAGCCATATGTGTATGAGCCTTTTTTATATATAACTTTAAACGTTTGCTCTACTGCGCCTGCGCAGAAGGCAAATTCGCGTGATGTGAAGCTTGTGCGCATGCGCCGCGCCGAGAGCAGCGCCACCGCAATGGCGTGACGTGAGAGTCACGTGACGTCAGAGTCGCATGTTGGCGATATTTTGCGACTAACATGGCGTGCTGTTGTTGACCGATAATCTGAACGCTTTTGAATAATTGTTTTTGTAGTGCTCGTGTTACAGGTTTCTACTTCAATTTATGGAATCAGTTCTCCTGGTGAATGCCCAGTTAGATATTTTGTCATACTTTACTGTTTTCTTAGAAACCCGATAGAGCGAGGTCACCTGGCACCCAGGTACGTTGTTTAGGGTGTCAAGAGGGCGCAGCTAGCGTGACTCTGTACGTATGTTATATTTTCAACCGCATTTCGTGCTGCATGCGACCGAAGTGTGGCAATAAATATAATTACGTCCGTACTTGACGTAATGGAAGCCATAGCCCGGGTCAGTTGCTCTTCGTCTTGACCATTCAAGGGTATGCGCTGTATTCGGGATGGTACCAGCGATGGATGTTGGCCGTGGTTTGTCGATGGATGTTGGCCATTTGTAGTGATTCCTCGGTGCAGGTGTACAGCAAGAAACACGCCGTGGACCACCTCACTCTCCGGCTTTACCACGGCCAGATCTTGGTGTTGCTCGGTCACAACGGAGCTGGCAAGACAACGCTGGTGAACATGCTCACGGGTGAGGCTGCCTAGCAGCGCCGTGAACGCACTCCCTGACTGATTATACCCTTTAAGCTTAGGAACAAAAAATAAAAAAAAAGACCACGTGTGAATCTCCAACCGCAAATGCGCGCTCATGTTTCGTTTTTGTAAGGTGCCTTCAACGCGCGAATCCGTGCAAGGCTGTATTGATTTCTGAAGCTGCCAACGCTCGCTCGCCGTTTTAATGCAGCCTTTTCCATACCCCATCGGGCAACATTGGCGGTCGCCATTTTTTGGGCCCGAAACCTGTGATTGGATCCGAGACCTCGCCGAAGACTGACGTCACACTCGTATCCAATACGAGATGAGCCGAGTTCCCGCCGAATGTTGACGTAGCCCTCGTACGTGCCCAAACAATGGCGGACTCGAATAATTGGCTGAACCGCAAATAGATGGCGCGCATTTGTTTTTTAACCAATGTGTTTATTTTGGTTGAGGTAAAGCCTGAACAAAGATTATAAACTCGGACATAATTGTTTTGTGGGCATTTTGGCTCCTAAACGACACCTCTCTCGAAGAACGCGCTTCTTGGGTTCTGGCGACAATAGACCCTTTCAGGAATTCAGTCTGGCCACTTTGATCACTATCATCATCATCTGAAAACGGCATATGTGCTATACACGTTTGCAAGTCCGGCTTCAGGGCGCTGCCATCTTGCCTGTCTGGGGTGCGCTTGGACCAGTCATAATCCGATTACGAAGCCTTGCTAAGGCGTCGTAATCGGATTATGGCCGCTCCCGAGAGCGCACCCCACTGAGGAAGATGGCGGCGCCCTGAGACCGGACTTGCAAACGTGTATACTAATGGCGGCCCTCTGTTTACTGATGAAGGAAGAAGTTGAAGATGCTCCTAAGCAGATGATTCGACGCCTTTACATTCTAGATGTTAGCGCGGCGTGAAGCGGGAATTAGACGCAAGAGCTGCGTAAGCGTTCATTTCTAACTCGGTCCCAGTCAATCTGTTAGTAGCACTCACTCGGCTTCAAAGCCTTTTGATGTATAGAACTCTATCAAGGCGTCTATGTGGGTTGGCGCTTCGTTCCGACTGGCTGCATTTGTTTTGCCATCGACGCTAAGAGAGATTGAAAAATAATTGTAGTGAAGTGCACATTCTCGTTTACCGTGGACCTTCAAAAGTGACGGTGCCCCATAAAATACTGCAGAGCACAGGTTCATTGCCGCCATTAGTATAGTAAAAGATAAACTGCCATTTGAGTCACCAGATGGCACTGAATTCCGGAAAGGGTCTATAGTTGCCTCTCGAAAGCTCGTTCTCCATTCGGAAATCATCCCAGCGCTTTTATTTACAGGCTTTAGCAGTAGCGTTAGTTATGGCTCTGTCACCGTCTTGGCTATACATGTACGAGGGCGTGTTGTGGACGGCATCGTATAAAGCCCCACAAATCGGGGCAGAAATGGAAGGCTGAAATGAATGCTTACCTCGGGGAATTATACCGAAAGTTTTAACGCTGAGAGCTTCAATCTATAAGTCATCAACGTCAGGAGGTACTGCTAAGTAAGGAGTCCGCCGCGTGATTTTGGTTGAATGCATTTGGGGGTCGAGGCGAACTTGGCAAACATGTTAGAGGTTAAAATTCACAATTGTAAATCACGTTTGGTAAATTTTTCACGGGTGTTGAAAATTGTACTAGCTATTATTGTAATCCCGAATTTCGAAAGTTTCGGGTTGGTACATTTCCTTGGTATATGAGCTACTTCTACAAAAAAAATGAGATGGGTTTTTGTTTAAAATGGTAAATAACCCATTTTATATTCAAGTTCCAGTTCGTCTGCTTCTTTTGCAGGGGTTGTGGTGACGTCAGAACAACGCCGAGCTCTGATTGGCTCTGACTGAAGGATAGTGGGTAGACTTCAAAGCAAGATGTTTTTAGGTCTATCCACTATCCCTCCATTAGAGCCAGTCAGAGCATGGCGTCATTCTTCATGACGTCAAAAGAAGCAGACGAACTTGCGCTCCGCGTAAATCCGACCGCAGTTGGCACTACCGCCCAATGCAACCGATCAAGCAGTGCCAAAAGTGTAGCAGTCACGCCGCTCGTCGACTTCGTGCGTTTTCTATCAGCTGCTAAACCAATCTGGCACACTGAATGGGCCGTGATCTTACACCGATGAATGAATGGATGCTACCGGCTGTATCCTTTATAACGGGTGGTAGCTTGCGCCACCTAGCCTTTTTGTTTTCTGTCTGCGTGATTGGCTCAGTAGGGGTCAGCAAAGGCGCAAATATGGTAAGCGCCGTGACGTTGCACTTTTGACTCTGCTACCATCCATTGGACGGCAGCGTCGGCTGCGGTATAGGGGTAACAGGTCTGCAGCCTGTTTAATCCTAAGATATGCAGTAGAGAAGTTCAACCTCCAGTTTTAGCTTGGTACATACGATAACACTTCGGATCACGCGTACCCGAATGCGACGGAAGGAAACATGCGCGTGCTAGAAACGGAGGTGCTTCTGCATACCTTATGTTGCAACAAGCTATAGACGTTTGCAACTACGGCCCTTGGGCGCAGCCATCTTGCTGCTGCTGTGGGCAGATCGCCTGATAGTCAAGCGTTGCTGAGTCCGTGTACTCCTCAGCAGTCCTTGACTATCAGACCATCTACCCACACCAGCAGGAAGATGGCGGAGCCCAGGGGCCGTACTTGGAAACGTCTATGGACGACTGCAAGTTCGTCTGCTCTTGGCACACCTGGCGGGTTTCTTTACCTTCTATAATTTGCCACGAGTTTTTCCCCTGACCTCAACCAATGACGGCGTGGGCTTGGCCTGCCTCGTCATCGCGTTCTCTGTGTTGCCTTTTGATTGGCGCGCTACGGTTTGCTTTACAATGCTCCAAAGACGCTTTTTGGAACACCTGCTATACGTACACATGGCTCGCATCTGACGTCGTTTGGTGCGAAATATACTTCGTGGTAGGCGTGCACGCAGCAGCAAGATCCTTCATCATAACCGCTTATGTGACGTCAAAGCGAGCCGCGTATAAAGACTCGCGTTCAGTACTGGTTTCTCTTCCTGCGAAGGCATGTTGCGGCCGACTTCTGGCACCGCCATCATCGAGGGCTTCGACCTGACGAAGGACCTCGAAGACGCTCTAGTGAACGTGAGGCTCTGCCCCCAGAAGAACCAGTTGTACGAACAGATGACCGTCTATGAACACCTCTTCTTTTTCGCGGCGGTACGTTGCCTTGGAACTGGACCCCGATCAAACAACCCCATAACCTTACTGCCAGAGCGTGAAAGAAACCACATCCCAATCGAGGAAATCGAAACTTCAGAGACATTCTAATTCGGTCGTTTGAAGCTTACGGAAAGAGGTATATGTGCGGAAAATAGCAGGTTGCGGCTGAGGTGACACTGAAGCTCGCTGTAAAGAATAGCCACGCAGGTTCCCCTTTGGGAAACGGTAACATGTACCTCGTAACGAGGCCGAAAAGAGGCAGTGAAAAATAGAGGAAGCAAAAGAGAAAGTCAAAAGAAAAAAGTGAAGGGGTCAGCATAATGTTTCCAAAGCGGGACGCGTATGGCGTTTATAAGGTTCACGCTAACGCAATCCTGAAGAATCCACCGATATATTTTCCTGTAATTTTCATTTCTTTACCTCTGCAATCTTTTTTGTATTTAGGAGGCAGTTAGGTTTATTTATTATCCACTCTTTCGACCTCAGACTTCCAGAGATGGGGAAGTGTCCGAGAGATAGTCGGGAACACTGATCTCTATGACAATTTGCTGGATCGCGTTTGCCCGCTCCGCGAATGCGGCACTGGCGGCCATATTTTTGGTAGAGTTATATTACCTCTAGCCAAGGTACAGCTCCTGCAGCCACTATCATCCACCCATGGCAGACAGCGTTTTGGCAGGTGTGGTGGCAGGCCGCCGACAAAATAGAGTAGGTGATATTTCGTGCTTGATTGAAATTGTTTGACGAAACATGTTTTTGAAACCCGGCGTGAACGGTAGCCCGATCTTTGAGGGCTCGGTGAAAGTTTCACGAAATCGCAGCACTGGGGAAAAGCAGCACAGCACGCACCAAAAGTCGCATCGAAAGCAGACGCCGGTACGGAGTCTGCTTTCGATGCGAGCTGCGCTGCTTTCCCCCCGGTGCTGCGCTTTCGTAGAACTTTCGCCGGGTCCTCAAAGATGAGGTTACCGTTTACGCCGGGTTTCAAGGATCTGTTTCGTCGAACAACTTCAATCAAGCACGAAATATCACCCATGGTACAGTGTACTAGATCCACGGCTATTTTATGGCAGCCTGCCGCCATTGCGCTGTCCGCCATAATACTATGATGGTTAGAGGCAATATAACTCTGCCGAAAAGATGGCCGACCGTGGCCGCATTACCGTCCATAGGCGGAGCTGGTCACACGCGATCCAGGAAATAGACTTAGAGATCGGTGTTCGGGAACAAAGAACTGAAAGAAACGTGTTCGATTTGGATATTTTTACCTGCTTGCTTTATTTTATTTCCGGATTATCCAGCACAATAGTTAATTGAAATACGCAATGTAGCGTAAAAGTAACGAAATGTTACATTCTTAGAAAAGTGACGGGAGTGCGTGCGTTCATTTCGAACGCGTTCCGAAAAGTAAGAGGAACTCGTTCCAAGATTTAGAAAGAACGAGAAACGAGCTATGATTGCTGTTTTAGTGGAACTTTTACGAGACTGGTGAACGCTATAATGTATTAAAACCTCTTTGCGGTAGGTAATGTTGGTTAACGATCGATATCGGTCTTTCCTAACCTTGTTTCTAGATTCAAAAGGTTTCTCGGGACGTGATCGCGGACCAAATCGACGCTCTCGTTAATGTGCTGCGGCTTGGTTCGTTCCTGACCTCGTTTCCAAGGGCACTTCCCGCAGCCTTGAAGCGGAAACTGTGCATTGCCCTCGCCATCATTGCCGATCCCAAGGTAATTGCGGCATGTCCAGCGCGATATTACGGAGCATTCGGTAAACAGGAAAAATTCACGTCACGTGGCATCATATACACGTGACCATGTCTCACGTGACCTGACGTCGCGTAAAAACATAACGTAACAGTCACTGCGAGGACACCATGACGCCAAGTCGCGTGACCCGCCGAGGACACCTTGACGTATCATCACGTGCCCACATCGTGTAAGGTGACTTGACGTCACGGTCGGAAACCGTGCGTACGTGACGTCAATTTCTCTCTGCACCTTCGCGCCATCGGCGCGAAGGTGCAGTAGTGGCTTCTTCTTTGCGGAAGGCTTAGGGCAGGGGGAAACGCGGTCTACGAAAACACCCTACTCTGGTTCTCACTCACCAAAACGACTGCTTAGTGCACTTTAAACTAATTTAGACAATCCGTCGTAAAATGCTGCATTCGTTCCGTTATAGGACATTGGAGATAAAGGTCATTGGTAGTTTTACAAAATGACAAATAGTTATTTTATGCATATGCGAACAGCTTCCGAAGAAGACGATTACGGATATGAAGAACTGTGCTAAAGCAAAGGCAGCCGTTTCCTCCTGTTCCGCCCTATCTTGTTTCGTCTCTCCAAGCTCTAGCTTTGCTTCGCCTTGCTTTTTGCGAGCGTAGATCCTAGTTTTGGACGAGCCGACGGCTGGCCTGGATCCCCAGAGCCGACACGACGTCTGGGAACTGCTCCAGAAGGCCCGTCGTTCCTGCACCATTCTGCTCACGACACACAACATGGAAGAGGCCGACGTGTTGGGCGACCGGATCGCCATCATCGCAGAGGGCTCTATTCGCTGCTGTGGCTCGCCCACGTTTCTCAAGCGAAAGTTAGGTGGGTTCCAACTTATTCACAGAATTAGATGACTTTAGTAATCTCCTGGTGTCGATACTTGGCGAAACCTTTCAAACGTAATATCCTGCGAGGTTCCACGAACCATCCCGCTACATGTCGCTTCTTGGGCTATGGTCACTGGCAGGACGAGAACGACACGGAGGTCTTCCCGCCCTCGCCCGAGCTTCGTACCTTCGATAACGTTTTGGCGACTTGCGACATTTCAGCCTGTACGTGTTACCAAATCACGACGGAGGGCAAGGAGTGCGTGCTAGAGGACAGGTATCTGCAAGAGGCGCCCCGCGCTTGTCGTCTTCTCAGGGACTACGGTGCCTCACGGAAGATGACGTATGACTGGCGCGACATCACAGCACGGAATTCACGCAATGCTGTAACAAATCAGCCTTCACATGAAAGAACTTCACGTCGTGACGTCCGGTTAATTCCGATCCCGCGTTTAAGCGTATCTCATAACACCACGTCCTTCAGTGACCCTGCGTTCTAAGAGAACAACGAATGATACAGGGAAGCCTATAGATGGAGCATTCCAATAATGGCTTTCTTCCCGCCGACATCTTTGTTCAGTTGGGGAGGAAGGCGTTCTGCGAATGCTAATTATAGGTGTCTCCTGCGGATTGTCAGACGCCGCGCAAGTCTCCGCAGCCCAGTGACTTGGTTTTTGTTTGCCCGGGTGATGAGCTCTAGAGAGATGTAGAGGTGGTTTCGAGCATCACACTGTGCGTAGGTATTATTCACTGGCGGACATGGCAGTGTGCGCGACTGCCGAGCGCGTGCGGACGGCGAGCTTCCTCAGTTCTTTTGCAATGTGCATTCCATATATAACATAAAAATTGGCGGTCTTAGCAGAATATGAATGTGAATTCATTCTAAGCATGCGCTTTAAACAGCGCCCTCAAATTCGGCGTCCAAAGGAATACCCCCTAGAGTGGTTGATGTCTTATTAAAATAACGCTCTTTTGCTTCGCGATTTCTTCTGTGGCCTTGTTATACACTGATGCCATAACCTCGACGTCTGATGAGCGATAAAAACATGCTCGGGGCTCTCCACGTTATACGCTTCTGATGCTGTCGGCGCGCGTCTCCAGCTCGACGCTCGCCCTCCCGCGGCGGAAACGGGAAACGCTCTAGTGAGGGTCCCCCGATTCTCCTGCTCAGCTGGCACGGCGGAACCGCTCGCGTTCATGGCTCGCGAAATGTCATTTCCGAATGCAAACACCGCTCTTCACTGTCCCAACGTAGTGCTGCAGCCGGTTTGGGATTGTACCTTACCAAGGAGTTTTAGTATTGCGCATAGAAGCAAACGCAAGCGGTGTGCGTTTGCGCTAGAGTTGTAAGCCCCACGTTGTGCGTGCGCCTCATTGCCATGCGCCATCCAAGACCGCAAGTTTGGGCTCCGCGCACGCGCAGTGTGGAATACGCGAAGCTAACGCAAACACACAGCACTTGCATTCGCTCGTGTACGCAATACTAAAACTCAGTGCTGTTTCACCGGCTTCCAATGCCAACGAATGTGCTGCAGTGAGCAGACTTGCAAGCAAGTAGGCGTTCCTTCGAACTGGAAAGGCTGAGATTGGCAAAACGATGGAGCGTAAAATTGAAAGTAACTAAATGTTACAAAAAAATTAATAACAAAAAAAATTTTTTTTTTTTTTTTTTTTTTTAGTGTTTGGTTTGGAAGGATATTGGCGGCGACTTACGTTGTGCCGATTGTCAAAAGTCGCGACTTTGATAGAAAAATATACTTTAACCACAATTAATCTAACTTTACATGGATTTGTCACATTAGCTAAAATGTTTTCATTGACTTTGGACAATTTTTATTTTATTACTTGGTAATTAAAAATGCTGCTATTGGCACCAGTGACGATAATTAGCACGCTTTTGGTTGTCATATTTGTTCGCGCCTTTGAAATTAGATCATAACTAACGCTAGAAAAAATAACGTATTACAATATCTGAATTTCAATATTATTATTAATACCAATTGCGGCAATGTGTGCCCCCAATTAACGCCAAGATCACGAAAATACGGCATTTAACCATAATAGCCTTCCCAGAAAGGTATAATGTTGTTTCCTTTTTAACATATGAAAAACTCTGACATCGTTATCAAGATAGACAAACAGTCAAATACTGGATGTAATATAAAGTCCTACGCGTCACGCGTTTCTATAAAAAAACACGCACACACGCACACACACTCCAGCTGTCTGACTCGGATGCCGTCTTTGGGTTGTTGCAGTGAGAACAGCGTTTATTAATTTATTCAGTTTGTGGACATATTGTAAAAATTTGATTTATTCTCTTATTCTTGTGCTGGGAATAATATTAAAGCAATTAATCATCTAAATACTCAAAAACTCGATAAAAGGCCCGCAGTTCATTATTTCCCATGGCAATTATCTGAGCAAGAAAGGGTAGCGTGAACGCACAAATATCCGCAATGATTTTTTCAACAACTACAAACATCAGCCTGGATTGAAACACATATAGTATGTCACAAAATAAAATTTCGGCGAACAACTTCTTTAACTAAATATTTACAATGTGACAGACATATTGAGGTATGAAGGAATCCGAAATTAAGCCGAATACCGAGAAATTAAATACAAAATAGAGGTTAGTTTCGGTTTCGCTCCAGAATTAAAACACGCATCCTTGCGTAATTAATATGCTAAACACCGTTCTTGTTTCCTGGGTAAAGAGGTGACCCGTGCCCCTAACATCCTAGCTTCGTCGTATTACCGGAAATAATTTGTGTCGCTCAGTAAAGCCAGCACACTAGACAGGCTCAACAGCGGCACACATCCCCGACCCTCACTATAACCGCCATTTTGGAAAATGAGTGGCGCCACCTATAGTTAGTTGGAGTCGCGAATAAGCCCAGACGTGCGTTCACCCTGGACGCCATTCTGCAGACGTCGTGAGGATGTCAATGCGTTCCGTCGGTGACCTGTGAACGTTTGTAGGATATATCCGTGCCGCCCGGGATGTTCGCAGGAACGGGCTACCACTTGAAGATCAGGAAGCGACCGAAGCGCTGCGACGTGCCGGGCATCATCTCGGTGGTCCAGTCGTACGTGCCCACGGCGCATCTGGTCACGGACACGCCGAAGGATCTGCGGCTCGCCATGGGAGTCACCTCATCCGAGGGCTTCGTTGAAATGTTTAAGGTAACTATTAGTGCGAAAGCGGTCACTGTCCCATGGAGCGGAACGGCGTTATCAGCTTTAGAAGCCGCGCCAAATGGCACCTAATCTCCCCTGTCCCAATGGAGCGAACCCTGTCGTCTGTAGTAGCGATTTGATGGATAGGCGCCCATTGGCTGGCGCGTGTCCTAGTTTCAAGGAACGAGGCTCCCATTGGCTGCCGCGTGGCGTAGTTCCAAGGAACGCCACCCCCCAGAGAAGCCTTCTCCGTGGCGGCGCAACGGAACGGCCACCGGTAAGAGGGAGCGGCTGGCCGAAGAGCCAGCAGAGCTTGCCCGGGCAGATTTCGAAGAGGTTGCACGGCCGAGCTCAGCGCGGCGCGGCCCCTTCACGAAAACGCGCTCTCGGCCGTCCGCCGCAACCTCGGCAGTAGCGAAATGTGGCCGTCCACGCCAGTACGCGGAAGAAGAACATTCATGCTTTCGTATTCACAATTCATAAAAAAAAGTACTAAAATGTCTCCGGATTTTTTTTTCTTTAAACAGGAGCGCGTTAGAACCTGGTAAATTCGTGTTTTTAATTTCACCCGTGATAGTCTTACTAATTTTACCATTTTGTTACCACACCTGCCACCGGGTGGAGATAGGTGAAACAACCCGAGTAGAAGAAAGAAGGAAGGAACGACAGATGACAACGTCACAGAGAATTTATTTTGTGATACGTTGTCTTCTGGCGCTCTCTTCCTGTTCCTTCCACTTTGGTTGCTTCACCCATCAACATTCAGTGTCAAGTGTCTTAACAAATGGGGTATACGTACGCCATATGGTCTGTGCGCTCAGTGCATTAAGCTTACTCGATAATTTTAAAGCAATGAATGGTTTATAAAAGAAACCCCTTCTCTTTGAAATTTGTTCGTTCCTCCATTTGTGCGCGTTTATGCATATCCCATGGTATTGCATGTCAGCACAGCCAGTTTGGTTGTCGATGGATGTAAAGTTGTTGTGTAACGTGACGCCGTGGTAGTATGTGACATGAAGACACGTCAGGGTGACGTCATGTGGCGTTTCATGTCTTCTAAACAAAGTTAACCGATGGCCAATTAGATAATGCAGTCCATGCATCGTACGAGTATTGAAATAAACGTTGGTGACAATGTGTTAATCCCCAGGCACATAATACTGCTGATAACCGACTCCTACACGGGCTAAAGTGAATATTAATTGAGAGGCGCCAGTACAGGGGTGATCGGTTGAACCGTGCGTGAGAATCGACACTCGTTTTGTGCAATCCGATGGTGAAATATCCGGCCTCCAATGATTGTACCAAAATGATCTCAAGTCGGGTACGGCGAATCAGAAACAGCGCGACTGACAAAGACGAGAGCCCATTGCGTTCTTTATGTTTCGATAAGCTCGAACGGTTGGTGGTTCGACCCCCGTTGCTGATGAAATGCGCAATGTTTTGATAAACCTACTTCTTCGGTTGGACTTGGTCGGTTGTTGTTATGCAGCCTTTCGTGTTCTGCCTTCCCCCGAAGGTTCTCGAACGGCTCCGCTCCAAGATGGGGATCCTGAGCGTCTCCGTGTCGGTGACCACGATGGAAGACGTGTACTGGAGGTGAGGGTCGCGCGTCGCGCCCGGGTGGTTTCTGTCAAGTTTTAAACTACGAAGACTCCCGTGATTTTCTTTTTTTCTTTCTCCCGGAACGCCACAAGCGGAAACAACAACAAAATTAACGACACCATCAATCTGTATAGTTACTGACAACTTAAGAAATGAAGGACGTGGCCGAGTTCGTAGCATCTATACTCTTAAATATATGGGCTGTAGTACCCACACCCCTTGTCCCACATATAACAACACAAAAAACTGCAATTTGTCGTTCAGTCCAATGACGTTGAACCTACGATAACAAGTTTCACGAGCGGCTTCTTAGTCGAGTGATACAACAATAAAATAACTAATGTACACATTAAAGACTAAAGAAAAACACTCAAGGTTTTGCTGGTCCTACTGAAAAATTCTAGTGTTTTTTTCCCCCTTGGTACTCTGATACGTGCGTTGGCTATTAAGTAAGTTATATCACACAGCTATCAAGCCGGTCGTAAAAGTTTTGGGGTGTTACATATGAAACACGGGGTGTAAGTACGACACCCCCTGTTTCTGAGAGTGTATTACCGCTCCGCAGCTGGGGAGGCTGAGGCACTGACCAATAAGAACACCAAAGAATGAATCACGAATAAAATAAACTTGGACACAATAAGCCCTGCGTTTCTTTAGCAGTCAGTAACTGTAACAACATACCTAATATCACATATGCGATATTTTAGCGTGTACTTTGGGGTATTTGTTTATGCGGGACTTTATTTCGCAGTGAGGTTTTTACAAAGCTGTTGTTGCGAATAATAAAGCGTCCCATATTCGAATCAGTTTGCACCGAGATTATGGGGAGTCAATACTATTGGCTCCGAAGTTTACCGGAGATTTGGCTTGCATTAATAGTTTTACAGGCACATGCGAAGGTCAATGCGCGTAATAGCGTACTAAAGTGAGAAGTGTTGTGTGATTCATCTACGAAATATGAATATTCATAAAAAAAGTTCGGCTGCAATGTGACTTAACCCCAGTTACATCGCCAGGTTTCCCCGGGATCAGTTTTAGACATTCTTCGATAAATGGTGGTGGTAACAAATTCGTTACAACGCCGCCTTCTCCATACTGAGAGGCAAACTGAACTATCTCTAGTGTTGAACGACACCATATCCTTTCAACCACACATGACCGTTTCGAAATAAAAGCGCGGCTTCCCTATGTTCCGAGGTCCATATTGGCTATGTTCTGTCACCTGTGTTTTCAAACCTGCTTCCCTCAATTTCACTGATTCCTTCTTTAAACCTCTAGATGCAACGAATATCTGATCCGCTCAAGAAAGCTGGCGAACGAACCTACGGCGATAGCTTTGTGTTCCAGCCGCAAGGTTCCGCCGATTTTGCAAAGGTCGCTAATAACAAACGAAGTGTCTAGTGTTACGTCCGACGTAACCCAAGTTACGTCCAAATCTCCGCCTTTCCTAGGTTCACGGGGGAAAGAGAGGAGGGCGGGGGGAGGGTTAGGTATACGCGTTTCAGTGCTCCGGCCGTACGAAACGCTATAGTCACAGCGAATAACAAAACGCTATACGAACACATCTTTTTTTTTTTTTTAAATAAGCTGTTTGGCTTCTGCGTGTGTATGCAGGATCGCCAACGACCTTAAAAGCGAAGAGACGCAGCCTGCCGACGGCGAAAGTTACGGCAATGGCGCCGGCGCCGTGGACCTGGTGACGCTGCGAAGCCTGTGCAAGCGGCGCGTCAGCCACGTCTCGACGGCCAGTCGCACCAAGGCCCTGATGCGCAAGCGGTTGCAGTACACGCGCAAGCAGTGGAAAATCCTTTTGGTCGGGATCGTCGTGCCCGCGCTCATCATCTTCGTCCAAGGCGTCCGAGAGGCAACGTGCGTTCTAATCTTCTCTTGTTTCTGAGAAGCGCGGGCGCATAGGACACCCTTATTCGCAGCGAGACTCATGGACCGGAATGATAGCAGTTGGTATTGTGTTCCTTCCTGGCTATTAGAACGATGGATTAAGGGGCATCAGGCGTTAAAGACATCATAAATCAGACGTTTTGAGAATCAAGACTCGAATTTTAAGAAATAAAACACAACAAAATAGTCGACTGACAGCAAAAAAGAAAGAAAAGATTTTCGTGTAAGGCAAGTCAACATACTAGGCGGAAGAGAAAATAAACCACCTGCGTTAGGTCCTTACGTCGAACAGTTTTCGTTCGTGTTACGCTATTACAAAGCACGACAAAAGAGCCGAAGCACGCGCATAATATCGCCACCGCCGTTTCCTTCCATATGATGAAGTCCGTCTGCTATGGTCAGTCACCATGGCAAAGAAGCGTCTGCTGAATAGACACACATGCTAATGGGGGGCCTAAAAGTATACCAACAGCTGAATTCAAGGGCTGAACTACAGATGTTCCAGGAATTCAAACTAACGTATTAAAACCAGGAATCTTGTCCCAATTTGCTTTTATACTGTCAATACTTCAATACAATGTATGTTTATACTTCAATGTCGAGTGGACGATGATACGGGCTCCAACAGTGAGCCTTATGTAAAGAGTCGTACTCCGATTACTTTTGTATATGGTGCCCTCCTTCTAGTTTGATGCATGACTCGTGTCTCTAGACTTTCTCAGCCCTGTGCATCGCTTCTGCGTCCCACAGGATCGACATTGAGTTCAAAATGAAGCCTGTCTACAAGTACGACCTCAAGTCCATGTTCGGCGGCGGTACACTAACCGTCATGTCAGCCGACGAGAGCACCTTCTCGATGGCACACGATGTCTACCAGCCCTTGCTCCAGCACCACCTGAGCCAAGTGAGCGCGGTTCGTGACGTCACGGACCACGTGCTCGAACTGGGCAATTCGAACCTGAACGCGTACCTGCACTGCTTGACCGGGGCAAGCTTCCGCAAGGACACCCCAGGCCCCGCGGGGGACTCCAAGTTCGTCGTGACGGCATGGCACAATGGCGAGGCCTACCACACGGCAGCCATCGCTCTTAACTTGGTCCACACGGCGTTGCTCCGGTCGCTTTCGGACGATAAAACGGCGTCTATCACGCTTCGCGTTCGTCCCCAGCGGCGACTAGAGGAGTCTGCGCGGCAAGCCTTGACGGGCAGCTTCGCCTTGCGGGCAGTGGTGGAACGTACCATTGCCTTCTCGATGGCCATGGCTCTGATGATCTCGGCCTTCGGGCCGTTTCCCGTGGCGGACCGCGTGAGCAAGTCCAAACACCTGCAGCTGATGACGGGGCTCACGGGCAAGGTGTACTGGATGGCAAACTTCCTGTTCGACTACATCATCTACTCGCTGGCCGTCTTCTGCTTCGTCGTTGTAAATGTCTTCTTCTACAGCGAGTACACCGTCACGATGATCGGTGAGGCTTCTTGATGTCCCGTGTCAGTACCACCCAGAAGACAAAGCCTGGAAATAACGTCATAGTTAGTGAACCCCCGACCCGTCCCAAGTGGCAAACTCCGAAACTAGTCGCGGCGCTCCGTTTGATCCACTGGTGATGTCGTATGACGAGAAATGTACCGGCCTTGTATTCTATCGGTGGTGTTGCCCGGTACGCTTCCTGGAACCTTCAGTTCCGAACATCTTATTACCACTCTGGAGCCACTGCGTCTGTGGCATCAGTCGACAAGGACGCCACTGAATAGACCGCGAAGCAAGGAGCGTGAACATTATAAAGCACGCCCTGTATTTCGCAAGCTGCCAGTGACAGTGAACATAGACCCTGTCAGGAATTCAGCGCCATCTGGCGGCTCAAATGGCAGTTTAATCTTTACCGTACTAATAGCGGAAAGAAACCTCTAGTCTGGAGTATTTTTATTGGGCAATAAAGTATACTATACATCGAGGGGCTTTAAAGCCGATTGTGTGCTACTAAAAGATTTACCGGGCCCGAGTTCGAAATGAGCGCAGCTCATGCATCCAATTCCTGCTTCGCATCGCGCTAACGTCTCGAATGTATAGGATTCGAATCCTCTGTCTAGAAGCATCTTAGACTTCTTCCTTCATCGGTAAACAGAAGGCCGCCATTAGTATGGCACGTATATTCCATTTTCAGATGATGATGATGGTGACCAGAGTGGCCAGACTGAATTTCGGAAAGGGTCTATAGCGGCAGAAAAGTCTTGGAGTTTCGGAGAGGATTCGGGTCATTTCGGGATCCTTGCCTTGCTGGTGCTTTGCTCATTCCTGCGTATAGCATGACATCGTCAATGACAAAGATGCTGCCATGTCACTGAGTTAGTTACAGTACTGAAACATGGTGAATGGAAAAACTATAGAAAAACATACGAAAAAAAAAACCATGACAACAACAACAACAACAACAAAGAGTTAAGGTTTTACTTTTTTCTGTTTTATTATACAGGCGTCTTGAAGTGGTCTCGTGTACTCATAACTTCGTGGGGCACTTGAAGTATTAAAGCTAAGTTCTAGGCTAGCAGCCGAACTCAGCTTTCAGAATGTTTATGCGTTTCTTAAGGCATGAAATTTCAGGACTTTGTTAGACATATTTTTGCTTCATCTGATGTGTGGTCAATAATTCTAAAAAAAAAAAAAGAAATAATTAGCGCGGAGGTTTTGAAGTTTGAACACTTTTTGGTGCTGCGTGCTTGACTGGGTGCTGTCAGGACTGCTGACATGGCGAGTTGGTGGTTCATGTTATTTAATGTTAGAGCGCAACAAAAGAAAAAAAAAAAAACACTCAGGGACACAGGCACACTAAAGAATAACACAGTCGCTCAGCACTGACTCACAACTCTTGCTTTTTATTGCTTCTGTTCTTCTACTTACAATGAACGACTCTTCTTCTATGCACCAAGAACGAGATGCCGATCCAAAAATTGAAAAATTAATAAAAAAATTATAAAACTACCATACCCTTATAAATACAATTACTACAATTATCTTACAAATGCAAGTGAATATTCTTGGACCTTACACTAGGAGTATTAACAATGCGTTCTGGTCTTATGAGCCTACGGGGAAATAAAAACAAAACCGCTGTTTCCATTTCACTCAGCACACTCCAAACTTATAAAGAGGGGCGTTGTGTGGATCTGTCTAAAGAATTCAATCACAAAGTCAAACAAGCACACAATTCAAAAGAGCTTCAACGGGCAAGTCGCAAGGTTAAAGTGCGCAGAATACCATAATTTGTTATAGACGTCGGTGGTCGAAAGGCTCCTGAAAGGGATCGAGCAAGGTGGAGGCGTGAAACAAAACTTCAGGGACGAGACAAGAAGACCGGCGACAGTGCCATACGTGCACGAGTTCTCTCATAGCTTTAAGAGTGCAGCGAATAAAGTTAATGTAGATGCAGCCTTTTGAGCCCGAAAAAAGCTCAGTAGCCAGTGCAAAAAGGTAAATTCGTTTTCCCGTAATGCAGGGAGCTGCTCCAAAAAGCACAGAGCGAACTTTGATTCCCGTCTAGGATATGCCATTTATTCCTGCCCACTCTCCTCTGGGGAAAAGCGCATAGGACAGACTGGACGGCGTCTAAATGACCGCCTTCGAGAGCATGAGAACAACATCGCAAACGCCAATTCGCTAGATTTAGGAATACACTATAGGGACTGCGGGTGTTCGACGGTTTTAAACAAGTGTACTGTGCTAGCCAAGAGTCCCAACCAAGTCACCAGGGAAATTTAGAAGCAGCAAGCATTGGAAGACGGAATGACAGGTGTGTCAGCAGCCTCATCTATAACTCTTTTAAAAATTAAAGTTTAATATTGGGCCATAGGGTGGGTCTTTTAGGCAGCAACAGTGAGATTTCATTAGTACTTTTCATTTTTAAACTTTCATTTCTTAAATTTATTCTTAAAACAATTTTGGCATTTAAAAATTTTTTTTTAAAATTTATGGATTGGCCTCTCGTTCTTAGTGCATAAAATAAGAGTTAGTCATTGCGAGTAGAAGGAAAAGATGACCAATACAAACCCAAGAGGTGTGGGTCGAGGCGCCGAGTGACTGCGTTATTTTTTAGTGTGCCCGTGTCCGTGAGTGTTTTTCTTTTTGGTACAGTGTAACGTTAAATCAATTAACGGGTGCATGAATATAGCGTGCCCCAAAGCATATTGTGTTCGACCACCTCCAAGTAGACTGACACCACTGCATGAGCCGGTACACATTTTTTAAAGATGTCATCCCGGCTGGTGCAACTAGTGTATTAGAAGAACAGCACGCACGCGATCGTAATTTCGGCAATCTGGAAATCGTACGTTGTAGTGCCCCAGCCAACACCCCACTTTTGAAAATGGGAAGCTGATGACGAAACTCTTGGAGGCCGTTGTTAGGATCTCGTGCAACCGGAACAGTTTTCAGCAAATATTTTAACGCGTGGTTGAAGAAAAAACAAAAAGATTAAAGTTGTGTAGATAACGCCCGAAAAGACGGGCTTTGGGACGATGATAGGCAAGCCGACGATTAAATGCAGATACTGTTTTCACATATAATCTTGTGACACTCAATTTCCTGTCCGATGGAAGTCCACTAACTTTGCGTGGCGTGCTGCAGGCCCGATGGTGTTCATCTTGGCGGCGTACGGCCTGTGCATCATTCCCATGACGTACCTGCTGTCATTCGTCACCCACTCGCCCGCCAACTGCTTCTCCCTGGTGCTCATCGTCTGCTTCTTTGGAAGTGAGACTCACACTTTTACGAGTCCGGGACAAAGCTATTCAAACAAAGTGGAACCAAGCAGGAGTTAGCTTGAGCGGTGTGCCAGCCAAAACCATTAACTGGTCTTGCAGGCTTAGCACCTTTAGGTTTGAATGATCGAATGCTATCTAACGCGCCATAGATATATCCGTTGCACATCGCATCTATAAAATTGTTTATTTTTGAAGCGTCTATGCTTCAAAGCGTCTATTCTTCGTTTCTTTTTATGGTCGCGCATACAGCTCTGGAAAACCACGGATTAGTTTTGGTTCTATACTTTAAACCGTCTACGAGACGATTGGTATGCGATTTCACAAGAAAGCTTGTTAATTTTTCAGGTTCGACAAGGGAATCTAGACGAGACAGTGAGGGCGTGGCTAATAATTCTGCTACCAATAAAGCTCAGTATAGTTAAACGAAATCTTTTGGAGTCCTCATTTTGTTCATGACTTTACTATAATTATACTTACGCGCTATAATCTGTGATAATCTAAAAGTGGTGAAGCGTGCGTGTACATCGGAATTTGATCGGCGCTCAAGATGCATGAGTGCATGGGCGGTCAGCTTTCGTTGTATTTCTACAAAAAAAGTACTTGTCGGGTACAGTTCTTAAGTATTGGGATTCTTTTATATTGCACATCCGACACAGCCGCAAGCCTCGTTTTTTTACAGTGAAAAGATTCTCTGCCAGGTACGGAAAGATGCGGCACTTCTGAGTGTAATTAATACACCTCCCAGAGAATAAAAGCATAAAAAGACATGGCTTTCTCTAAAGCCCGATTTGCACGGTGTGATTTTACTTGCGACTTCGCCGCTGCGATCTTCAAGAACGCCTCAAAATCCGCCAATCGTTCTTTTTTTAGTACGAGCGACGTTTGCAACTGCGAAATCGCACGTAGCAACACCGCACTATGTGAACCATGCTTAAAGGCCGACGACCAGACTCGAGATTCTGCAAGGCAGAAGATCCTCCTCATCATGCGGTAGGAGGAAACAGGCGACGGTGGACAGGGTGAAAGGGGGAGAGGAGGAAGCGAGGGAAAGGTGGAAAGCGCGAACTGGTCGTCGGTCTTTAAGATTAGCGATACTCGCGAGTGCCGGAACCCTCTGGAGCCCCGACGGCGTCCCCGCAGGCATCGCAGCCGTGGCTTTCATCGCCCTTCCGCCCACCGACCTGTCGCCCGACGCCAGCGGCTGGAGCTATGTCCCCTCCCTACGGCCCTTGTTGACGGTGCACCCGTCCTTCAGCCTCGTCCTGGCCTTCATCAGGACCATGGAAGCCGGCCGACAGTCCCGCATCTGCAGCAGGAGTGAGTCGCTTGACCGCTGGACTCCGAAGTCGGTGTACAGAAATGGCCACCACTTGGCAGCTATCGGGCAAAATATGCAAGCATAATTTATTTCAAAGAGCGCTTCACCTTAATCGAACAATATACCGAAATGTGCTAACATGAGGCTGCCGATTTTTGTGATGCCATGGTTAGTTCTTTTTCTTAAACGTGATTACTTTTTCTGTATAGAAACTTTGCATGTTAGTACTTTGCACGTCACTTTCTTGTATTGTATTTATTGATATATGCCTCGAATATGTATATCGATGTGTTTTATTTTTGGTTTCAAAAGTGCTTATTTGAAGTTTACTTGTTGTTCTTTTCACTCCTGCTTGGGCCAGTCTTTGGCCTGCAGTATGTTCTAAAAAAAAAAAAAAAACCTTTCCTCCGACCTTCCTTTATATCTACAAGATGAGGGCTACAATATGCGACATGTTGTTGTGTTCACACCGTTTCTTAGATGTTCCTTATTCTACTGTGTATGTGTTGCTATTATCACCTCAAAGTACAAAGACACAAGAATAGGTTGAGTTGTTTACCAATTCTTGCGTGAAAATGTACGTCTTCCTGGTATGTACTCATCCTCCAAAGAAATAAGGCCAAGTTTAAGCAGAAACTCGCCCAAAGTCCTGGATTTGAATCCTTCCCTTCGGCCTCTAAATTAACACCAAATAATATTATAACAGTCTAATATATTATAGTGTTTATATAATAATCCACATAATAAGAGCCGCGATGAAACACTGAACTGAGTGTCTCACACCGGGGAGGCTAAGGCCCAGTACGTAATAGAATTATAGATGCAGGAGACTACAAACGACGAACTGCTTCAGCCAATACTTCAATTGCGGTCTGGTGGTTTTCAGATCACGGATAACGACGCTATAATAAATAAAAAGCCAAAAGTCTAATAAAATCAATTGGGAATAAAACGAGTTATTTTAGAAAGCTTTACCTTCGTGCAGGGCACACCAAAGTTATACGGAACACGCGAAGTGTCTGTTTTCTCATGGAGGTGCTAGGAATAAAAGAGTTATGAAAACTTTGTGATGGTGATCAATGCGTGCTGAAACAAATAGAGGTGCTATTAGTATCCTTTCTTTCAGAATCCGGTTGTTATGATGAATTCTATCAAACTGACATCGACGAAACGATTTTCTACGCTGCGAAAGGAGAGGTAATGATAAGCATGATTTCATTGCAGTCACACTAGATGTACGATGGTAGCTGGAAAGCAAAAAACGAGGTGCCCGGTTTTGAACTGATTCTAATTCTGAAATAAAAGATTCCTTACCTGGATCCCAAACTGAAGCTGCATATTCCAATTTACTGCGAACTAATGTTTTATAAACTATAGTAATTTTAATGAAGTAGGCGTAAGATAAATGTTTCTCTGGAGATAGCCTAGCATGCGATTCGCGTTATTTACAACATGGTCGAAGTAAAGTTTCCAGGACAGATTAGAAGACACATGCACGCCCAGATATTTATACGATGATACGGCCTCAAGAGAGTGAGTATTTAGATGATAAGATGGACATTCTGTATCACAACGAGAAACACCCATATATTTGAACTTGTTAGTATTAAGTTTCATGTTCCACAAATGACACCACTCAGAGACGCGGTTAATATCAAACTAGAGAAGATTGACGTCAGAATCACTGTTAATTTCACAATAAATCATACAGTCATCGGCCAAAGGACTCACAGATGAACATGTATTAGTTGGCAGGTCAGTAATATAAATAAGAAATAGGTGGGGTCCCAGGACGGAACCTTGGGGTGCACCTCAGCCAACTGGAGTAGGATTATAACTAGCATTATTAGCTATTACAAACTGAGACCGGCCATTGGTTAAGCTGAACAATGGCTCCTTGACCGCAACAGATAGTTCGTTAACCGCTATACTCCGTTGTATCTTACGCTGGACCGCAGCGGATGCTACGAGTTATCCCATCCAATCCAGCATTGTGAAAGTATAATCTATGAGCCCCTCCTGAAGGTCACATGACACACACACGACAGTCGATTCACTCCGATGGCACGTAGCGTCCGCTGCGGTTCATTGGAAGATGAAACAGACTATTGTTTCATAGATGGAAAAGAATCGACCAACTTAAGACTAAAAATGAAGGTTAAATAGGCAAACTTCTTCAAGAAACAAAAGAAAGAACGAGCGTCGAGATAGCAGCACCGAGCGTCGCCGTGTCGGCGTGACAGCTGGGTACGTCGATTGCTCGGGGTAAGAGTAAACGCAAATTTTCTAGAAGTACGGAGAAGGTTTCTGGCCATGGCACGCGGCACTAGCTACGTCATGAAACCTTTGCTCGGCTGACGCCAAAGTAGCGCTCGCACGAGGAAAGACAATTTCGCGTGTTCCGTTTACGTTGGGTAAGCATAGTACGTAGCGGCATCGTAGCCCTAACTTCGTGAGTCACAGCACTGACATTGAAAATCTATCATTGCTAACGAAGACTGGAGCAGTACCTATCGAACATTTCGAGAGACTTCTCAATTCTGGAAACAGTAAAAATTCTGTCGATCCAGCAACAAAATTTGACGAGAGAAAGAGAAAAAAAAGAGGGAGGGGCGTATGTACGGCGCTCTTAAGTAACTCTTTATATTTACGGATCCTAGCTGTGGCTCGATCAAAGAGTCGGCGGTATTAATCCAACCGCGACCTTCGTTATGGGTCCGCAGTGACGCTGGAACATTACCACCAGCTGTGCGGCACGAAAAGCGACCATCGCCAGCAGGGGGGGACCAGCGCCCAGCAGGATCCCGCGGATGAGTTCACGGAGACCTGCTGCGCCGCTTTCCTGCGGTCTGACAAGACTGCCATCCCCAAAGTGCGGCTCCCTTACACGGCGCTCATCGAGGCATTCGTGATGATCGGCGAGGCGCTGCTGTTCGTTGTGCTTCTCATGTACCGGGACTCCGGAAGCTACGGGCGCTTCCGCACCTTCCTCAGGGCCAAGGTGCACCGGCGTCGGATCTGGCCTCAGCCGCAGCAAGACGAAGACCTGGTGCGCGAGGAGACGCACGTGCGGAGCCTAATCGCCAGCCACGAGCTGCGAGACGAGGTGCTCGCAGTCTTGGAGCTGTCCAAGGTACAGGGGCATGCCGAGTGGCACAGCCCTAATGCGCGATAACCGGTTGAATGGTTGGATGGATTCGGCTGAACCAGAGCCGTGTATAGAGAGAGTTTGGTCAATGGGAGGCGCGGGTAGAGCCAGGGCGTGCACCAGACGCAAAAAGCGGGTTTGTTATGCTCTCTTGGCCAACTAGAAGCCGAAAAGAATCCCCTAGCGTTGATAGCAAGAAACAGTTTTGGTCGTTTTAATAAGCGCGTAAGAGTTAAAGTAACCCTTTAAGGTTGAAAGTAGAGTGCACGTGATGTTTCGATCATGATCATGCAGAAAGATGTAAGAAACGAATGCGCCGCTCAACTTTGTTTTGCTAGCACAGAGTGTGACCGCTCGGACGGCAGATTCCCGGCCCTCGGCGCTTGGCGTACGGTTTATGTCGATCGTTTTGCTGGTCGCACTCTACTGCCATGATTTTGGATGACCGTGCTTGAAGCATCACCTGCACCATATTTTCAGTCACAGAGAGTTACTCCGATGCACTTATCAGGTCTGTTTCTCGCGACTACCGCCAGGGTACTATTTCTGGCTTCTGGGTGGCCACATTCGAATTTCTGAAGACACTCTGGAACACGCCCAGCCCGCTTTGGGCCAATGGCGCCCCCTCATCTGTATCCTATACTTCCCAACGAATGGCCAAACTCTCTACATATACGGCTCTAGGATGAACCCGCTGAATAGGACAGCGGTTTATGCCACCAATTTTATAAATCTTCTATCAATATTGCCCCTTTTCTAGACCGCTTCTACGAGGCTCTAAAGTCGCGAAGGGGCGATAAATCGGCGTGCTTCTCAACCTTCAGCACGCCGGGAACATGATGAGGCTGCCAGAGACGTTTGCAAGTACGGCCTCTGGGTGCAGCCGTCCTTCTGCTGGCGTGTGCAGATCGCCTGGTAGTCAAGCCTGGCTATGGTGGGCCCACTGTTTCCAGTCTGGAACCCATAGAAAGCATTTGATATCCACAGTGGACAGACTAGCTTTTGAGGCGTACCTGCTTGTAAACGCCTATAAGCGCTTTTATGGACACGTTCGCTCGCATTGTTGGCTGAATATTTACCTGACGGCGGTTTTCAATATGTCCTGGGACGATTAGGCTAAACTTATGATCTACGTCACGCATTTTTGTTTTGGAATATCACAAAATACAAATAATTATAAACCGGGCTAACAGTGGAAAAGTCGATTACCGGTCTTTGCTTTTGGGAAGTCGTCGATTTCAGAAATTCCTGTGCAACGGAAGCACCAGTCAAAGCTACCCGCTCGCACTTGCATCCTTTGTGGAAGTCGACGTGAAAGTAAAATGCTATTATATACTTAAATGTAGTGTAGCTCCTAATAAGTGCCCTATTGCCATTTTTTATTGCTTTACAGTTTAATATGGGAAACCTTAGACATCTTAAAAACCCGAGGCCGAGGTCTCTGGTTTTCGAGGTGTCAAAAGTTCACAAACGCGCCTACATGTTCTCTGGTATTTTTATTATTTTTATTTATACTTTGAGCAAAATTTATTACAACCTATGAGACTCTTATAAGATTACATTATTTTTATCCACTTTCGTGACCATTTAACCGCCGAAAACTTGGGTGCCCTTTCTATCATCCACTTGGGCACTCGGCTGTACCAAAATTCCAGAAATTCGACAAAATGGTTTAAAATCTGGCCATTCGTATTTGAATAATAAAGCGAGGAGTCTTCCGCCTTTTTTCTACGCTTCCCTGAGGTCCAGATGTGTTTTCCGTCCCTTGTCTTGTTTATTTCCCGTGTCTCGAGCATCTCTCTAAAACAGCAACTGGCTGCGCGCCGTCTGACTGCAGTTCCGGAAAGGCTTGGCGGTGAACGCGGCCACGTTCTGCGTGCGTCAGGGCGAGATCTTTGGCATCTTGGGCGTGAACGGCGCCGGCAAGACGACCCTGTTTCGCATGCTCACCGGCGACCTGACCACGGACAGGGGCCGGGCCCTGCTCAAGACCTCGCACGGCCTCTCCTCCATCCGCGCCGACATCAAGCAGTGGCAGTCCAGCGCCGGCTACTGTCCACAGCACGACGGCTTCCTGGAGCAGCTCAGCGGCTGGGACATGCTGGCGCTGTTTGCCAGGCTGCGCGGGGTGCCAGAGCGCATCGTGCCAGAGGTCGTCCGCAAGTTCTCTCATCTGGTGGACCTCGAGTCGATTGTGAACGACCCAATCGACACGTACAGCAGCGGATGTCGCCGCAAGCTGTCCATCGGCCTGGCCATCATCGGGATGCCCCCGGTCGTGTTCTTGGACGAACCGACCACGGGGGTGGACGTGGTGTCTCGCAAGAAGCTGTGGAGCTCGCTCAAGAGTCTACAGGCCACGGCCAGCATGGCTATCGTCATGTCATCTCATAGGTATGCAGATTGGCCTAGGGACAAGTTAAAATTCCCAGTAAATGGTACCTTAGCCTTTTATATACTGACAAAGCCTGGCAGCTTGCCACGAAAATCGGTCGCCGAAATGGGAAAAAGAAAAATAGAGCGGATGACAACGGATGAGAGGAGAGCCACGTGACTAGCGCCTCGCTGCGGCGAGACGCCGAAACACACTTCTCCCGAGTGAACAAGCGTGTTTCGGGTACTCGCCGTTGCAAAAGCTGTGCGCTGACGTCTCGGTTCCCCGAGAAATGGCTCTTTGATGCTTTATGCTACCAGATCCTCGCGCTCCAAATCTGCGACCGGGCACTCTACGGCTCTGTCGTTGAACATCCAGGCTTTGTGAGCACAGAGGAGGCTATGATGGTACAATTTCAGCGCGAGCTTTCTGCCTTTGATAACACTTGGTCCCGCACGGAGCCAAAGGCCGGCGAGAGTCAACGATAGCGTATTGGAGGCGGAGCTACTTCCGAGTTCTTGACCGAGTTATTTTGCTCCTCGCCTGGATCTTGTCTTTGTAATGCTTTGAAGGCGCTGAAACTGCGATTTCAAAGATTCACGTTCACTTTACAGTGATTGCTCATTGAAGAGAATATTCTTGAAGGAGATAGATGATGGACTGTTACATGATGTCTCCAAATAATTAAAATGTTTCCCGAGGCACTTGACTCGTTATCATGCTGTTAGGGACATATCACCCAAAACGCAAAACAACGAAAGTGGCTCTTGAGAAAGAGTATAGGCACGCAGTGATTTGCGTACGTACTGATTTGCCCTGTTGATTTTGTTTGCATAAACCTAACTTAAAGATACCAGGCGCTCGAAGAAGTGAAATCACATAATACTTTGACGAATGCAGACAGCCGTGTAAACTCCTCAAGATAGGGACGTACGCCACTGTAACTTTTGAGTTATGCCTGTCCGTTTCTATCTTGTTGTAATAACTGTAAAAAAAATGTTGTTTGGGGACGCACATGAAATGTAAAAGAGGAACCAGAAACAAAAGACACGGAATATGCAGACGTAAGGTCCAAAAACCTCCTGCATGAGGTCTTGCTATAGACGATTAGTCGGCTTCTGCACGCCGCCATTGTTTAGTCGACTGTGAACGCGTTCTGAGCATGCGAAGTTGATCTCATTTCAAAAATATCAGGCACCGCGCATGCGCTTACAGACCAGTGACTGGACGGTGTGATAAGCCCTGGAAAGGTGTACACGAAGTCTTTAAAAATTTTCAGGTTTTCTTTTTTTTTTTTTACCGCAAAAATAAACTACGCATCGCCAAATGCTCATACTCCGCACAAATGGAGCTGCAGTGGTTCGAAGCAGATGCGAAAGTTTAAGAACTAACCGTTATCGTATTAAAATATCGTAACTGGTGTTTTCAAATTTTTAACGTTCTGAAATTTTAACGTACTGCTGTGAATGGTTATTTTAGCTACTGGATCCCACCAAAATAATGATAGAATACCATGATTTGGGGCACCTAAGTTATTGTTTTCTTTTAGTCCTAGATGTTGTAATCAAAAACTGTAGTGTATAATTCATATAAAAAACAAAGCAATGATCATTTGATTATGAACATCAATTAAATTTCGCGTGTAGAACGTCGAAACAAAAAAGCGGGCATGCGAACGATCAGTGTGCCTTCTCAACAACAATCTCGTCGAACTCGTTAAGGTTTTTCCCTAGCCTTCGTCCACTGCTCCTGCAAATTTAGTTTTAATAAACGGCATCCATATAAAGGGGATAACTAAACAAAGGAGTTGGCATACCGAATTCAACCTGCAAAGGAACGCCTTTAAATATTCTTTCCATACCGAAGTATCCTCGCTAAATCTCGAATTGGAAAGAGGTACCGCAAGGATATCGCAGTCTATCATACAAGCCGAAGTTGTGTTCAGAAATTGTGTTGCAACTCGCTTTGGCGGGGCGCTTTCCTTTTAGCACGTGGGTGCGCTGTGGCCAAGGAAGACACGCAAAATCGCATTGCTGCATTGCGGTTGTTGCTTCTCTGCAGTACAGCAATTCGCGTGGAAAAGCGAAATCAACGAGACTAACCCTCTAGAACAGACCACGAACACGAGAATTATTTTGAGACTTCCCGGTACTGCCAATCTCTTATCGATGTGCAATCGAATAGTACGTTATTCGAGGGTATAATCAAAATTTCTGGACGGGGTAGCAAGGCTTGAGCTGTTATATTCTCAGTATTATTAGAGTGAAATTAGGTTTTGGAACCATGTTTGCGCAAACTCCTCACGTTTTGGTTAAAGGCAGCAGGATGCAGCAGGGTAAGCATTTTGGCGCAGTTTGGCGCAAATGGCGCAGCAATCACATCACTGGAATCTTTAGTATCTGGTTCAGATCCCTGGCTTTGTATTTGGACAGAGAAACAGCGTTCGGCGCAATGCGTCATTTATTTTTTAGGGGAAAAAATTGGAGGGATAATTGCTGAACAATTGTGTTCCATACGTAAAACATTCCAGGAGAACGTGACATCAGTTCACGTGATGTCAATTTTCCCGCTAAATTTAGCGGGGAAACTGAATGAGTGTGTAGGCCTAGGGACGTTGATTTTTCCCCTAAATTTAGCGGGGTAATTGACGTCCCGTGACTTGATTTCTCGTGTCCTATGCACCAATTCAACTTCCCCGCTAAATTTAGAGGAGAAACTGATTTGGTACGTTCGTCTGTGACGTCCTATAGTGCAACGCTGCGCGCGTTGTATTATGGGATGTCACACGCCTATACACCAACTCAACTTGTCCGCTAAATTTAGCGGAGAAACTGCATTACTGTGGTGGTCTGTAACATATCATAATGCAACACAGCTCGCCTTGCATTATGGGAGGTCAGAGGCCACGGCTTTACGAAAAACACGCTAAAGCACATTTCATGTTAAAAAATAAAATAATAATAAAACGTGCAGATGTTTTGGGGTGACATATTGTATATTGATCTAGTGCCTATTCGGCGTCTTGGATGTCTTAACGATGGCCTTGGTCTTTGACGTGTCAACGGAAGCCTGTACCTCTGGCCAGTGATGACCTTCCAACGTTGTCTGACATCCAGCATGGACGAAGTTGACTTCCTGTGCGACCGGGTGACCATCATGATCGACGGCGAGTTCCAGTGCCTGGGCACCATCGCGCACCTCAAGGCCAAGTACGCCCAGGGCTACACCATGTGCGTCAAGACGCACGTGGAGTACAAGGACGACCTGGACTACACCAACAAGCTGCTCAGGACCATCGTCAACACCTTTCCGGAGACCAAGCTCAGGGAGTCGTACGAGGTGGGCTATATACTCCTTTTTTGTTTAAAGGCATGCTGAACCGAAATCTGGATTCCCCAAAACATGCGGCAAAAGCGTGCAACGGTATGTTACAAACACCAAAACATCACTCCTACAGCGATATCTCGAACGGATGACCGTACGTCATGTTTCTCCGAGAAGGAGAGGGAACGGCTTCGCACCTTCTCCGTCTCGAGGCCTTGAGGGAGCGAAGCGAAGAGAGGAGGAAACTGGGTATCTTGACGTCACGCGCCTCGTTGGCCTGGTTCAATCTTGACTTCTTTTTCCAAAATACGGCCGTCCATTTGAGATATCGCCTTACTAGTACTGTTGTAGGGATTGTAACATCCCGCCTGCATCTCCTGCATTGTTTTTTCTGAAATCTAAATTTCGGTTCACTATAACTTTAACGCTGTCTGTATTACGTAACGACTAGAATACATGACATCGGGGTTATGGGTGTTTGATTTTGTCATGCAGTAGTCAAGCGTGTTGTCCGAAACACGCCGCTGTTTTTGGGTACGAGTGATGCGCCAGCTTTAAAGAAAACCTGTTAACGTGTTTAGGGAAAAAAAAAAAGGCACGAAAAATGGGAGGATTAGAGGAAGAAAAACACCACCACAACTTTTTGTACTTTTTACTTGCTGTTTCATGCAGGAGTAAACTTTCAGGTGCCACCAGCGCATTGTTTGTGTACTCCTCCTGCTAGACCTTTGTTTTCTTTCGCACTGTTTGTTCATTCAAGCTATGCAAGACCAACCTCCCTAACTCCACGCAATTCCGGCTTCGTTCGCAAGGAAAAAAAAAAAAAAAAGAAAGATCACTGCCTTTCCGCAGCAACCCAAACGAAGCCCATGCAGAGAATATTTTTTTTTTTCCACGAATTGAAGCTGTATTTTTAGACTGTAGCAGGTGGTTTTTGCAAAATTACTCATTTCCGAGTAGATGTAATAAGCACATAGTTCATAACCTTCGGAAACCGAAACCGACCATCACGTTACAGTAAGCAACCGCAGGGACTACTGGCTTAGACAAGCAAGTAAAATGGCGATCGAAAGCGTCGCCGTGGTCGGCCTTCCACGATTGGCCGAATGCTGACTATGACGTCAGCCAAGAATTTCTCATGGACGGAAATGAGAGGAATGGAAGAACTGCAACTCTGACGGCGTTGGCAGTGCTGCTTCCAGAGCGCAGTGATTTCAAGCTTCCACCATACTCATTACAAACACCATCGAACTTGTTCGTAAGCTAATGACGTTACGAGAGGGAGCGACGGGAGGGCGCGTGTGGCCGCTGCCATCTTGAATGTTCGTGCGTATGGCGCGTGCTTTGCTCGCTTTCCGAAGCGACAAACACGCACGTACAGGGCAAAATCACACAGGACTGCGATTTTGTAAACATTGGAAAGTTCTATAGTCACCGACACAGTAAAAGCAAAGTTTTTTTGTTTTTTTTTTCATGTGCGGCGTTTTTTGGTTGCGTTTGTTGCCTTCCGTTGTGCTCTGGCTGTGCGTCCACGCTTTAAGCCCCCGAGCGAGCGTACGAAGCTTTTGGTGGAGGCGGGACAACTGGAAGACCTCCCTGCTTGCCCCGCTGTCCTCGCACTGTTACAGACCATTGGCGACGTGCACGAACCAAAGCTTCGTTGTGGCCAACCTTCGAGGGCTGACCGAACGCTGACTTGAGTGTGACGAATTCTCCTTGTATTGATGGACATAAAAGGAACATCGAACTGTCAACTTTGGCGGTGTTGTTCGAGGGACGGGGTAACTCCCAGCTTCCAACGTGCTTTCTCGCACACACTGGCAAAGGATACTCCTGGTCGTCATATCACAGATAGAAACAAAGCCGCCAACAGCAAAGGAACGTGGATTGACTTTAATGCTCGGCAGTTCATCGATTATCCTACCGATGAATCGATAAATACTTCAACTGCGACAAATTTTTTTAACGGGGTTGTCGGTAAGATTTTGACGAGACAAAAGAAGAAAGTACGCTTTCACCGCTCAGACGTGGACACCTGTATGAAGGGTAAACTTTAGGGAATGAGGGAGAAAAATTAATCGATGAATTAATCGAGTAAAGAATGACGATTAATCATGCTAGAAGTTTAATCAACGTCGAGCCCTAATTGATCGCATACCGGATACTCGTTTTCAAGTATATATATATATATATATATATATATATATATATATATATATATATATGAATTTTCCTTTATTGGTCGCAATGCAAACTGACTCGTTATGGTGGCATGTCCAGGGCTCGCGTGTCTATGCTGCTTGCCGGAGTAGATACTTAAAAAGGTGGTTGTACCCGCTGCCTGCGTCCCACCCAGTGCTACCTGGAGTACCACATGGCGGACATCGGACTTCCCTGGAGCGAGCTGTTCGCCATGGCCGAGACGGTCAAGCAGAAGCTCAACTTGCTCGAGCTCCTGCTCAGCAACACCACCCTAGACCAGATCTACGTGGCGCTGGCCAAGAAGGAGGGCGCCCGGCGTCCGGCCGCCGACGAGATCGAAGAGGACGAGGGAGACGCCGACGCCGAGGAGTCCAGGCCCACGCGCCGTGGAACATCCCAGCTCTCCAAACATTAACGTGTTTCTCGCCCCGTGCCTATAGCGCGTATTCAATCGCGGGCATCGGATATTCTTGTTTGATTTATTTATTTTAAGGTATTTATTCATGTACGTACGTCTAAAGGCCCGAGTGAGATATTATACCTAAAGACGCTTTTGTAAAAAAATGTTTAAATAATGACGCAAAACCTCCCATTAAGGCAAGGAGGAAAGAAGCAAATATGGCTCCAAAGTATGGGTGTGCGAAGGGTAGTTAGAATATTAATTTAATCTCACCCCATCCATCGAGCCCAATAACCTACCCTGCTTGGGGAGAGGACATCCATAAAGACTCCCGTGGGCCCTAATCGCCAATTGTTTCTTTAATAAATACATTTTTAACAACTACAAATCGGTTTGAATTGACAGGCGTTGTTGTTCGTAGCTTTTGCAGTGCAGTAGGAATGTCCGATATGCCGGCTTCGTGTACATTATGGAAGCTATGAATGACACTGTGGTATTCGATTCGAAGAACTGTTCGCACACCTCTGCTCTAAGGCGATTATCAAATGATAAATTCCCAATAAATAGTCGCATGCCCCGACTCACGTACACAAAAAAAAATGTACAAGCAAGAAAATTATGAGTGTTGCTGCCCAGCGTGAGAGAGATATGTTTACAAGCGGTGAGTCTTTTTGTCAGTCAGGCAGCAGTGATATGAAGCTATTGCGATTTCTGTTTAGAGGTACCCCACTTGCCAAATCATTTAAGCCAGTCGTAACCAGAAATATTCCAGTCAGTGATCCAACCTCATCATCCGCCATACCGTAGGTCTTCTATTGTAAGAATATTTGCGGTAGCCATTAGCGTTCGTGGTGACCAGAAAACCTCCTGACGCTTTCAAATAGTTACGAGCGTGACGTTGAAGACAGGTATGATTCACTTTTCCTCAACGGGTTGTACACCGTATTATGTCGCCTCACATGTTGCATTAAACTTCAGTTTCTTTGCACCGAATTCTGAGTGCCACATGTGCCTAGTTAGAATGACAAATGGGCGTTAGGATTGAAACTATAAGCATTGGGCATTACTTCAGCCGAGAAATTGAATACGACAGGTACGTTTTTTTTTCAACAAACGTGAATCTATGAGAGCTAGGCTTTGTTTGCAAGCAGGATCCAATGTACTTTTTAGAGCACTGCTCGCGTTTCAAGCACTACACTGCATAAGCAGTTTATTTAGGATAGTGATAGGTAGCATGGACGTTCTGTTCATGAATAAAATTTATGAAAAAAAAATCTGAAGGATCTCTTATTGACTTCCTGCATGACCGACAGGAAAGTCTATAGAGACGTCATGAGCCTAATAGACTTTTTCACAAATTCAGTGCCATATACTAGCTAAAATATCAGTCTACATTTTGTGTATGCTAATGGCGGTCAAAAATTGAGCACCCATTCGTCAACGGCAGACACACGAAAGTTACGGCTTTCTTCGCAGTACAGTAATTGATTTTTTTTTTAAAGGTGTGTATTACAGATTTCTACGAGGCGCTTAGTTGAGTAAAACTACCTATAAAATTCCTCACATTCTTTTGTCATGAGCTGTCTGGGGTGTGCCGGAGCCAAACATTCCAACGATTTAAATGACCCCCCCCCCCCCCCCCCCCCCCCCCCCAATGCGTAGCCCCTAGAAGCTTCTAAGTCTCGTCCCGGTGACATTGAACAACGCAGTGAACTTACGTCTGGAATGTTCAGGAACCACATCGATGCCTGTCTTCGAATTCTTTCTTCACCAGCCATTAAAAGGCCACCATCAGTATGTACAGAGGATACGCACTTTGACCTGAAGGGTTTATGGCGTAGTCAACACTTTACGACGGAGTTGGCAGGGTACCTGCGACAGCTACACTTGTAACATTTCTACTAGTAAAAGGAATACAACGAGCATAGCAGACGATGCACAGGTAATCAAAACGGCATTTATTTCAGCTTAATATCAACCGTACCTCCTACTCGATCGACGTGCGGGGGACTAGAGGAGGGCCCGTCACCAACGAAGCCACCACCGGCTAGCATCGAACACATTCCCCATACCACGGTCTACTACTCCGAAAATATTAGGAGGGAACAACGTGGGGATAAAACGGGCCCTCTATTCCGAAAACAAGGTCAGCTATTTATGCGGGAAGGGTAAATTTCGAAAAAAAAAGGTCGGGGGCATCCTCTTCTCAGTCAGCAAAGCGCACCGAGCTGGACTTTGCTTGTGGGAGAGGTTGAGGGAATCGCAGATCGGTTCTGCGGGTCCATGGCTCTATTTTTGCTACCTGAACTCGTGATGCGTGCGCACATCCTGAAGAAAAGCCTTCGGTGCAAATATAGCTAAATTTTTGGCTTGGATCGTGGATTAAACTGGATTTTCGACTGTAAAACAAAGTTGGAAAAGGCAAGTCTCGAAAGATCAGGCGTGATTGACGAGAAATCGCACCCATTCCGCGGCCGAAATCGCTGCCGCAAGCGGCCCGGCACAAGTGCCGGCCGTGCACAGAGGCTACAAGAGCGAGCTCCGAGCCTTCAGAAACACTGCCAAGCACTCGCGCACGTGCAGTGCGTGCATCGTTCAACGGAACATGACTTTGCATGTAGCACGGCCACTCGATTAGGACTCGATCGAGTGGCCGTGCATGTAGCCTCGCCTTTGCTGTCACGTGTAGTGAAACATACGCAGGGGTTGCGGTGCTGTCAGAACGACGCCCAGTTCTGATTGGCTTTGATTGGAAGGATATTAGATACCCACTATTTGTTTTTAATCAGCCAATAAGAACTCGCCGTTCTGGCATTATCGCCACCCCTGCGCAAGAAGCAGAAGACTTGCTTTCCGCGTAGAAATAATAAAGCTGAAATATACGTATATGTTGGAACAGATACTGAGGCCGCGACCATCAAGAACCTTTCTTTATTTCGATTTTGATTTTTTAGACGCTTTGTTATCGCGAACAATCAGAAACTAACAGTCGCTTGTATTCGAGCGTGGCTCGTGCATAATCGGTCGTTACAACGGCGCCTCTTTTATGAGCATATCGCGTGGATGGTGCAGCAAGTTTCACTATATGGTTGCGTCTTGCGTAAAGCCCCTTCATGTTGTAAAAGTAGCGCAAGGTGTGTCAGTGCAAGAGGCACGTGCAACGTGCAGCCCTTGGGAGGATCATTTCGGCAGAGAGCAGCACTGAGCTAGATTTCAGGCGCAATGTTCTTCCCAGAAGCGGCGCGCGGCACGTGTCTCGAGCATGTCCAGAACAATGAATGGCGCCACTTTTCCCTGGATAGAGGGGCGGACGAAGTCTTGCGTAAAGCCCCTTTATCCTGGGAAAAGTGGCGCCATTCATTGTTGCAAAAATGTTCAAAGCACGTGCCTCGCGCCACTTTTGAGAAGAACATGGCGTCTAAAATCTACCTCGATGCTGCGCTCTGCCGCCATTATCTTCCCAGGGGCTGCACGTTGCACGTGCTTCGTGCATCGACGCACCTTGCGCTACTTTGGACCCGTTGCTCTCGGGCAGGGGGCGCGAGCGCGTCCACAAGACGCGACCATGTTATGCTGGCAGCACCATCCAGGCGGCGCTGTAACGTTCGATTTTTCACGTGCCACGTTCGAATGCAAGCATCTGTCAGCATCTGTATACGCGCAATAACAAAACGTCTAAAAAAAAAAAGAATGACACAGTTCGCGGCCTCCGCGTCTCATTAAACATTCCTTTCAGCTTTATTATTTTATTGCTCTCTTTCATACCTTCCGTGAGTCCGTACGTTTCACTTTACTTGATAGCGAAGCCGAAGCTATACTTGCTAAAGCATGTTCCCCTGAACGATGCTCGCACTGCACGAGCGCGCGTGCTTGGCAGGAACACTGAAAGCTCGGAGCTTGCTCTTGCAGCCTCTGCTACGCTGGCACTTCTGAAGGAACGGAGTATGAAAGACTGTAGTGGGGAAGCGTATTGACGAATGTTCGAAACGCGAGCCAAATATTCTATTTTGCTCGCCTGGAGCGCTGCTCAAAACTTCAGAGCTACGGGCCGATACCCATGCCACACGGGCAACTCGAATGCCATTTACAACGATTGACATTTGAACGATCGCCCAATTAGCGCGCGACACTCCGAGCGTCCTCACTTATTTACGCGCCAAGCACCGTGCCGAGCAGCAAAGGCTCGAAGCCGAAGCTGAGGTCGCTCACTCTCGCGTTCGTGAAATCGAAGAGCAGCTGCTTTCGAACTCCGTGGCTCTGGCTGCTGCTTTCGCTGCGCACCGCCCAGTGCGCCGACCGCGGCTGCTTGCAGCGCTTGCGGATCCATCGGAAGAAATTTCGAAGTTCGAACAAAACGTAACAAAACCTAGAAGAAACGCGAAAAAGATGGCGACGCAGGCAAAATAACTGTGTCTACAGGGTTGAAGAGTAGCCGCTTGCAATTTTGTGACGAGCCGCGAAGAATGCATACCTAAAGGCAAACCCAAATAAACAACTTTTAGTTCGGGTATACTTGGATTAACGTAATCACATTGGTGTTTTTTTACTTGGGGTCAGGGTAGAGGCTACACATTTGGCACGTGACCGAATGCGAATGAGTTCCGCCGAACCCCTTCGGTGGCAAATGACATTTGCAGCGAATGCCATTCGGTCAGGCCGTGTACCAAGCGGCCCGCGCGAGGAAGCGTTCGCTTCGAAGCTTTCACTTCTTATGCACCAAGAAATGAAAAAGGGGAGGAGACTTTAGCTCGCGGGGACGGCAGAACACCGAGCTCTGGTTGAAATGTTTAGTGGGTAGACATAAAGCTAGCTGCCTTTGTGTCCACCCTCGCCGAATGCGTTAGAATGCCACACGCCGGCGTCCGACGTTTAGCCCTCATATTCGAACCCGTTCGATGAGTGCAGCAGAGACAAAGGCAGTTAGGTTTAGGTCTACTTGCTAATGATTCCAACCACAGCTCGGCGTTCTGCCGTCCCTTCGCTCTATCGTCTCATCCTCTCCCTTATTTCTCGGCGCACAGGGCCAACTAGCCCGCTTATTTTAGAGCTACGCGGCTGCGCCGCCATTTGCTTCCAGAGGCCTCACTATAGGCACGGGCCTTGTGCATTGGCGTATTGGATGCTATTTACAAGACAGGCACAATCATCGAGGGACTTTATTTAAAAATCGACGGCAGCGCCGCCAACGCTCGCTGCTTTGTCCGTAAGCGCGAGCTACGGATTGAAGCAGTCGCTACAATAAGGTTCGAAACGTTCCAAAGAGTGTATGCCTTGCTTAGCTTGCACGTGACCTCATCGCACCCTTTCCATTGTCATTCCTGCTTGTTGTTGCCGAAAAAAAGTGCGAATATTTAGACGTTTTGCACACGCATCAGATTATATAGCCGCCATTGCTGACCTTCTGTAGTCTTACCCGGGATACCAAGCCACTGAAGCGGGCTTTGACGAGCTTCCACGAAGGCCAATAGTGGGGAGAAGAACACAGTGGGATCTAAAATTGCCATAACCTGTCCTGCTGTGGTAGTGATGGAGCGAAGTGATCAAAGTGAGAGGAAACAAAGACTGAATACCGGTCATGGTAATGCTCATGCGCAGCTGCTGCAAGGCGTTCATGCTGCGGAAGGGACGCGCGCAGCAGCTAAGTCCTTCAGAATTGAAGCTAATATGATTCAGTGCAAACCACCAACACCCCTTGGTGTATTTGTAAAACGCCAAATGTGACTTTTATCAAAGGTCACCTTCACTGATGGTCACCTTTGCCCAAATTTCGTCGACTGTTTCGTTTGCAGCTAGCGCGTGGGAGGCAGTGGTAATTCTTGCCTTACTTAATATAAAAACAAAGAATTCACACTAAAGAGTATATTAGGTTGTGCATTCATTATTCTATATATAAAAATATCTAAGCTGCATAGTTTCTTTGTTATCTCTGCTTTTGGCGAGAGTTAATCACCCGTGGCTTCTGATCGATCTTAAGCACGTCAGGAGGAGCTGCAGTTTTCAGCACGAAGCCGATGGCCATCGGCACCGAACTCGACTGTTCCACGTCCGGAGATTGAGTTGAAGATCCCGGTACAACCTGGCCTGGCCCTCTTCTTTCCGCTGTTGATTGCATCGCTTTTGCACACCACGCAAGTAGACAAAAACTTAATTAACAAGAATTTATTGAACAGAAAGAAAGATTGAGTGACTAGGTCAAAGACTCACCCGATCTTGAAAATTTGCCCTCTCATGAATGGTTTATAGAAATTCAAGAATATGTGAAAGACGTGCGCACAAAAAAAAAAAAATAAATAAATAAATGCCATCCCATTTGCCAGAGTACACACTTTATGCCTGTTCCGTTTTACGGTGTTGGCCGCTCCGCCATTGTTTGCTATGTTGAAATATTCTGTCAAATTACACGGTACTTTTGAAAGATATAGCTTATGTTTTCTAGGTAGTCTTACACGTCGCTCATGAGCACCTTGCCTGAATGACTGCAAATGTAGTACCCTGTTCATAATGAGAAAAAAGTAAATGAAAACTAATCTAGCGATGAAATCGGTTCCTTTAAACATTGTCAATGTTCCCTTTCTGTTTTATTTATTTACCTTGAGAAGCCGTCCCCGACTATGACGCAAGGGAGAGTCTAAATATAATGTCAAATTTAGTCAAAACAACAGATACAGTAAGAACAAAGAAGGTACAGGCATACAATTGAGACTATAACGAAATTGCAGTTAATATTAAAATTTGAAGTCTAAATTACAATATTTAATAAAGACATTGAGCATTTCTCGTGGCTGAGAGGTAGTCGGGAAAGCTTACGTCGTAAGGAAAGTGTTTGAGCTTTGGAGACCTGCACGATTGCTAGGTGATGTGTGACGCTGGTACATAAAGCACTGTTTTAAAATACATGCATATACCTTAGTGTTCTATTTCAAATGCTCTCTACTGCGTTATGGAGATAATTTTGAAAGAGTGACGATATCGATTATGCATACTTGTGATCTTTCCTAGGTTGTGTACGCTAATTTGTGTATTTCTGGTGAAGCGAATTTGAGCTTACATCTTAAATACCGAAGTAAGCAATTAGTTTTCACAAACTTTTTTTCTTAGTGTGGCTGTTCTTTGTTTTACGTTGCTCGATTGGCGCCATTACCTCGTAGCGTCGGCTGCGTCTTGCCTTAAAGGCCGACGACCAGACTCGAGGTTATGCAAGGCAGAATCTACTTCTCATCCTTGGGGAAGGAGGAAACAGACAACGGAGGGCAGGGTAGAAGAGGGAGAGGAGGAAGTGAGGGAAAAGTGGAAAGTGCGAACTGGTCGTCGGTCTTAAACCTGAAACGAAGTATAAGTTTCTGTAAGCAATACTATGGTAGCATCTGGCGATTCAATGATTGAATAAAATCGCATTTGTTGGAAAGCACGCTTCGGATTTTGGTAAAAAGAACGGAGTGCGTTTTGTGAGTAAGCGACGGAACAGTTGAACAATTTAGATTGGGATCCAGACTGGTCTGGACATGAGCTTGACGCGCGCGAGGTGACTGGAAAGCAGAACTGCTGGTTCCCTATTTTTCAATTTCAGTGAGACGATCTGACTCCTCATAAAAGGCGCAGAACTTTAAATTTGTCTACGCGCGTTTTTTAACGGGTTTTTTGGGTTTTGGCGAATTCCAGTAGCCTCCGTCGGGCTAATTGTACAGGTCGAGGAAGATGCTCGCTAACCGCTAAACTATTGTCTTTAAGTTTACCACCCGTAGCTAATCTTTTGCTTTTTGTGCTTAAAAGGCAAAGTTTTGCTACGACTGGCCTGTTTTTACCTGCTTGAACAACACCAATGCGGTGTGCACTATCAATGTTTTTGGGGATCATCTGTATGTCTTGCTTAGTTGCACACGGATTGACCACGAGGACTCAGATTTCGCCGATGTCTCTTTCGCTTTGTGTTGGATCACAATGACTGCCAAGCTTGACCGGCGTGACCGGCTATCGCTGTCGATGCAGCGTGCTTTTAGAAACGCAAGTTCCGCTTGCCCATTTTTTTGCGTGTTGCACTGTTTTTGGTTTTATTCCGAGTAACCGTTTTCATTTAGTTATATAACATCTATTACAAAGTCTTAAGTATTTGTAATACTTAAGTATTACAACTTAACTTAGTAACTTACTAAGTATTTGTAATACTGTGTTTGAGACTTGTTGTTGTTTTGTCCGTTTTTTTATTTTTCCGTGTCTCCGGTTTACGATGGAAGTTCTTCACCAGCTCGCCTGTGCTTTTACCCTTTCTTTGTAATAGATGTTTTTCTTTTGGAGAGAAAGGCCGTTGTGTCAATGACACTGTCATGTCATTGCCGTCGCTGTTGCTACACCTGATGATGTTGCCGAGTCCCACGACGACGATGAGTTACAGCTACCACTGAGAGAGAGAGAAAAAAAAGAGGTAATAGATCTTTGTATCTTGAAAGAGAGGGCTGCCGTGTGAATGGCACTGTCATGTCATTAACGTAGCTGCCGCTGAAGCTGATGTTGATGATTGCTACGGCAACGACCATGATGGATGTAAAGAGGCCTGTCCATGGCAACGCAGGGCGGTGCTTGATGGAGGAAGCGTTGCACCAGGCGCATCCCGGCCGCCAGTGCAGGTCCGTGTCCTTTGACGACGGCAGTCGCCGGGTCATCGCCACGGACCTGGACCCGGAGGTGGACCCGCGCATGCTTAAGCCTACCACAGGCCGCGTGCCCACGCCACGCCCCTCCAAGACCGAGTGCAACGCCAGGGAGGCCGACGACTCGTGCGACTCGTCCCCGTCCAGGCCGGAGAGCTCCACCTCCCGGGGAAGCGTCTCGTCCGCCGCCTCAGAGTCGGCGCCAAAGGTAAAACTGAAATACTTTAGAGAGCTATAATATGGACAACGCTCAACATTCTTCGACCTATCAACTGACGAGCTCAACAGATGAACGCCAGTCCAGAACGGCGCTTTTCCGTTACCGGCACGCGAGCAGAACCAGGCGGTTAGCGTTCCCTGCACTAAAGCCACCAGTGGCACCGCCTCTATACGGGCAACGGAGAAGGATCTTTTCTGATGAAACTCCTTTTGCCTCACTTTTGTGCAAACCTTATGTTTGCCACAAAGAAACAAAATAGAATCACTTTTCATCGAGGGCAATGTGCGTCCAACATTCCACCGGTTACGCCGCATCTGTCGATAGGGCGGGGTAGTTCTGGGCTGATTGAATAGCGAGTACCACCCAGAGGACGCTCATTGAAAAGTCGCCAGGCGTTCTAGGAAGCTTACCAACTGGCTTTCATCGAACGTTGCCAATGCTTTGGTTATCCGATCAGCTTGGCATGTCGCAATGCGCAAACGCAAATTTCTTCCAAATACTCAGGGCGATGCCCCAAGGTGCTCGTGGTGCCCAAAGCGTTGGTGCCCCTATTCAGTGTTATACTGATCAGTACAGGATTTCTCATTCGTTCTCAATAAAACTCAATCATGGGAACAGAACAAATAAACCCGATGGTTCGGTTCGTAGAGTAATTTCAGCTACATGTAGTCTACTTTTGGAGCGACCGGGCGGCCGCTGAGCTGCCGTAAGCCTCGGGGGCGCTGACGCAGTCTGGCGGTTTTTGCGCAAGTCAGAGGGTGCGCGGTCAGCAGACGCCCGTCTGCTGACCGCGTATACCCTCTGACTTGCCTTAAGTAAAAAAGACAGTTATTGTTTCTATTTTCTACGTCTTTGCTTAGGTAAGTTTCTTCTTTACAAATTTGACGCAATGCTTCCATTACCTTCAGGCACCGCTGTAGTGAATCGTAGTGCTGTACATTACGACGTCGATTAACGGGGTCACTTTAAAGGCTTCACCTAGATTCGGGACCATGTTCTATTCTGGCTTTGTTGCCGGTTCTGGATGTTTTTCTTCAAGGATATTTTTAGACCTCTTATAGATAAGGAATGGATGTCGACAGCGCAATTTTGTTGGTGGCACAGGTCCAAAGCGCCGCTTGTATCAGATAAAGATAGAGGATTCAGATACGTACACAGGCGTCTTTTGGGTTTACCGATGTCTCGAGTTTCCAACGTGAAATCTCCAGGATCCTGGACAGCTGAATCCCGAATTGCTGATGATGCGGCTGACGCTGGGATGCGCTGCCGCGCTTGCTGCCGACCTCTCGGACAAAGAACCGGTTCTCCGTGAGCGCGGTGAGGGTGTCCAGCTTCCGGACAACCCTCGTCTCCCGGAGAAGCAGGAGCCGAAGGTCCTCGAGGAAAACGTGAGCAACGGAAACCTGGTGACCGACTAGCGACCACGGGCACCTGGGACCGCTCATTCGGACGGCACCCGCAGCATCGGCAACTCAGGGGTTCATGGCGTCCCTCGTGGACGGGTCTCGGTCGCTACTGAGATGTCCTGGGCGTCCCTCGTGAACAGGTTTCCGTCGCCGTCAAAGAAACGTTCACGGCGTCCCTCGTGGACAGATCGCGGCTGAGACGCTGGATCAGCTTCTTCCCTGACAACTATTAAATTGTTTTGATCGGCGCTCAATGTCCGGGTCATCGGTCTCGCTGTGGTCCCTGAAGACGATCATGGTGTCCACTGGGCTCGGTTTTGGTACCTTTCCAGGGCGCCGAGCTTTTCACGTGACCTTATGCGCGTCATGAGACCACACTTGTTATACTCCGCTTCTCTAAAGTTCGACTGCGGCCGACGTACACGATCGAATCAATCAGTGTCAAAAGTGCATCGTCACGGCACTCGTGTGCGTCTGCTGTCACCGGTCAAAGCAGGCAAAGAAAAGCGTAGGATCATGGGCAGTGCGTGATTGGTTTAGTCAAGGAGAAAAAACGTATCAAGTCGATTAGTGCCATGACGATGCTTTTTGGGGCTGCTTGATTGGCTCCATCGGTTTGTATAGACCTTTGCAGAGATAGCCAGAGCTCGGCGTCTTTCTGGCGTCACGCGACTCCTGCGCCAGAGGCAGACGACATGCTCACCGAATAGCGTGTGCTGCGGTCGGACTTAATACTGAACCGATATTCTGGAAGAAAATTGCCAGTCGTAATGGCGTTCATGGTACTCCACTTAGTTATAAGTTACATTGTCCCGAGCGAGACAGTGTTCAAAATGTATTAAATCGAAATATAAATATAATAGGCAACCAACCCCCCTGGTGCTCGTTTTTGGAAGCATGCTTCGCGACGTCACGTTACTTGCCCTGCCAGGCAGGCCAGCCTGGGCAGGCGCTTGCCCGGTCTAGGCTAGGTGACGTAAGGTGTCGCCCGTTACAGAAGGCATAGCCGCTAGTCACCCATCCGTTCGGTATTTGGTAGCCTCGGCCCGTTCCATGCTCGTCACGCCTGCTCGTGCCTCGAGCTCGGATCTCGGTTGTGCTATGGCGACGTGCGGCAACAGCAACAGCACCAGCGGCAGCAGCGGCAGCGAAGTACCGACTGATGAGGAGCGCGAGCAAGTGCCAAGGAAGAGGCCTAAAGTTCTGACATACAGTACCGACAGTACACCTGCGCCTGCGACCCGTCCTCGTCGTCGTCGTGGTCGGCGTCGTCGTCGCGGCGCAAGTCTTAACGATTCTCGAGGAGAACTTTTTTGGCATCTCAGAATAATCAAATACCGCGTGCACGCAGCTTTGATCACTGCTCAAGATCCGCGAGCACACGGGTAGCCATAGCTTTGGCTTTGCTACCTGCGAGAAATGCGCGCGGATGCACGTTCAATGTCCATCCCACACAATCAGAATCGTTGCTCCTGGAAGACGATTAAATGAGAGCTCGTTCTGAGCATGCGAATTAGCACCGGCAGTACACCTAAGTGACTTTCGTAGCGTGGTGTTGAGCTGAACTGACAGTGCTTAAAACCGATGGCAATCAGGTCATCGAACGACGTTTTATTGACATATTCTTTCATCGACGAGCGATGTTTCATCGACAAATCGTTTAATCGACAGCTAAAATTAGCTTTATTTTTTTTGTTGTTGTAATGAGCTACATCAGACTGTCGCCGCGAGGCGAAACGGCGCGGTATTCACCGGGAAGATGGAGTGGCGCCACCTGGCGGCTCTTTGTCATGACGCCGTACCTAGTGTCACGTGACCGCTTCTGCGCTTCGTTGGCAGCATTACCCCCCCATTCACACTGGAAGCGGATCCGCGTTCCCGAAGCGGTTGCGAAAGCGGTTGTATAAAGATCCAGTGCAATTGCACGCGCATTTGATGTCATCAAATGCGCGTGCAATTGTACTGAATCCTTATACAACCGCGTTCGCAACCGCTTTGCGAACGCGGATCCGCTTCCAGTGTGAATGAGCCCTAAGGCCGGTTCTCACATGCAGCGAAGCGCTGATGTAGCGCTGCTCACGTGCCGTCAGGTACTTATTGTATGCCATGAGCAACAGTTTTGACGGTGCGATACAAAGCTGGTGAACGCTCCCGTCAGCACGTGCTTAGCACAAGGTCAGCGCTATGCTTGTAGCGCTCCGCTGCATGTGTGAACAGGCCTTTAGAGCCACTAAAAGCATAGCTTATTTAGTTGCACTAGGAAGCAAGTAGGCTGAGGTGTATCGTTCATCATTCGTGTTTGATTGGTTAACTTGAACCAGACTTTGGGGTTGCGTGTGACCTAATTTTTTTTGCAGAAGTTCACGTCAATTCTGCAGTCCGAACTTTCGCTCCATGTGCTCCTAGCAGGTGTCCGCTCCAGTGACTTTAGTGTTGGTTAGGCTGCTCGGCCATTGATCTTATTTTATTATTTTTATTGACGTTTTTGCAACAACGATGACAAATCATACATTTTCACGATGTAGCATTGATGGGTAGCGGAATGGCGTGCGTGATGGGCTGGCATAATGATGGGTGTGGGAAAAGTTTGTGATAGTGACACTAACAGAAAAATAAATAACAAAAAAAAAAAGACAGGTCAAGATGATGAACCTAAAAGAAGCGCTCACTCTTGTATCTTTTGTGAAAGTTGAGAGTCAGCGCTACGTGTTTGTACTTCATAATCTTGAACCTCGTTTTTTAGCACTGTTTATTTTACCGTTAACATGTAGCACAAACTCGGCCAGCTTTCAACAGTTACAGTGATATTTGTTTGATCTGATCACAATTAAGTTAATAATGCGTGATTTAAAATGAGTATGGCGTCAGCAATATTATTGTCATAGCTAAGGATAGCGGCATATGGAAATAAACCACGTAAGACCTTGGCGATACCCGGGTACGAGGAAAATACAGACGGTAAAAGAAAAAAACCGTTCGAGGCCATCATGCGTCAAACATTCTTTGGATGAACGATACTGGAAGAACTTCGCATAGTGGCTCAGAGCTCAGCTATGGAGGGATACGCTATCTAGTAGGGTATGGTTCCTTCATACGCGCTTTGCGTGGGTGGTGACCTCTGGTTTTGGTCTCGCTTTCGAGTCGTTGGAAAACACACACAGGGAGCAGATTGACCTAAACTCAATGTGATGCAAAAACAAAATGGGAAGTGTGTACATTTTTTTTTTGTGTGTAATCATTGTGCCTTGATATTGGGCGGCCTTAATAGCGTACTTGTTTGGATGAAAAAATATTGTTTCAAAAAGCTTATTTTATTTGTTTTCTCGACGCTTACTCATAGTAAGGATTGGCCTAGGATCTGAATGGTTAGACCGTATGCTATATGTAAGCGTGGATGGTGTACCATTTTTCTCGTGACGTTTATTTTTTTTTATTTTTTCTAGAGCGCACAAAGGAATGATTTATGGCACAACGGTGATGGTCGGTAGTGATAAGAGTCCCGACCCGTTTGTTGCATCAAGGAAATTCAGTTTTTTTTTTTTACATCCTTCATTTTCGTGACTCAAAATCGAAGAGGAGCTGAGTGTTACGAGCCCAGTTGGCTGGCTTTGACTAGTGCCACTAAATAAGCTACGCAGCTCATTTAGTGGCTCTAACTTTGACCAGGCACTGCATGCCTTGAGTCCTCTGGCAACCCTGCTGCCACTTCTCGTGCCCCTCTCGTGCTGGATCTCGTGGGCACCCGGATTCATTCTCGGAACACACGAGCGAAGGAACAGCATCTGCGGGATGGAGCCGGGTGAGCCGATTCCCTGAAGCCAATTTGTCGGGCTCGTTTTGCCTTCGTTAACGCGTATATCGCGCTATGATGGCGGACTCGGAGAAGAGCGTCGAGAAATCGCCGGCCTGCTTGATAGAACGGTTGACCTTGCGGCGAATCCTACCACCCTGTAACAACGTTACCCGCAGATTCGATTTAGTTCGCCAACAGCTTACTGAGGTTTGCTCTGGCTCGTACTAGTGCCCCTAGATAAGCCACGCTTAGAGTAGCGGCACTTCATTTTCCAATTTTATCTCGGGCACCGCCATATCTTATGGTTAGTACAGTGCGGGTGCAATCCAAGTCTTTTCCGAAAATCGCCGATTCGAAGTGTCTGAGCGGAGAACGCGGGTGCACGAGCATGAGCAGGAGCCTCTCGCTTGAAAGCCGATCATGGTCCCTCTTAAATCCACAAAACGCGAAAAATATTTTTCTTGGTCAGAGCTTTTGGATATGTAATTAAAAAAAAAAAAAGATTACAGGAAGATACATCGGTGGATTCTCAGAGAATATTTTAGCGTGACCATTGGACACGCCACACACGTCCCCGTTTAGGAAACTCTAACGCGAACCCCTTCCCGTTTTCCTTTTGGCTTTCTCTTTTGCTTCCTCTATTTTTTGCTGCCCCTTTTTAACCTCGTTTTGGCTCAGTGTTGACGTCTCTCAAAAAAGATGTGTGTGACGTTCCCCAAAGGTCATGCTAACTCATTCCTTAAAAATTTACCAATGGATCTTCCTGTAATTTCTTTACTCATTTTCTGTACTTTATCTATCGGAGTACGTTGGCGCCCTTAGATACGGTCATTCATATCACTCATGGAAGGAGCCACATCCATACAACTCGTAAAAGGAACCGCATTCATATCACTCATGGAGTGAACCGCGTCTATCGTTTTAGCTACACACACACACAGACCACAGCCCACGCCCCGCTACTACGGAAACCCAGAGCGAAGAACAACCGCCGACGGCAGAGCGACAACTGAGCACGCCCGCATTCCACCCCGCCGCGGCGCAACACCTCCTACATAACAAAGGCGTAGTGGTGAATGGTATGGCGTCATTAGAAAAGGCCAACGCTGGGCATAGATTAGACACGACAATTGCGGCAACGTTCGGCTCAAATTTGACTCAAAGCTGAGCGCTGAAGCAGCACTCATTTCAATCTGTCTCCAGGGCTGGCCTTCTCTGATGACGCCATCTCATTTAGCATTACGCCCGGCTTTTCTATAGGAGGTATTATGCGGCGTCTCTTCTTCTCTGGCTCCGCGCCAGCAGTGCGGGTGACTTCCCGAAAACAAACGAGCTCGTTCCGACGAAAACCCGGCGGTGTCTGTCAGTCTGTCAGCGCCAGGGAGAGAGGCAGAGGTTGACTTGTGCTGACGTCAGCGCTTCGTACCAATGAGAGCGTCGCACGCGTCACCCTCTCCCCCTCTTTTTACCTCTCCCCAACACTGAGAGATGAAAGACATCACCGGTTTTCGTCTACACGAGCGTTTTCTAATGCGAAAAAATTGAAAATATTGGTTGGGGGTTACTTAATATAGAAACAATAAAGCGCGGCGGACAAGAAAAACACAAGACAACCACGTTCTTTCACGTAAAAGAACGTCGTTGTTCTATGCTTGTCCTCCAGATTTTATTCTTTCGATCTTAATTATTCATTTCCAACACGCTCGCTTTTAGCAATCCAATAGATTGGCGGTTGTTATTTTTGCAAAATGCGACCATCTGATGTTTAAGAGGCGCTGATGAAAGCCAACACCTTCTAAATAACAAGGCCCTAGTGTTGATCGAAATGTCGTCATCAGCGAAGGCCAACGCGTGCCACAGATTGGGAACGACGATTGCGTCAAAGTTCGGCTCAAAATTGACTCGAAAGCCGAGCGCTGAAGCAACACTCGTTTCCAATCTGTGTCCAGCGCTGGCCTTCGGTGGTGACGCAAAAATGTCGGCACTACGGCCTTGTCTTCTAGGCGGTGTTGTGAGAGCGCAAACATAATGTGGTCGTGAGCCGAGCAGGATCTGCAAAGTTGCCAGACACGCCAACAAGGTACCGCCAATCGGGAAGAGATCCCCCACCAAGACGGGGGACTGTTTGTGCAGTCCGAGCACAGGGTTTCTGATTCCTCTTGGACGTCTACGTCAGCGCGTCTCCACGCAAATGCGTGACGTTGTGGCCACGTGACACGCACAACGGAGAGCAAAGGGATGGATTTCTCTTCCGTGTGTCTGGTAACTTGGGTGATATTATTTTTGTTTGGTAGCGGACTGTTTTAGTACTTCTGGAGGACGTAAACGCCTTTCCGGCATGGTTAGATAACGCATAAAATAATTAGCAACAACAATATTAGGCCCCAAGATGGCTGGAGTGGCTCTCGTTACTCTGACATGTAGCTTATTAAGTCCCTCTTGCTTGTACTTGAAGCAATCGATGTCCCCACACATTGTTGTCACCCCATTGTCTTTCTCTCATCCTTTAGCACGCCTAGGAGCGCAATCCTAATTTTGTTGCTCGTCACCCACGTGGTTTGCGCGCAGTGAACGTCCCCCAGGCCGCGGAGAAGAACGACGTGCGTCCGTGCGCTGCCAGCCTGTGGCAGCTACACATCATCCTCTGGAAGAACGTGTACGTGAAGCGACTCAGGCGGCACTACGTGACGACCATCCTGGAGGTGGCCCTGGTCGTGGCCCTCTTGCTGGGCATCCAGGAGTACGCCGTGACCAGGGAGACGATGAAGGTCCGATTGGACACGCACTTCCCGGCCAGCGCGCCCACCAAGTACTGGAACGCCATGCCGGACGTCGTGGCCATCGACAAGGTGCGCCTTAGCCTTGCACAAGCACACTGAGATCTTGTCTCGCGCAAGAAGGGTGAAGAATAAAGGTCAGGATTATCTAAATCGGGATTTAAAACATTATATCATGATTTAAGTAGCACCGATATGGCTATGATAATTAAAATTAGGCACTCCCCCAACTCTCCAAAACAACAACAACAGCAACAACAACAAAAACATTGGTATAAATATTTTTTACTTGCCGTTTTAATGCGATAGCATTCTTCACCTATACTTCAGCCCGTTTTCGCGATACGCTCTCTGGCCGCGAATGCGCCTCCGGAAACGCAGGGCGCCTGCATACGCACGACGTCGTTCTAAAGGTCATCCTCGAGGTCGTTCGAGAGGTCCTCCTTGAGATCGCCCTAGGGGTCGTCCTAGAGGTTGTTCGAGACGTTGTCTTGACGTCGCCCTTGATGTCGTCTTAAAGGTCGTCCTTGAAATCACCCTGGAGGTCGTCCTAGAAGTCGTTCTAGACGTCTTTTTGGATGTCATTCTAGGTAGCAGATGAACTCGCGCCGCGCATACACGGAGTGGCAGTACGCACACATTCACTATTGCGCCCAAGCTACGAAGCAATTATCGGCTTGAATTGAGGTAGTTGGTACATGGTCAATGATGGTGGTGAAACAGCTTGAGTATTAAACGATTACACAGACCAAAGATTAAACGAATCCGCAGGTACGAAGCAACAACTATATTTTGAAGTGGCGAGCTGCAGTCACGCTGGCGTCACTGATTGCGTCGAAACCGTTCATAAAAGAAATTGCTTACTCAAAATTTGCGTCGTCGTATTCACAGTGAGCTGCGTCGTGAGTCTCATGAGGAATACACAGACAACCAGAAATAGCGGTTTCTGCAGGCAATTTTTTTTATCAGTGTTTGTTTCCCATGGGCGTATTGTTTTATTTTATGCAAATATGATCAATCAGGAAAGATTTATATAAGGCAGCCATTAAAAAAGAGTATTTCCAGTGCCAAAAACGTCCATCTTTTCCAGCTGAAGCGATTTAAATCATGTAAGTTCGATATAAATAAAAACAAACTCTGATTAAGATCAAATCATTTTGGTTTAAATCAAATGAAATTGACTTATTTTACTTTTTTCACTGAAATCATATGATTCTTTTTTTCACTTTTCGCGCAAGACTGGAGAAGGGGTTCCTTGATCAGGATCTTACTAAGCTCGTCTTTCAAGGACGGGTTAAAGAGGTCCCTCGTCCCCTAAGTGGCAGCGATAAAACTGTGCCAATGACTTGATCTATTTTTACATAAGTATATTGTATTTTGTAATTTGTTAAGTCGAAAAATAGGTTGAAATCAAAATTGGATATATTTTGCAACTCTGCGCGTCTGGTATCTTGATCGGTGGCGTGGCGTCGACAGTTGCGCAGACAGTCGCATGAAAGCTGTTTGTTTTCGTTTCTCTTGCGACAGTATGTTGAATCAGAACCGTATAAAAAGGCGAAGGACACACACATACTGTTTGATATTTTCACTCTTCTTGCTTTGCAATTAACTATTCGCCGGTCTTATCAGATAACTCAGAAATCTCAGTGGCTGCCATGAGGAATAATAAAAATAAAACACCGCAGGTCTTGTACCACCCGAAGTCCCAGTACCTGTCCAAGCTGGTGCGAGAGTCGTTCAGCGACCTCGGCGTGCTCGACGTCTCCGCCGTCGACAGTCTCAAAAACCTGAACGACGCCATCAATAAGCTGAATGACACTCCCACCGTAGTCATTGGCCTGCACTTCAAAAACGTCCGCTCGAACACAACCGGAATTCCTAGCAGTCTGGACTGCGTGGTGGTGGCCGGCCGTCTTCCCCTGGACACCCACGTGGACTTTGGGGAGAAGCTCCTGTCCCAACCGCCTGGTCCGGTGAACGAAGCTCATTTTGTCGAGATGAACACCATCATGCCCATCATCGGGACTCTTCAGCAGCGGCACCTCGAGTACTTGGCGCTTGGACACAACCTGTCCATGGAGGCTGTGCCGCCCGTGAAGCTGCAACGGTTCCCCTACCCTTCGTACATCGAGGAGAGGGACATCAGCAACTACGCGCTCGTGCTGAGCCGCTTCTGCATCGGCATGCTGGTGCCTTTCGCCGTGTTTGCGGCCCGCCTGACAGACGAGAAGACGTCTGGGATGAGGGAGATGCTGCGCATCGTGGGGCTGAGCGACTGGGTGTACTGGGCCAGCCACTACCTGAGCGCCTTCTTCATGCACCTCATCACGGTCACGCTGATGCTGCTCTTTCTGTGCATCAAGCACAACGACAAAGGACGCTCGTTTATCCAGAGCAGCGACCCGTTCCTGGTCTTCGCAATACTCATGTGCTTCTGCAGCTCGTGCCTCCTGCATGCTGCTCTTCTGTCGCTCTTCTTCGCCAACCGTGAGTCTTCGACGCCAGTTGGTTTTCCTCATCACAAGGAGAGCTACATCGAATGTCAACTGACTTTTGAACCCTTGTCAACGCTAGCATAGCTTGCGCAGTGGTCTGAAGCTTTCAAAGCTACTTGCTCAAGCGCCTGCGAATGCAAGAGGACGTCGCTAGCACGTTCTCTAGCAGCAGTGCGAGGCTGCAGCATTTGGAGGCTAGACTAGCATTGACAATGTAGCATTTTGTTGTCCATATTTGTCATCTCATGTTGGGTGCATTCGCCTTTATTTCTGTCTATCAAAATTTGCCTTTTTTTCTCTTTGATGTTTTAGCCATCTAGAGATGTATTGTTCTTATAGATTTTTAGCGATTTTAGAGCTCTTTCATGTGTATTTCTCTCAGTCGTTACGTGACTTTTAGATTTTTTTTAAAGGTAAGACGCACACTTTAACGAATTCTGTATCTAACTTCTCCGCAAATCTAAGCGGATAATTTTTCCAATACCTGCAGCTAAATTCACGTCGAACTAAGAAAAAACAACGTTGGTTTTGGGGGTTATTATAAAATATTATGACCATATATAAATTATGCCGCCTCACCTTGAATTGAAAGTGTGTCAGCATAGTTACACGGAGGAATACGACTGACATTTTTCAGCTGCGTCCGCTGTGGCTGGCGCCATGCTGTACTGGACCTTTAGCAGTGCGATGCCCTTCCTGATACTAGACCAGGGCACCGGTCACGGCTACCACTTCATCTCCCGAAAGCACAAGCTCGTCACCTCCATCTTTCCAGGCATGAACCTGCACTGGAGCTTCCGCGTCCTCAACCGTTTCGAGAAGTTCGGTGCGTGCTCTTCCCCAATAGCATGGGTCGTGTGTGCAACTTAAAGGGACATAGACAAGGTAGGGTATATAAACGCGCCAAGGTTTTTTTTTTTTTTTTTTTTTTTTTTTTTTCATGAAATGCGAGAGTTTAACTACCCAGAACATAATTTGCGTATCGAAATTTGTCTTCTTTCCGCCCAAAAGCCGTCGACCGAGAACCGGCCAGTTTGAGTCGCGCTCGCTCTCTTCTCTGTGGTCACGTGCCGTTTTCTAAGGTTTAGGCACAACCCCCAAAGATAATCAGCCGTGGGTCATCGAAGGCACACTCTCAATATTAAACGTAGAAACAAGATATAGTACCTATTTTTTGTGTCTTCTAAAAAAATGAAAGACGTTTACAATTCGTAATGCCAAATTAGAGCGCCGTTTTCAAGGAGGAGGAGGGAAGGGTACGGAGGGAAAGGTCACGTGTGACGTCCCGAGTGTAAAATGTTTCCCCAAAGTTTGGCGGGAAATTTTTCCGCTAAATTTAGCGGGAAATGTTTTCCGCTTAATTTCGCGGGGAAATTTTACCCTTGTGACGTCACGTGTGACGTCATTATGGGAAACGTCTCATAATGCAACGCGCAGTTACGCCGACGGTTACGGCGACGCCGCTCAAGCCGGAAATGTACGCCTAAGTTGTAAAACTTTTGTTTGGGCTAGTTGGTTGTCTGCCAGCCCTGTTGTATGTGTGCCTTCTTTGTTGTCCTTGTCAAGTTTGCGCTATTTTAATCATGTCTAGTACGCCTAAGACCTGCGCTCTAAAAGCCGCAAATGCGTTAATTGAAGAAAGGAAGTTGCACAGCCACGTGACTTCCGGCAACACTCTCCTCCTCTATATTTCCTCTTCGTCCACAGTACAGTTTCGGTTTTAAGCTGTTGCGTTTTTTTTCTTAATAATATACGTAGAGCTTTAGCAAAATATTGATTGGGTAATCTTCTGACACCATATTGAACCGTCTAACAAAAAAAAAATACATTTTGGGATGTGTTAGTAGTCTCTTAAAGAGTACGTTGACCAGCGGTTCACAATGACTGCAATGTTAAATAAAATGCAAGATCAGGAAATTATATTTCAGACAAAACAAATAAAATAAAATAACCATTAAAAAGCAAGGGGAATTTCTGCTCCGCAGTTTACGCGAGGCATAAATTTCTAATTATCTCTTTGCATCTTCCGCACATTTTGCACTGATTAAGATACTACTAGGATCTAGCACCATTCTATTGCCGGCACCCGTATTTTTGGTAGCGCTTTGTTATGAATTGATAGCCAAATAATTTTTCTTTAGCTTCTCACTTATCTAACATTTGCATTCTATAGACTTTCAAAAGGAATACGAAGCACCGTTTTGCAGCAGTAGTGTCATATTAATTACGCTACATTTGAAAGGGGTTCTGTATTTCAAGAAAAACACTTAACTCGTCTTTATTTGACCCCCAGGATCACGAATCCTAAGATTATTTTGAATTTTGTCCACGGAGGCTGCAGAAAAACATTTTTCAAAAAACCGCTGAAGACCCTACTTCTCGGGGAGTGACGTCAAATCCAGCTTTCGAAGTCTCCGTTCTCGCGCACCCTCAGCACCTATCAAAGCTGTAAACAAACACTCTTGCTCTTAAAAAAAAAAAAAAAAAAAAAAAAAAAAAAAGGTCACAAAAACACTACGATTGGTGTCAGCGCGGGGGAATATACCTGACAAACTTTACAATAGATTTATTGGTAAATTACCCAAACATCGAGGAGAATGCAGGGATGGTGTTCCACACACTTCACGTGTTGGCCTCTGCAGTCGTAACTTTTCTGAAGCAAATGCCTAAAACAAATGACATCTTGCACGCGCGTTCGTCAACGCTTTACTTTGGTTATTTCCTTCGAATTTTTTATACGGTGAAGGCGTGCGTGTGTGGCGCGTGGAACACCAATCTTTGCATTCTCCTTGATGCTTGGGTAATTTAGCAATAGTGTATTGCGCGCGCTGCCCATACGAGCGACAAGCGCTTGGCGTCGGAAAGGTATAAAGTTGGACGGCACGACCTGTGCAGAGAGTTTTGGTGTTTTATCGCGTTTAGTTACATCTTCGGGGAACACGAACGGGATATTCAGACTAACGGGAAAAAAATACTCTAGAATTCATCTCTAACTCGTTTTTCGCAAGAACCTCTTCAGCTTCTCTTTAAGAGGAACACGCGCGGCCGCTTGAAAAATGCTGAGTTCATTCGGGTCCTCTTTATGACGTTCTCCACTACTGCCGCTGTCAGCAACAAACGTAGGGCGTGGTTCAGAGGTAGCCGTAATGACACTAATGTAATAAAATTATAGTTATTAAAATACTTTTTGCAGTCATGCGCAATGTTATTAATTACTTTTATAGGCTGGTAATTTAGTAGTTTCGCTAATTACAAGCATTTAAAAAAAACTCATTATTTTTGAAATAACTCTCGTCCAAAATAAAGCATACCGCATTTGCGAAGTTTAAGGGGAAAGAAAAAACTTGTTTTACATAAAAAAAAATTGTTAATGAGAGAGAAAGAGAGAGAAAGAAAGAGAGAGACCAGACTATCTGATGAGGTTAAAAGAAGCTCATTTGTGTGGAAAGCCCCGTAAGAGGCTTTCCACACAGAACTCTTTCTGGAAAGCCGTAAAAGGCTTTCCACGCAGAACTTTCCAACACACACCCGTGTGATGGAAATAAAATATTATTATTATTATTATTATTATTAAAGGAACTCGAAGACGGGCTCGAAAGGCGAAGCAGATGGAGAAAATCTTTGGGGGGAGGTGCATCGCTGGAAGGATATGGCTCACAGAACTTTAGGCAAGTCGGTCCAGCCTATGTTGCAACAAGAAAACGCGCAGTTAACGCCATCTGTTCGTTTGGAAGGTAGACAATTTCGGAAGCTTGTTCCACCCCTTTCCTTCCCTGATCGTATCTCTGCGCAGCGAACATCTGACGTCCTCCTGGGACTGTGCGGGATATTTTGGGCTTTTCTGGTGTATTGACGATTTGGAACAATACTACTCTTGTTCGTGGAATATCCTTGACTGGTGCTCCTGGAAGAAAAGGATTAGTTTTGTCTTCTGACTCCTTGCGAGCCAGAACGGAAAGTTTTTCACATGGACGACTTATTGTGAAAAGGAGCTGTCATGGACCAACAAGTTACTGACAGGTACTACGACTTGTTCAAAATAAGGAAGGCGGAATTAGATCACCCTTTAACTAAGGACCTTCACCGTTGCATTTACAGCGAAACCGCTGATTAGTAACTTCCAAGAACCTATTAATTATGTTTAACACTTCCGTCGTATGCGCCAGCGAAGCGACTATTCAGTTTGGCTCATATCGAGGCGCGCATGGCTGCTGCCGCGCCAACAAGAAAATCTTAGTTTGCTATATAGGGTGTTTGAAATGCCGAGGCTCCATCTAAAATAGGCCGTAAAAATCGACGCCTGCATATAGAAATCTCAACTTTTCGTCGAAACCGTATTTCACAAGTGGACTTTACTTTGTAAAATAACGAGGCGTAGCTCCCTTTCCGCTAAAAATAGGCCCCCAAAACTTGTCAGGGTCAACGGCAGACGGCGACGCAGATGACCGAGTTGAGTGGGGGGGGAGGGAGGGGGCATTCTGATTTTCAATTCTGATCTTCGGCTTTCGGTGACCTTTGACGCTCGGCCGGGGGCCCATTCTGATTTTCTCTTTTCCCATATTGTGCAGTGGACACAGGTGCCACCTGGAGCAACTTCTTCGACCACTCGGCGACGCCGGACAACGTCACGGTGGCCGAAATTGTGGTCGTGGGCCTCGTGTTCGACTGCTTCATTGCCCTGCTTGTCTGGTACCTGGACAACGTCCTTCCGATCGGACCTGGAATCGCCAAGCTTTTCTATTTTCCATTTACGGTAGGCTCTGCTTGTCTTTCAGTAAACGCATCCTCACCAAGGTCACGAGGGCGCGCGCTCCCGTGCTCAGGGTGTTCTTTTTCGGGGAATTCTCGAGTCCCGTAACTCCGGAACACTCGCGAGAGTTTCGAACTTGGGAATTATTATCGGGAGCCCAAATACAGTAATTCATTTATCGGTTTTACTATAAATTTGGGCAATTTCCAAATGCTGGACAGATAGTTTACGCTGACTAAATGATATTTTGGAGCGTTACGCAAGTTTGCAAGAAATCACTCTTGCAAACATGACCAACATTATTTCGAAATTAATATCAGACTTACCATCAAATTCGGCTCTGATCCTTATTTAATATAATCTGAACAGCTAAGAATTACTAGTGAAATATACAGTGTACTGTCTCACATCTTCTAAAAATCTCCCAATTATGTTCTAATACCGGCTAATTAGAAAACGGCTATGGTTGTTCCGGTTTCTAAAGATTGTTTAAAGGATGATCCTTCTAATTACAATCTAGTGTCCTCTGCGTTCGTGTCATGCAAAATGATGGAACATGTTATCGATTCTAGTGCATTATTTTTGTCTCAACAATTTACTTTTCACTAACCAGCACGGTTTCCGGCGGTCCCTCTCCTGTGAATCTCAGTTGTTTAAATTTGTCTACAGATATCCACCAAAAGCAACTTCTTGAAAACGCGACTCGCGTTACCTTTAACAATATTAAAACAACTTTCGACAAAGACCCGCATAGTCGTTTGAATCAAGGATTTAACTCCATCCAAAGAGAAGCATCGATTATAAACTGGATAACTAATTTCCTCTCAGATCGAATTTATAATATTACAATAGATACTATTTGCTCTTTACAAAAAAGTGTGTTAAATTAGCAGTGCCGGAGGGAACTGTGCTGGGCTCTCTGCTATATTTAATATACATAAACAACCTCCAAAACCTTAGGTTATACGGAGATGACTGTGGGATTCAGTGATTTATAGAACATAACAAATTTGTCCGCCTGTACCCTTTTTCAAGCTGATCTGCTTCATGTTGAATCATGGTGTCGAGATTGACAAACGTAAATGAACGTTAACAAAAACTAATTTTCTTAACTTCACCACCAAGGAGAGTACTACCCAGTTTTATTATTCTCTTCCTAGCGTACCAAGTGAAGCTGTAGACTCATAAAAATATCTCTGCATTTATTTTCCTATTAACTTATCGTGGGAACCTCGTATCAGTCACACCTCCGCAAAAGCTAACCGAAGTTTAGGATTTTGAAAATGTCATATTGATCAGGCTGCGTCCCGAACTAAACTTATCGCATATAATACTTTCGTCCGTCCCCAGCTCGACTACGCCTCACTTGTCTGGAACCCCCATCAGTTATACCTAGAAGAAGAGCTGGAAGCCATTCAAAACCGGGCCACTCGTTTCGTCCCTCGTAATTACACGTTTACTACCAGTATAACTGCATTGAAATCTGAACTAAGCCTCCCGCTTTTAAAACACCAAGAAACATATCATACCCACGCAAAATGTATTACCACTTTCCTTCAAAAAAAGATCCACACTGTCTGTCGGCTTTCTATCGCACAAATTATCCACTAAATATTCAACTAGTTACACCTAGAACTAACCAATTCAAGTTCTTACCATTACAATTTGCTATCTCTGATTGGAATAATCTAACTGAGCACATTGTTCGCGTCCCAGAAGTTGATAGTTTCCGATCAGTCATTGCCGATCTTTACGCCATGTAACATCATGTTTGTTTAGGTGAGAAAAGTGCTAGTGTTAATTTTTATTGTCCCATTTATAGTTCAATCTTTTACCATTTAAGGCCATTTAAGGGCCAATGGCTATTTAAGGGTCAAATACATGATATAAGATGAAAATACCCGTATATTCTGGCAGTGTATGGCGTCAGCCTACTCTTTTTACGAAGTTTAATGTTTCGGGCAATGACTTGATTTAGACGATTCACTTTAGGAGGGATTAAATCTCCCGGTCGTCACGGGTTTGGCACTAATATTAAGTTATGTTTGCACTTTAGGCGAGCTACTGGGTCCCGCGGATTGAGTTCGTGACGGCTCCGGAAAAAACGGCCCAAGAGAAAGATAACTTCGAGGCTGAACCCAATGACCAGGTGGTCGCCATTGAAATTGTGCAGGCCTGCAAGGTGGGTCCCTGATTCTTGCAAGGAAACAAATTACCAGCGACCTCAAAGCCGGGGTTACACTGCTTACACAGCATACACAAGACAGTCTGGCAAACATCACCCACTGCGATGTCCTTGGTTGGAATTTGAAGCACGGATCTCGTGGCGACTTGCATCCGAATCTGTTTTGCAGGCTGTCTTCGGTACGATGCTGAAGCAGTATGACCCTGGCTTTATCTTCAAAGTTCTATAATGCACAGAATAAAGTATTTAAATACATATTCTTCATTATTTCCGCCGCTCAATTTAGCGGAGAAACTGAAGTGACGTGACATTATAGTTTCACCTGGCACCGCGACATGGCCAGTGTTGCTAGATTAGTTCAGCTGTGGAAATCCCGCGAAACGTGCTCTCCCACCCCCTTACCCTCTTCTTCTTTCTTCCTCCCGTTGACAATTGAAGCGCCATCTAGATTTTCGTTTCAGAGGTGTGTGTTTCATAAGGGTGCAGCCCGAAGCAACCCATTCCCGTTTGAAGGGCGAAATAGAAAAAAAGATGAAACGAGAAGGGGCAAACGGGAAGGTCGAAATGGGAACGGGTCGAAACGGGAACCACCCTTCCATACGGTATGGTGAAACACCGTTTAAATTCTGTACTACGAAACCATATTGATTCCATAGTTATACACTGCAGTTACCATAGCAGCCATACCGAAAACGGTTTCGCGTCAAACGACGGGAGGCGGGCCGTGGAGGGAAACGGGCGTACTGCTCGTGGAAGAAGTGTCTAGGGGCAGTTCTTTAACTGAGCTAATCTAATAACGTTGGATTTGGTACTGTGACGTCAGAGTGACATGTGGCCTGACGTCACGTGCCGTCAGGTCACGTGATATCAATTGGAGGAAACATTGCGGGAAAATGCACGGAGGGACAGATGAATAGGCGATCAGGGGATTTAGTAAAAAAAATCGCTCGGTATATTCTCGCGTTTTCACCTGCAGAACTACGATACGGTGAGGGCGGTCTGTAGCGCCGACCTACGCATCCTGGAGAGTCAGATCACAGTGCTCTTGGGCCACAATGGCGCCGGGAAAAGCACACTCCTCAACATCGTCACCGGTGAGCGAGAACTTTCCATGCATGTCTAGTGGCCCCAAAGAGCCATTACCAAGTAACCATTCCCTATTGAAAAATCCGGCAAAAACTTTCAGTGACATTCGGTGGAAATGGGCTAATTTCCACTCATTTTCACCAGAAACCAGCGTAGTTTACCAGTTTTTGGGTGGAAATATTACCGGCCGCCACTTCCAGTGACCAGATTTCGCTGGACCTTTTACCGGAGTTATAGTCCGAAACCAACTTACTTGATCACACTGTTTGAAACGTGCAGCAAACTGTATGTGAGTGATTGCTCACTTGATTTTTCATTTCTACTTCTTCTTTATGTACGATAAGAAAAGTTTCTAAAAATAACAAAAATGAGGGTATTCTGTGCCAAAACGCAAAACTACTGGTAATTTTATTAGTTTAAATTTTAATAAATTAACGTATATGGTTACTTTAGAAGAAAGCAATACTATATTGAAATATTATTTATATAAAAATGACCGTTGTACCACTTAGCCGTCTACGTTCTCTCTGACTAGTCGCCGACCTGGTCGCTCTTGCCACGTGACGAATCCTTACCTGTCATGTATTTTTCTACTGCGTGGTATTTTTGTAAAACTCGCCTCCGTAAACCGAAGAGACACCGGTAAGCGCCGTACTAGAACCTACTTATTCCGAACCGAACGAGTGTTATTCTGCCGTGTTCCTAGTAGTCCCTATGTATTACTAACGGGGCGTTTTTGTGTACGCAGGTTTTATCGATTCCAGCTCTGGTACGGTGTTACTGGGAGGCTACGACATCCGAAAGAGCACCAGGGACGCCCGCGAGAGCATCGGCTACTGCGCGCAACACAACATCCTCTTCGAAGACTTGACGGTCGAAGAGCACCTGCTTTTCTTCGCAATTGTACGAACCTCTGGTAGCAAAGAAGCATCGAGGAGACGGTGGCGCTCGACTCTGATTTATTCTATCTGTAGGCGTTTTTCCGCAAATAGTTGCCAGCTTCTTGCCTAAAGTCTCCTCTAGAGTCACTAAATCTGCTACGCTTCGGAGTAAGGACCCTTGGTCATTTTGTTGCTTGAAATCATTATTGCTTGTAATCTGAAGCTTTGTGTGGAATCGCAGGAAACGGTATTCCTTCCTCCTTACATATAAAAACAGTCCGCTAAGAGAAAAGCGATATCGTCTAAACTTTTTGACACCGTACCTAAAAGCACAGGAAGCCGCATTTTCGAACCTTAACAGGGGCACTAAAGTCCTTTCTCAGATCCACGTTCTATAGACACAGCTCAATCTACGATCTCTAAGCATCCTAAAAAACTGAAATTACATACGTGCGCGAATTAAAAAAAAAAAAAAAAAAAAAAGATTGAAATTTTTGACATTTATCGTCGGCCCGAAACGACAGATGGCGCTACTGAACCTTGTTGGATATGGTCGGACAAGGGACGGTGGGTTCCCGTGTGTCTGGAATGGCTGGCAGGCGCCGTCCGTCGTTCGATTATTTTCAGCAATGTTCGGCAGCGCCATCTGTCGTTCCGCGCCGACGATAAGTGTCGGGAACTTTGATCACTTCTTTTAATATGGAAATCGGCCGCGCATGAAAGTACTTTCGTTTTGAATGCGTTACCGTTAGAACACTCGTTTTGGCGAAGTCCCGGCGGTGTCTTTCGTTTGTCAGTTGTCACCGTGCGACGCTTCCATTGATCCAAAACGCAGACGTCAGCACGCGTCAACTTCTACCGCTGTCCCCGGCGTTGACAAACTGACAGACACCGCCGGGTTTTCTTAAACTCTCGCCCTTCCATTTTCGGCAAAGTCACGTGCACAGCTGGTGCTGAGCCAAAGAGGAGGCGGCGCCGTGTAACACCTCCTAGATAACAAAGCAGTAGTGCTGGACGGGATGGCTTGATCAGAGAAAGCCAATGCTTGAAGCAGTTCTGGCAGCACGTATTGTTCAGAAGTGGTCCTTAGGGTGACTATAACGGATCATAAGTGTCCTGTGAACGTTCGTAAAACGACCGCAGCACTTCCATGAACGTTCTAGCATTTTAGGAATCCTAGAATTCTATGAATGCCCTCTGGACGTTCACCAAACCCATCTGTGATTCCACACTTGCACGTAATGCGTTACCAATCGGTCTATACTTCACCTTGGGCAAGTTGGTGGTTCATGATTGCACTTCACAGCGCAAAAGAACATATACCCTTCAAAAGTTCACTCACACAAAGAAAGAACACCAACACAGCGATAATTTTCAACTCTGGTTTGTATTACGCTTCCTCGATCTTCATCTTCTTTTACTCTTATATATAAAGAACTAATTCAAACTTCAGCTCATTGCTAGGGAATTTTTCCTAAACCATTTATTTACGAAGAAGCTACTGCAGTATTCTGAGTTTTGAGGTCGTACAGGCACGAATTGTGAGAGAGAGGCGCGTGCCCCACTCGCAGTGCTAGGATCGCTTTGGAACGTTGACCCCGGGATTTTGATTAAATCAGTCGAAAGCCACCGGTGTACCTCCTCACCCTCGCCGTTACAGGGTCTTCTCTAAAATTCGCCTCAAACCCGACCGTGACCACGGCTGCTGCAGCAGTATAGCAGCTGCTTTATCCCGACGCCGGCGAGTCAAAGCGTCGCCAACACCGACGTTCAAAGCCGTCCAAGAAGCCCTGCGCCGGTACACGACAGTACCTCTCGGACCATCACCTTACTACCGACACCGGCCACCTCCAAAATACAAAAGTTACCAAGGGATATGAGCTGCAGTTTGAATTAGGTATTTATATATAAGAGTAAGAGAAGATGAAGAGGTAGGGCAATACAAACCAGAGTTGAGAGTCAGCGCTGTGGGCAATCTCTCTTCGTGTGGGTGAGCTTCTGAAGTACGTCTGTGCTTGTGCGCTGTGTAGTGTGAACGTTACCAAGAACGCGTTACTTGCATCTTTAGTCATTAAAAGGATAATAGTTCAGGGAAACTCCTCCCACCTCTTTCCACTTGAGCAGAGCGAAGGCTGGAGAGGAGGTCACCTTTTCTCCAGAGTTCGCCCTACTAAAGACGGAAGAGGTTAGGAGGAGCTTCCCCCGAACTCTTAGTCTGTCACCGCCTCTAGTTGATTTTTTCGGTAAGGAAGTAACGACCTAGATACTTGTTAATAAAAGGAGCGAGTAAACGTTAGCTTTTGATTAAGTGACGAGTAATGGAATTTAGTTACTTCTGGAGGGGAACGTCTACGACGCGAGTACCCATCTATAGTTCTCACCCCAGTTCGTGTCGGTACTTTCTACGACGAGAAGACTCTATAGATCGACCATGAAGAAGTGTTCACAAGGTACGTCAGTATTGACACGGACATCCCAGAATGAACGCGTTAAAAAAGCGAGGAATTATTAACGTCGATAGATATTGGAAGCAACTACTGCTTCATAAAAAGGTAGACATTCGGGGTAACGATAAAATAACTCCTTACTTTTGAGCAGAGGTAGCACGCGTTCCCCTTGACTCGCAGTAACTAGTAACGTGCTTAATTACTTTTTGAGTGCGTTCCGTGTAACGCTATTCCGTTCCTCTATTTCAGCGACCTATACATATATGTGTTGCTTCCTGGGAACTGTCCTATTTAATCGTACAGGTGAGAGGCATTCCACGCGACCGCGTACGCCTGGAGGTGGTGACCCTTCTCGGGGACGTGGGCTTGACGTCCGTGAGCGACCAGCTCGCCGTGTCCCTGACTTCGGGGCTGCAGCGACGCCTCTGCACTGCGCTGGCGGTCATCGGGAACCCCAAGGTGATGACGAGGCCGTGTATTTTCCCTTCAAAGCCTGGCCCAAACGCTAGCGTATTTCATGCTCCATAGTTTGTTTCAATGGGTGCTGTCACTATCGTTGTTAAGTATCCCGTAAAGAATCGAATAATATAAAACGTAATTTTAGTAGGTTATTCGCGTGAAATGGTAGCTACAAATTGTGCCGGACTACGAAAGCAGAACCTGCTCTTGTACCAAAACGATATAGACTGAGCTTTTTAGCGTGTCTAAAGCTCAGCAAGTCGCATTAGCGAATCGTAAGGATTCCCGATAGACACTTTTCAATACCTCATCAGGCAACATTGGTGGTCACCATTTGTTGGGAAATTTTCTAGGGAGTATTGAATGACGTACAACTAACTGACACAGCTGGGAACAGGGACATAGGAAAATTGGGACTCCCTCGATCCCTTTTTGCTCCGGCTCAAAGTCTCCACACCGTCTGCCAGGAGGCCCGATGCCAGGGCATCGCCCACTAGGTTTGACAAAGGAAAATTGGCGTCCTTCATTGTCAGGGGGAAGATGCGGGGGCGATGTTTTTAGTTGTTTGCCCGATCCCCAAAAGGTCATTCTGGTGTCGCAGATGGTAAGCAAATTGGCGAAAAAAATATTATTTTGGTTCTTAATTTCTAGGCTAGGTGGCGCAACCTACCACCCGTTACACAGGGTACAGCCATTAGCATCCATCTATCCATAGGCACGAAGCGTGCGATTGGATCAGAGTCCCTGACAAACGTATACGGAGCCCTCGTGGCCATGGCGGATATGGCCTTCTAGATTCTTGGCACTCACAGCTCGCCTTCGACCTTTCCAAACGCTCGTTTGCCCAACAGAAGGAGCGTATAGCACAACTTCTTCAAAGCTTCGTAAGGACAAGATACGGAGCAATTCAAGATGCTGATACCAGCATCCGGGACGACGATGACGAGGATGACAGGAAGATATACCTGGTGACCCCGGCGCTACCTTTTATGCCCTCATGAATGCCTTGGGTGTTGTGGCCGTCTACTTTGACTAGGCCACCCCCTGCAGCCCGCTGTCTTCACTGAATTGAGCGACCGCACCACCAGGTCGACCAGACCGCCGGGGTGTTAACATTTGAAACCTTGATTGAACAGCCCTCAAGGCCACCTGGGGTCGCGGGTTGACTCGCCTTAACCGTCCCCGAACATTGAAAACTTGGTCCGCGGTTTTCAGAACGATCAAAAGAACACGTCGTCCTCATGTTGTATATGAAATGCCGTCCCCTAATCACCATCTAGACGCGGCACCACAGGCATCAGGGGTACGGGCAGCTGCTCTCCTTAGCCAATAAACCTTATCCTTATTATTAATATTAATAATATCCCAAGTGTTAGATGTGTGGACGCGGTATAGAACTCATATTTTCGTTTACACTGGAAAGGTTGAGTCGCGCGAACGTATATATATATACATACACGCGATTCAAATGCCACTCAGCTGGTGCGCTGACTCTGGCAGTAATGTGTATTGTGGTGAGAAGCAACGACTATAGTTCGGTCAAACAAGCGCCTTTTTATCCGGGCAGCTAGCCGAGCAAGCTCGATGTTTGTGATTTGTGCTTTGTACCAGTGCCGCCGTGCCGCAAAAAAGAACATCGAGTCATTATTTTTTTCTATGTCAGTCTCTCCCGACGAATGGAACGGCCGGAGGATAACGTTCCACTCCATGAATTTCGGGGGCCATGGACGGACTGAAATAATTGGCTCAGCAGCTACACACTATAGTTGCGCGAACTTTTGTAAGGAGTTTATTGTGCCTGCTTTGTACCTTGCTTCATAATGGTGGCGCCCAAAAGAAAATATAACATATAGTACTGATTCCCCAAACGCAACTTGTTAAGTTACGAGTCTCCGTCTGGTCTCACGCAGATCGTGGTGCTAGATGAGCCGACTGCCAACATGGACCCGGACGGCCGTCGCGAAATGTGGGAGCTCCTGCTCAAGGTCCGGCGCAACTCAGCCATCTTGCTCACTACCCAGCACCTTGACGAGGCCGACGTCCTGGGCGACCGCATCGCCATCATGGCCAACGGCCGCATCCGATGCTTAGGCTCGCCGACCTTCCTCAAGCACCGCTTCACTACGGGCTACCACCTCCAAGTGAACAAGACACCCAAATGCAACCTGCTCGCCATCGAGTTCCTGCTCCGCAAGTACGCTCCCCGGGCACATCTGCAGAGCGACTCAGACAACGAGGCCATATTCGTGGTGGGGCAGATCGTGGCCACCAAGCACACCATCACCATGTTCAAGGAACTGGAGCAGCGCAAGGAGGACCTGGGCTTTGAGTCGCTGGGCCTAGCCGTCACGACGCTTGAGGACGTGCTCATGCGTGTCGGTGAAGAGCACCACATCCACCGACACCACGCGCAGCCGGACGCCGATGACAACCAGGAAATGATCGAAGCCAGACGTATGACTCGCCGTTGTTGTCTTGGGAAATGCACAGACCGATAGAACAGGAACTCCGCCGATTTTTTTAGCTATCTAATCCAAATATGTCATCTGAATGCGGATGACTTTCTGATTCTAAAATGCTATATCGTTCCCCAAGATTCACTCTAGTAGAGTAGTTCCCAACCATTGATGTTTCGCGGACCTTTTGTAGATCGGCGATGTTGGAGGTCCCTAATCTTTTGAGGGGAAGGGAAAGGGATAGGGTAATTATGATAATGATTTAAGAAATGAATATAACTAAGGGCTACTGTGAAGTAGACTTCTCTCGTTGACATACACACGAGACAACTCACCCAAAAATTGGAAAGTTTCATCTCAATCTAAAATAAATACAACATTTAATACCGGGCTGGACGGATGAGGCAGGGCTTCGCGGACCCTTGGGACGTCTTCGCGGATACCGAAAGGTCCGCTGACCACCATTTGAGAACCACTGCTCTAGTTAATTAAAAGGAAATGATATTTTGTTTTCTACCGAAACCGAAACTTCCTTCTCCCAGTTGTTTCCCTGTTTTCTCAGCCATCCAAACCTGACGTCAACGGTGTGAAGCGAGGAGCGCGGGCGGCAATCGGGTTCCCTCGCGCCCGCCTTTATCGCGTCTAACGGCGAGAAAACAGGGACGATCGGGCTATCTGAAGTTGATGATAATCTCTATTTGCAGAAAATATGACCTTGGCCCACGTCTTGAACTATGAAACAAAAAAAAAATGAAAGACGTTTACAATTCGATGTTATGCCGGATTAGAGCGCAGCTCTTGAGGAGGAGAAGGAGGGGAAGGTACGGCGGGATCGCTATGCCCCTGCTCCCCTTCCTTACCCTCCCCTCTCCTGCTGTTCTCCCATTTAGTGGGAAATTTTCGCGAAATTTCCCGCCAAATTAAGCCAAAAATGCTCCCGCTAATTTTAGTGGGAAAATATTCCCTCTAAATGTAGAGAAAAATTTACCAACATTTTCCCGCTATATTTAGAGGGGAAATTTAGCGAAAATTTACCCTCAAAATTTAGCGGGAAAACTGAATTGTGGTTGAGGTCACCTGACGTTAATTTTCCTGCTAAATTTAGTGGTGAAAGTTTTCGCCAAATTTAACGGGTCGTTAAATTCAGAGGGGGAATTTTCCCGCTAAATTTAACGGGAAAATATTCCCGCTAAATTTAGGAGGAAATTTTTTCCGCTAAATTTAGGGGAGAAGTTTTTCCATTAAGTTTAGTGTATTTCTCTCGGCGCCGGCGAAGATGGCCGTGCCTCAATAGCCGCACCGCGAAGCTCGAAGGAGCACGTTCAATTCGACATTCATGCTTTTGCATTCACAACTCATAAGAAATGCTTAAATGTCCTCGGAATGTTTTTTTTTTAGAGGATATAACAATGCCAGTACTCTAAAGTCACTAAGAGTTCAAATAGCGCAGGGCGTGGCCTTATTATCACGATTGTTGCTTCGCTCACAGCAAACCTTTTTTTTTTTTTTGCATTTTTTTGTACTACGCTTTAGGTTATAAAGTGGTGCTTGTTACCGCGCACCAGATGCGGATTCTTTTATGATTGCTGAATTTCATGAAGCCCTTCGATGAATAACTACGTCATATCAGCACGCTCCTATTCTTATGCTCGGTGACTTTAACTTTCCTGCAATAACCGAGGCCGGCCTCGCCCTTACTACATCCTAACACAGCACCGAAAGCGACTTCATTAACACGTGCCTCACATTTGATTCATCGCAACTTGTTTCTTCCCCAACCAGGCAAACTGATCATTCTTCTAACATCCTTGACCTTGTACTTGCTTCGAACTCAGAAAACGTGTCGTCAATTGCATATTTACCCAGTTTCAGTGATCACTTAGCGATACACGCCACATTTTAGTGTCAACTTTCGCACCCCAAAAAAGTGAAGAAAACTTTAACACTGTATTATAAAGGTGACTACAAAAGCATGAACGAAGAACTAGACACTTTCTGAAGCTGGTTTTTAGAGCGCAGCTCTTAGGGGCCCGTTTCCGGCTTGAGCGGCGTCGGCGTCGCCGTCGCCGTCGCCGTCGCCGTCGGCGTCGGCGTAACCGCGCGGTGCATCATGGGAAATATCCCATAATGCACCGCGCGAGCCCCCCACCGGGGTCACGTGACTTCGTGGGGAGGCACGTGACCCCCCGAGGTCACGTGACCCCCCGAAGTCACGTGACTCCCCTGAGGTCACGTGACCCCCTCCTCGAGGTCACGTGACTCCCCTGAGGTCACGTGACCCCCTCCTCGAGGTCACGTGACCCCCCGAGGTCACGTGACCCCCGCCGATGTCGCGTGACCCCCCGATGACGTCATCGACACTGATGACGTCACCGGCATCCACATCGTCATCGTCATCAGATGATGACGATGACGATGTGGATGCCGGTGACGTCATCAGTGATGATGACGATGACGATGTGGATGCCGGTGACGTCATCAGTGATGATGACGATGACGATGCGGATGCCGGTGACGTCATCAGTGATGATGACGATGACGATGTGGATGCCGGTGACGTCATCAGTGATGATGACGATGACGATGTGGATGCCGGTGACGTTACCGACATCCGCATCGTCATCGTCATCATCACTGATGACGTCATCAGTGACGTCACTGATGTCGTCACCGGCATCCGCATCGGCATCGTCATCATCACTGATGACGTCGTCAGCGACGTCACTGATGACGTCACCGACATTCGCATCGTCATCGTCATCATCACTGGTGAAGTCATCAGTGACGTCACTAATGACGTCATCAGTGACGTCAGTGATGACGTCATCGGCATTGGGGGTCACGTGACCCCCCAAGGTCACGTGACCCCCCCTGGTTAGTCTAACCCCCCCCCCCCCCAGCGCCCTTCCCTCCTCCTCAAGAGCTGCGCTCCAATTCGGCGTTACAGGGAGTTGTAAGCGGCTTCCACTTTTTTATTGACTTTGTAAAACGTTTTGCTGAAAAAAACTGGTTATTTAAAAAAAAAATAGAACATCTAACCACAACGTATATTCCCACTATCACTGTTATTGAACAAACATCAACTCCGTGGTTTAATAACGCGCTGAAACGTAACAGCAACAAAAATAGGCGACAGTTTAGACCAGCTAAACTGTCGAACAGCAAGTGGGCATGCGATAAATACAATGCTATATACCGAAAAAATTTTCGTCTCTCTTGTAGCTCAAGCCAAACGCACGTTCTTTTCTTCTACTTTGCCCGCGATGTTGCATTGCAATCCCAAGCAATTTGGAAAATGATCAACCCCGGTCAATCAAAGCCCATATCATTATGTGATCAGAACAACTCGCTCATTCCCAAACATGACATTCCCCAAACATTGAACACCTCCTTCTGTTATGTTTTTACGCAAGAACCAGCAGATGATCTCCCTGAATTTCCTTATTCTGATCACCCGGCTATGCCCAACATAATCTTCAATTCTATTGGAGTCTTAAAAGCATTCGAAGCTTTGAAACTAACACCATCCGCAGGTGTTGACGGCATCAATTCAAAGATACTAAAAGACACAAAAGGTGCCACAAGCGTCCTTTTGTCACACATTTTCAGCAATCTCTCTCCTCTGGAGTGGTACCACTGGACTGGAAGGTAGGCAAGATCGTTTCCATACCAAAAAAAAAAAAAAAGGTCAATTAACCTCAAGCAGCAGTTATCGTCCCATTCCAATCACCAGTGTTTCATCAAAATTAATGGAGCATATAGTTTACTCGCATGTTATAAATTTCTTAGGACGCGTTAATTTTTTTTTTTTTTCCATCCGAGACAACATAGTTTCCTTGAAGGATTTTCTTGCGAAACCCAGCTTGCTCTTTTTACTAACTCTAAGTTCGAGTGCTGATCATAAGATACCTGTGTATGCCTTCTTTCTAGATTTCGAAAAAGCTTTCGATAACGTTCCACACCAACGTCTCTTGTTAAAACTTTCGCGTTTAAACCTCGACCCTCAAGTCTGTAACTGGATTCGTAAATTCTTGTCAACAGACATAAATTCGCTCATGCTAATAACCACTATTCACCCGATCCCTGGTTCCTTCTGGAGTGCCCCAGGGCACCGTTCTCGGTCCCCTACTTTTCTTAATTTACGTAAATGACCTAGGGTGCCTTCATGTGGGCTTTGCTTAGGGTGGAGACATCTGGCCATTTTGTTCCCAGTTTTACATTTATTTATTTTTTGTTCAGAAGCGCGTGAAAGAGCGTGTCCCTGCACGCGTCTGTGGCGCTGACTGGGCTATAACGACATTTTGTTTTTGTCAATTTCTTTGTATTTTCCCCGTGAGCGCGTGCTGTCGGCATCGGGTACTACAAAGGGTGGCATCACTCCAAACAGAAGGTCATTCAGGCTGACCTACCAGCTAATATCTCATCTAACATACGCGTATTCCCAGACGATTGCGTTGATTATCGTCCTATAAATAACAGCACTGACGTTCACGCATATCGAGATTAGGTGTGCTAGATGACTTATGTCTTTGAACGCTAAAAAAAAAAGTGAAAGCCGTTTACAACTCCCTGTAACGCCGAATTGGAGCGCAGCTCTTGAGGAGGAGGGGGGAAGGGTACTGAGGGGAGGGTAGACTCCTCCTCCTCCTCCTCCTCCCCTCATATTTTAGTATGCTCAGGGGGGTCACCTGACCTCGGGGGGAGGGGGGTAACGTGACCTCGGGGGGGGGGGAGGGGGTCACGTGACCTCGGGGAGGGGGCCACGTGACCTGGGGGCCACGTGATCTCGGGGGGTCACGTGACCTCGGGGAGTCACGACACCCTGGGGGTCACGTGACCTTGGAAGGATCACGTGACCTTGGGAGGTCACGTGACCGGGGAGTCACGTGACTTGGGGGTCACGTGACCTGGGGGTCACGTGACCTGGGAGGTCACGTGACCGGGGAGTGACTTGGGGGTCACGTGACCTGGGAGGTCACGTGACCGGGGGAGTCACGTCTTGGGGTCACGTGACCTGGGAGGTCACGTGACCCTGCGGTGACCTTGGGAGGGGTCACATGACTTCGGGGGTCACGTGACCTTGGGAGGTCACGTGCCCTGGGGGTCACGTGACCTTGGGGGGACCTTGGTTACGCCGACGGCGACGCCGACGCCGACGGCGACGCCGCTCAAGTCGGAAACGGGCCCCTAAGAGCTGCGCTCTAAAACATCCCTTGGTTCTTTTCATCGTAGGCAATTTTACGCATCTCTTTACTACGTCATTCATGGTTCACTCATACTTCCTGTACATTTATATAAATACCTAGGCATTACCTTTTCAAAACACTTTACTCTGTTATCTCACATAACGAACATAGCTAATGACGCAAATCGCATCCTTGGCTTTCTACGTCGCAACCTACGCTTAGCGCCTCCATCGGTAAAGCTACCATCTTTCCCCTCACTAGTCCGACCCAAGATAGATAATGCATCTGCTGTTTGGAACCCACATCAATCTAAACTCACTAAAACGCTTGAAACCGTGCAAATTCGCGCAGCAAGATTCATCTGCTCAGACTACTCTTAGTCTCTTATCATAGAGTGTCACCGCACTTAAATCTCAACCTCATCTTCTTAACCTCGAATCACTGCTCAAAATTTCCAGGCTCTGCCTTTTTCACAAGTTTTATCACTCTTCACTTGGCAGCTCTGTTATCGCACCAGCTCACCGCGTTTCATGCCGCATCAGTCGTCAGGAAGCTGTCTATTTCCCCATGCCCGCTGCACTGCGCATCTTTTTTTCTTTTTTCTGCCAGACAGCAAAGGATTGGAACGATCTGCCCACCGACGCCGTGCTCCACTCCAACCCCACCCATTTTAAGGCATTCATCGAAGAAATTTTTTTATGTTTCATACTACGCTTATGTAATACCCCTTATTTGGGGATTTTGAGGTTTAATAAATAAATAAATAAATAAATAGATAACTAAATAAGGGACTTCTAGCGAACCGTTAGCGTGTTCTGTTCCGCGTACCGTACTACTGGAGCCTTTGAAGCATGCTTTTAAGCTCGCAACCGGAAGTGATAGCGTGACCTCGGGGCGCGCGCTTAAAAGCATGCTTCAAATGCTCCAGTAGTGCGGTACGCGGAACACGGTAACGGTTTGCTGAAAGTCTCTATTGTTAGATCTCGATCAATTCATTCGTGTTCCCAATGTTTCCCTAGCTGTGATCGTGGTGTGGCGTCGCGCTCATGCAGCGGTTTAATGCATCCACGCTTTTCCGAAACAGAGTCGGTGATCAAGGTGATTGTGAGCACCAAGCGCTCCAAGCCGAGCCTGGTGAAGAAGATTTTCGCGCTGCTCTCCAAGCGGGCCATCTGCACCCGACGCCAGTGGAGGATGCCGCTGTTCAGCTGGATCCTACCGCCGCTCCTGCTCTTTCTGCTCTTCTTCCTCGAGAACGCCACCCTCCGAGGGAGCGGCTACGCCAGGGGCGGCAGGGACAACGAGCTGGACTACCGATTCCACAAAGTCCTCGGCTCTGGCCATGTAAGGACTGCACTGCCCTGCTGGGCGATGGGGGATCCGCGTACATGCAGTCGGCAATATGGTTCCTGGAACGCGTCTTTGACTGGTGGGTCGATCGCGTCCTCAAAAGCGGTCCCTCGATCCACTTCATTACAGTTCACTCTATTACAGAGCCAAACAATATTTGAAGCGCAGCAGTCTATCACGGGGTTTTGATTTCGTATTACTAATATATGCGGTTACTTTTACAGCGAAACTGTTTACGGCTAGGGTTCCATGAATTTTTCACGTGCATCAACAAAAACTCGCGCGCCCTCTTTTTGTAGTTGTTCCAAGCGCTTGCGTGCCTATAGTTTCCTTCCGTACTTCCGGGGTGGCGCTCCCGTCACGCGTCTCTAGTTTCGTCCGGCTCCTCGGAGCGGCGATAGTTCGTAACTTTCTTCAAAATTCTGTGTCACGTCTGTGTCCTGTGCTAATCGGCTTCGCTGGTCATGCATTTTCACAGAGCGGAATGGCTCGCGATTTCTTTTACTCTGCCTATTATTTGCTTTACGTCATTGGCTACACGCCTTGAGTTGTGCTCGGTTGATGGGCTTGCAAACTGTTGTTGTTTGAGGGTAATTATGCTACTTCTGTCCGCCATCTGGTTGAGCTCTTTTGAGCGAAGTGGCCGATGATACCTAGAAACTCGCAAGCTTGATGGCGCCGGGAAACGCGGTAAGACAATTGGTGGGATGTTCCTCTGACAACAACTTTTATCTTCTTGCCGACAGGGTTTCATCCAGTACGACACGCAGTCCGAGTTCATCAAGAAGTACCTAGAGGAAGTTCTGAGTCAGCAACACTTTGAAGCGGTGAATTTGCCTTCGGGCGTGGACGTCATGCAGTACCTGCTGGACATGGGTCGGAACACGCTGCGCGAGTACGTTTTCGACGAGCACGCTGGCTTCCAGTTCACCAAGCAAACCGGGTGCGTTCGTCTCGCCTACCTCCTGAAACGCGCAGAACCATATCTTTTTTTGTATTTTTTTTGTTTTGTTGCTTGGATTACAGTCAAAGCTGTAAGCCGCAAGTTACATTCATATGCCGGTTAGAAAGAACGTGGTATTAGGCTCCCGACGAGTGCCGTAAACAAGGAGGACGCGAAGACGAAGCAAGACAGGCCTGGCTCATAGTATAGTAACCGCGCATCATCATCATCATCATCATTTATTATTTCTTGAAGGCCCAGGGGGGCATTATATAAGGGAAAGAACACTTAAAAAAATAACAACTATTTGCCTACAGAAACTTGTTGTAATCCAGTTATGGGTTAGAAAAAATAAGCTAATGGCTGCAGAAAATTTCTTAGTGCCATATAAGGAAGCAATTACGTCAGGCAGTGAGTTCCAGTCGTCAATGGCCAATGGTAAAAAAGTAGACATTTGGTGAGTGACGGTTGACAATGAAATCGGACGGAGTTTACAAGGATGGTCGAGACGAGGGAAAATGCGGTAAGGAGGGGATAACAAACTTTGTTTGAGACGACTGTTGTAATAAAAGATCCCATGAAGAAGACAAAGACGAAACACCCTGCGGTGGTGAGAAAGAATGTGAAGGTTAACTGATTGGAGCAATCCTGATATGCTTGCGTAAGGGGAAAAGTCGGAATAAATAAAACGGAGGGCTCTGCTTTGAACGGATTCCAGGTTGTTTGTTAGGTATGCCTGCCAGGGTGACCATATGGAAGAAGCGAATGCTAGTTTAGTTCTGACCAAGGTAGTATAAGCTAGTTGTTTTACGGGGATGTTGCTTGCCTGAGGTTACGGCGCAGAAATCCGAGAGTGCGGTTACCATCAGTGATGACACATGCGCAGAACGCTCCTGTGGTACAATGGACAGAACCCCCACGCCGGCCTCTTGGTGCTCGTGGCGTACAACACGGCGCGGCTGCGCAACTTGACTGGGAACCCGAGGTCGCGCATGACGTTCAGCGTCAGGGCGAATCCCGTGGCCATGATCGAGGAGGACGAGGCCGAGCAGAACCAGAACACGTACCGCGAGGTGATGCCCAAGATTCTGCGCTCCATCCTCTTCCCCATGGTGTCCAGCCTCATGTGCAGCAACTTCGTCATCTTCCCCATCACCGAGCGTGTGGTGCAGGCAAGTTCGGAGGCTCTACACCTGGCATGTAACGACATTACGCTGCGCCACCGGTCACCGCAGGACGAGGACAAAAACCCGTGTTGTATTGGCAAGCAGATCTAACTAAGGGGCAAATACTGTACTGCGGAATACATCGTATACCATATGGGCAGCCACTAACCGCAGCTAAGTGTGACTGAGGTCAGACTTAATTTCCATTATGCTGCTCCTGTAACTAGGGTACACACGATTGCAAGTCCGACTCCAGGGCGCCGCCATCTTGCTAGTTGGGGTGCGGTTGGACGCGTCATAATATGATTACGAAGCCTTGTTAAAGGCCGCCGTACACTTCGCGCTTTCCACTTTTGCCCTCCCCTACTTTCCTATATCCTCTCCACTTTTAAGCTTGTCCCAACTTGGCTTCCCTCGCAGCTTAGGAGGGGGGAGCGCTAACAGGAGTATCTTCCCTGCAGAAAACCGAGGTTGTACGGCGGCCTTTAAGGCGTCGTAATCGGATTATGGCCGCGCCCAAGGGCATCCCACTGAGCAAGATGGCTGCGCCCTGTGACCGAACTTGACTGCTAGAAATACTTAAGCGTAACTGCGGCTTAAGATGCCCGATTGGTAACCTCAACCGCAGTGAAATTTAATTTAATCAGTTAAATTCTAAGCTAGGTGGTGCAAGTTACCGACCATTATAAAGTGTACGGCTATCAGCATCTATCCATCCATTCATCCATGACCTTAATCACACTTAACTGTGGTTAGGGGTCCCTGTATGACTAGGATATTACTTAACCAACATGCAGTTCCCTGGCAACGACAGCCTTTGTGCGGAAGGAACGTTCGGACGCGCGCAGGCTTGGAATTTTCTGTTTTCAATTATCGTGCCTTTTAGACAGCAGACAATATCTGGGCGAATCCGGTATATCGGCGCGTTGGCTGGCGGCAGCCCTCTCTATCGGAGCAGCGCAGTGCTCCTTCTTTTGGGCTGTCTCCACAACTGGGAAACGTTTTGGATGCTGCAGGCATAATGCCTAATGCAAATAAGTGGACTAAAATGTGTAAAAAAGCATTGGTGAAGGAGACGTTTCGTCCAGCCTTCTTTTCCACAGAGCTGGGGACCCAAAACAATGCGTGGGTACGGCATCTTTTTTTTTATCTTCCTCGGCTCAGATTCGGCTGCAACTCTCTTTAAATCGGTGCTTACTGATTGAGCCCTAGCGGCTACGATAATCATGTTTTCAACTTCGCCGCCAGGGGTCCGACGGTTTGGATGTCCCTCCTCATAACGTGCTATCACTTAACAAGAGAAAGCATGCCATTACCGGTCGCGCTCTGAACAGTCCACTAGCGAAGCGACGATGTTCTTTGGATTCTCTGTTTACAAGTTCTGATTTACATTACGAATTTTTAACGCGGTGTACATCTTAATAGAGCTTTAAGAGATTTTGCACTTACTCAGGTGAAGCACCTGCACCTCATGGGTGGCGTCAGCACGCTCCTCTACTGGTCCGTCCACTTCTTCTGGGACTTCTTATTCTACATGGGCACGGCGCTCTTCGTGCTCCCGCCCATTCTTTTGCAGGCCGAAAGTTTCACGGACACAGACCTTCGTAAGTTCCTCCGACTACGGTGTCTGCCGAGGCGCGTCTCCAACTGAGTGCATGCTTAGCGTCTTGTCCCGCCAATCCACCGAAAGGGTATCCCGAAGTGGCAACATATGACGTCACAGAAGCAAGAGTGCCATGATGTCGGATGTCACGATCCAGGCGGTTGATGTGAGACGTCCCGCTAAAAACCACGATCGGATGCGAGTGTCGCCATCATCGAAGCGCCTCAACTATAGTCGGTTGCAAGCTAAGAAAAAACCGGAAATGCCTCAAAGAGGAAAATGTAATCCTACGCCGAGAAACGCCAGCCAATCGTTTTCATGACGTCACGATTCCGTGCACCAATCGCGATCCTTTTGAAAAAAAAAAAAAGCTCAACATGGCTGCTGGCCTTAGCAACGCGACGCTAGTTTCTCGTGACAATTATTCTGCTTTTTAGCACCGTGTTTTACGTGCCCGAGGTTACGCCACAAAATCTTAATGGTATCGGCTTGCGTTTGCAGCAGTTTTTGCGCGACAACGTGAGAATCCAGCGACGCTATCGCCAACGAAAATTTCGAAGCGGGCGCGAGGCTTAGCACTGCTGAGAGGTGAGAAGACGGTATGTTAGACAGTATCTTGGACAGAAAATGAATTGGGAAAACGGTACATTGGACATTACTTTCTTTCTTTACTAAACAGCTATTTCGTTGATAAAAACGTATTCTAACTTATTTAAATGTCCTGAATGAATTAAATAAATATTGTAGTAGTTTAAAACATGTTTCCTGAAGGAAGAAAAAGCAACGTTGCTAGCGAACTACTTTCTCGACGGCGGAGGCACTTCAGATGGGCGCATTGCGCTTGTGGGTGGAGCTAAAAGATTGTTCTCAGGTTGCATCTGACTATAGTGACTGCGAAAACTTCCGTGGACCCTCAAGAACGGGCGTCTGTCACATGCGCCACCTCTGCTGTAACACCGTCAGGGTCGCGGCCTAGGACATGACGCTTCTATGACGTCATGAAACCGAAATCGCTGGACTACTTTTTCGGACGCGGTAAACACATCAGTCGGAAGCGAGTACCGGGCACCGTGCTAATAGTCTATACTGGGCGGAATTTAAAGGTTCACTGTGATCGGCTTTTTAGGCGATTTGGAATGAATCTATTGCAACTACCTCCGCAAGCCTAAATACAAAAAAAAAAAAAAAAAAAAAAAAAAAAAAAAAAGCTTTGACGGACTTAGGTTTGTTAGCCTGACCAATACTTTTTGGTTTGTCCTTGCAGGGAGCATCATACTGCTGAACCTATTGCACGGATTCGCAGCACTGCCGGGCATCTACGCCATGTCGTTCGCCTTCGACAATCCGACCTTCGGCTATTCGATGCTTGCTATCTATTCCTTCATCCTATGTGAGCATCATAGAGTGCCCGTCACTTTTGCATTCACTTTCTCACTTGCATTGAAGAATTGATCCACTAATTTGTGACATCTAAAACCGCCCTTCCCGGATCCGGAAAAGCATGCCTAATCATGCGCTGACGTTGATTGTGACCGCTTGTTGGGTTTTCCACGTTTATCATGTATAGACGATTAGGCGTAAAATTAGGTGTTGCTCTACGCTCTAAAAACAAACAAAAAACATCGATTGTTGAAAGGTTCTTTTACACCCCATGGACTCTTTCAGCTCGTAAAAAACGGTTTCGCCTTTTAGGGCGTACTTAACATTTTTAGGGGGTACTTAGAATAACTTCAGGGGGAGAGAAATATCAACAAGCAGAACCCCCTAAAAGTGTTTTCATGACCAGTTTTTTTTTTTTTTTTCGACTGATAGGATGACAGCTATCGGTATTTATTGTGCACTATTGTGGTATTTCATTTGGCGCACTCTAACGCCAAAATATATACCGAACACTCGGAAAACAGTGCACCACTGACTGATTCCAGCCCGAATGATTCCAGATCCCTGGGAAGTTAACGTTATCGCTAGTGTTGCCTAAATTGCGGTGCCTATAGAACGCGTCTTCGTCGGGTCTATCGTCCAAGACCGCCCGTGTACCAAAAGTGGTCCCGAAATGGCGACGGGTGTCCATGGGGCCTCCGATGCCCTCGTCTACGCCCCGCCGTTTCGAAGCGACCGAGATGCGCGGGACCAATTTGCTTATATATTATCATATTAAGTCTGTGACTTTTGTCGCTCGCGTTTCTTTGGTCTTAGCGTTTGTCATATCCCCTTCCGCTGCTGGACCACCCCCAATATCGTGGCTAGCCACGATCTTGGACATCAAGAGGAACAAGGAAGGACGTGGTAAACAAGGCGGATGCAAGTTTTTCGTAGGGGGGTGTATACAGCTACGAAATGAGTTACGCTTACAGTATTGGTCCTCCGTTCCCCAATCTGCTAGTGGGCGCCGCCATCTTAATCCTTAGTGCAGAGCAGACGCAACTGTCGATCGTCACAATTAAATAATACGACTTCCTCAGCTTTAGACACGGTGGTAGGAAGCTCAGGTGATACCCTTTTGCTGTGTCGCGAACTCTTCTAACGTTTCTGGAGGACGGAAAAGCATTTCCTGCGATTAAGGATAAAGCTTCATATAACTGGCAACCATGATTTTAAGCGCAAGGTGGCTGAAGTATCGTCACTCTCAAGCGTAGCTTATTTAGTGACTCTAGCGGCTTCCATCTAGGCCTTCAAAGTTCGCCACACTCATGCCCTAATACCTATAGGCCTGTTTCTCTTGTCCAGGGGGCGCCGTAGCGCCCACAAGACGTGACCACATAAGCGCCTCTGCTAGTCTCCGCGAGACGTGGCCGTTCGGTGCTGACGTGGAGCGGTGTCCTATAGCGCTCCATCCTGTGCGACCTAACGGTGCAAACTAGCGTATCATTGACCCTCAGCGCCCATCCACGGGCACTATAGCAAAAGGTTTGAACAAACGCTACACGACGCTCAACCGATACGTGACGTAGAAATACATCAGACTTTTCTCACCAGGGGTGGCCGCTTAAAGCTTGAGAGCTACAGGTCTATGCGTTAGCCGGCGTTGAATGTGGTCCTGCGTTCGCAGCGCTCCTTGGCAGCCTGGTGACCGTGTTTATGGAGCACTTCTCGCACAACCTGAAGGCTCCCTTTCTCATCGTGGCTCTGGAGACGATGCTGCAAGTGATGCGGTTGGTGCCCTCCTTCTCCTACTCCCGCGGCATGACCAAGATCCTGCAGCTGAGCAGGGAGAACGCCATTTGCCGCATGGGTGGCGTGGACCTCGAACGCATCTGCAACACGCATGCCATCGACTTCAAACCGGCGCTCAAGCTCTGCTGCGAGAGTGAGATTCACACTTACACTCGGAAGATCCACTAAATAATGCATAATTTTTTTTCCTCGAAACGTGGTTTGTTTTTATTTTCGGATGATTTAATTAACTTCTTTTTTTTAGATTGTTTCTAGTTATTTTCGAGGAGAATATATTCCCACAAAGGCGTTAACACGCGAAAAGTAGACGATCGCAAACAGGCGCCGCTGTGTCTCTGCTCGTGCGGGCAAGCACGTGCAATTGCAAGCCTGGCAAAGTGGTGTTCACGTGCTCGCTGCACGTGAACCGTAACGCTGCGCAGAAATCGCTGCGTTCATTGTCGTTTTAACACGATAGAAGTTTTGTGTCGTCTTTTACTGCGTAAGCTTTTCTTTATTGAACTGGTCAGAAACTGCTATGAAAATTCTGTAAATATTTCTCGTCGGCGTCCATGAGATCTATAGCCTTTAGAACCGATTGACTCGTTTTTAATACATTAACAATAAAATGCTCGTTTAAAAAAAATCCTGGCGGTGTTTTTTGTTCGTCCGTCGTGTGCGACGCTCCTATTGCTCCGAACTGCTGATGTGACATGCTTCAACCCCTCTCTATCTCCCCGGCGCTGACAAACTGACAGACACCGCCGGGTTTTCTTCAGAACTAGCCCTTCCGTTTTCGGCAAAGTCACGTGCACAGCTGGCGCGGAGCCAAAGAGAAGGAGGCGCCGTGCAACACCTCCTCGATAACAAAGCAACAGTGTTGGACGGGATGGCTTGATCAGAGAAGGCCAATGCTCGACACAGATTGGAAACGTGTTCTGCGTCTGCGCTCGGCTTTGAGTCAAGTTTGAGCCGAACGTTGACGCAATCGTCGTGTCCAACCTGTGCCCAGCATTGGCCTTTGCTTTTGACGTCATGTCATTTAGCACTACAACCTTGTTATCTAAGACGTGTCGCGCGGCGGCGCGGTGGACTGCGGGCTTGCTCAGTTGACGCTCTGCCGTCGCCGGTTGTTCTTCACTTTGGGTGTCCGTAGTGGCGGTGCCTAGCTATGATGTGTGTTTTATTAAAACGATCGATGCGGTTCATTCCACAAGTTGTATGGATGTGGTTCTTTCCTCGAGTGATTTGGATGACCGTATTCAAAGGCGTCGACGTACTCTGACAGGCCGAGTACAAAAAAAAGGTGCAAAACAAATTACAGGAAGATGTATTGGTGGATATTTGATAAATCCGTTAGCATGAACCTTGGGGAAAATTCAAACATGTCCCCCTTTGGGAAACGCTAACAACGACCCTGTAACGGTGCCAAAAAGAGGCAGCAAAAAAGGGAGGAAGCAAAAGAGAAAGCCGCAAAAAAAAGTGAAGGGGTCAGAGTGAGCGTTTCCCAAAAAAAAAGTGAAAGCCGTTTACAACTTCCTGTAACGCCGAATTCGAGCGCAGCTCTTGAGGAGGAGGAGTGGAGGGTATATTCCTCCTCCCTCGTGATCATGCCTGCTAGTCCTCCTCCCCTCCTGCTCCCCCTCCCTCTCCTTTACCACCTCCTCGTCCTTCAAGCTCCTCCCCTCCCCTCGCCTCCGCCTCCTCGTCTCTCCTCCCCCCTCCTCCACCTTCGTACTGCTTTCCTCCTCGCCGCTGAAGTCATGTGACCCCCTCCCCCCGAGGTCACGTGACCCCCCGAACCAGACAGAGGGGAGGAGGAGGAGGGGGAGGAGGAGGAGGGCAGGGGTCCGGGGGGTCACGTGACCTCGAGGGGACGGGATCACATGACCTTGGGCGGGCCGTCACGTGACCGGCGGGGGGAGGGGAGTCACCCCCCGGGGTCACGTGACCTGGGCGGGGGAGGAGGGGGGAGGAGGAGGAGCGGGGGGAGGAGGAGGGGGAGGGGTGAAGCCGACGCCGACGCCAACGCCGACGCCGCACAGGCTGGAAACGGGTCATGTGACCCCCTCCCCCCGAGGTCACGTGACCCGCCCGGACCATACTACACAATAAGGGGAGGAGGAGAAGGAGGGGGAGGAAGAGGAGCAGGAGGGGAGGAGGAGGGGGAGGAGGAGGGGAGGGAGGGGCGCGGTTACGCCGACGCCGACGCCGCTCAGGCTGGAAACGGGCCCCTAAGAGCTGCGCTCTAAAAAAGTGAAAGCCGTTTACAACTCCTTGTAACGCTGAATTAGAGCGCAGCTCTTGAGGAGGAGGAGGGAAGGGTACTGGGGGGTCAAGTGACCTTGGGTGGGGGTCACGTGACCTAGGGGGTCACGTGACGATGACGATGCCGATGACGTCATCAGTAACGATGACGATGCGGATACCAATGACGTCATCAGTGACGTCACTGATGACGTCATCAGTGATTATGACGATGCGGATGCCGGTGACGTCATCAGTGATGATGACGATGCGGATGCCGGTGACGTCATCAGTGACGTCACTGATGACGTTATCAGTGATGATGACGATGCGGATACCGGTGACGTCATCACTGACGTCACTGATGACGTCATAAGGGGTCACGTGACCCCGGGAGTCACATGACTTGGGGAGCCACGTGACTTTGGGTGTCACCTGACCCTCGGGGAGGGGTGACGTGACCTTGGGTGACCTTGGGGAGTCACGTGACCTTGGGTGTCACGTGACCTTGGGGCCACGTGACCCTTGGGGAGGGGTCACGTGACCTTGGGATGACCTTGCTTACGCCGTCGGCGACGGCGACGCCGACGCCGCTCAAGCCGGGAACGGGCCCCTAAGAGCTGCGCTCTAAAAGGATGTGTGTGGCGTTTACAAGCGTCATGCAAACGGGTTCATGGAGAATCTACTAATAAATCTTCCTGTAACTTTTGTTTATCTAACTGTATATTTCCTCCAGACGGGCCTCCTGTGACCAACGACATTTTTTGGCGTATTAGTACAGTTCAAGTGTTTCTTGCTTATTAAAAAGAAAAGAAAAACTTATATGCACACATATTGCAGTGACTTGAACGCGTCTTTGACAGGTGAGTTTAATGTCCTAGCCCGCCTATGCATCAAAAGTGAACCCGAAGTGGCAACAAACACCTCATAAAAAAAGCTGGAGTGTCATGCCGTCGGATGTCGCGATCCTGGCGGTCGAGCGTAGAAGTTCCGGAAGAAAGCACGAGGTAGCGTGAGTGTCGCCGTCGTCGTGCTGAAGCTTCCGTGAACTG